AGAGATACTAAGGTAATAATCGAATGAACGGGATTCCTAAAACTGCGCGAGATACTAACGGAAATACTTACAAATGATACAAATGATAGGGAATCCTAAAACTGCGCGAGATACAAACGCAACAATCCAATGAAAGAGAATCCTAAAAGTGCGCTAAATACAAACGCAACAATCCAATGAAAGAGAATTCTAAAAGTGCGCGAGATACGAACATAACAATCCAATGAAAGAGAATCCTAAAAGTGCTCGACATACTAACATGACGATCGCATAAAGAAGAAATCTCAAGAGATACTAAGGTAATAATCGAATGAATGGGATTCCTAAAACTGCGCGAGATACTAATGTAAATACATACAAATGATACAAATGATAGGGAATCCTAAAAGTGCGCGAGATACAAACGCAACAATCCAATGAAAGAGAATCCTAAAAGTGCGCTAAATACAAACACAACAATCCAATGGAAGACAATTATAAACGTGCGCGAGATACAAACACAACAATCCAACGAAAGAAATCCTAAAAGTGCGCGAGATACAAACGCAAGAGTCCAATGAAAGAAATCCTAAAAGTGCGCGAGAAACGAACATAACAATCCAATGAAAGAAATCCTAAAAGTGCGCGCGATACAAACGCAACAATCCAATGAAAGAAATCCTAAAAATGCGCGAGATACCAATGTAATAATCCAATGTAAGAGAATCTTAAAAGTGCGCGAAATACCAATGTAATGATCCAATGAAAGAGAATCCTTAAATTACGCGAGATACAAACGCAACAATTCAATGAAAGAGAATCCTGAAAGTGCGCGAGATACGAACATAACAATCAAATGAAAGAGAATCCTAAAAGTGCACGAGAAACTAATGTAATAATCGAATGAAGGGGAATCCTAAAAGTGCGCGAGATACAAACGCAATAATCCAATGATAGAGAATCCTAGAAGTGCGCGAGATACGAACATAACAATCCAATGAAAGAGAATCCTAAAAGTGTACGAGAAGCTAATGTAATAATCGAATGAAAGGGAATCCTAAAGTGCGCGAGATACAAACGCAACAATCCAATGATAGAGAATCCTAAAAGCGCGCGAGATACTAATGTAATAATCGAAAGAAAGATAATCTAAAACGTGCGCGAGATACTTATGTAATAATCGAATGAAAAGGATTCCTAAAAGTGTGCGAGATACAAACGCAGCAATCAAATGAAAAAAAATCCTAAAAAAGCGCGAGATACTAATGTAATAATACAGTGAAAGAGAATCGTAAAGGTGCGCGATTTACTAATGGAACAGTCGAATGAAAGGGATTCTTAAATGTGCGTAAGATAAAAACGCAACAATCCAGTGAAAGAAAATCCTGAAAGTGCGCGAGATACAAGCAAAATAATCCAATGAAAGAGAATCCTAAAAGTGCGCGGGATACTAATGTAACATCGAATGGAAAGGTTCCTAAAATTACGCGTGATACAAACATAACAATTCAATGAAAAAGAATGCTTAAAGTTCGTGAGATGCTAATGTAACAATCAAATGAAAGGGATTCCTTAAAGTGCGCGGAATACAAACGCAAGAATCCAGTGAAAGAGAATCTTAAAAGTGCGTGAGATGCTAATGTAACAATCAAATGAAAAGGTTTCCTAAAAGTGCGCGAGATACAAACGCAACAATCCAATGGAAGAGAATCCTAAAAATACGAGAGATTCTATTTTAATAATCGAATCCAAGAGAACCCTTAAAGCGCTTGAGATTCTATCATAATAATCGAAGGAAAGTGAATCCAAAAAGTGTGCGAGATACGAACACAACAATCGAATGAAAGGGAATCCTAAAAGTGCGCAAGATACAAACGCTACAATTCAATGAAAAAGAATTCTAAATGTACGCGAGATACTAATGTAACAATCGAATGAAAAGGATTCCTAAAAGTCTGCGAGATACAAACGCCACAATCTAATGAAAGAGAATCCTAAATGTGCGCAAGATACTAATGTAATAATCGAATGAAAGAGAATCCGAAAAGTGCGCCAGATACAAACGCAACAATCCAATGGAAGAGAATCCTAAAAGTGCACGAGATGCTAATGTAACAATCGAATGAAAGAGAATCCCAAAAGTGCGCGAGATGCTAATGTAACAATCGAATGAAAGGGATTCCTAAAAGTGCGCGAGATACTTATATAACAATCTAATGAAAGGGATTCCTAAAGTGCGCGAGATACAAACGCAACAATCCAATGAAAGAGAGTCCTAAAAGTGCGCTAGATACTAATGTAAAAATTGAATGGAAGGGATTCCTAAAATTGCGCGTGATACAAACGTAACAATCCAATGAAAGAGAATCCTAAAAGTGCGTGAGGTACTAATGTAACAATCCAATGAAAGGGAATCCTAAAAGTGCGTGAGATACTACTGTGACGATCCAATGAAAGAGAATCCTTAAAGTGCGCGAGATACAAACGCAACAATCCAATGAAAGAAAATACTAAAAGTGCGCGAGATATAAACGTAACAATTCAATGAGAGAGAATCCTTCAAGTGCGCGCGATACCAGCGATTCAATGAAAGAGAAATATTAATTTGCCTAGGATACTAGGGAAGATACAAGTCAGAAAAGGTTTATGCCCAAGAGCTTTTACAATTGAAGCCAGATTGATGCTCGTAGCATGCAAGACTTGACATCAGCTTTTTTTACCATCAGCTGAAACAAAGTAGTAGTATTGATTCGTCAAACCAACAGTATTGAAAACTATTAAAAAACAACCTCAGCCAGACACAGACCCAAGAAATTAATCATTAAAAAATAGATTTTTTTCTTCGTTCTACTTTTCTTTCACTTCAAGTTTAAGCGTTCAGTGCGGGGAATTTTATTGACCCACCTTGCAAAATTTATCCGGCTTTTTTTTTTATCCTCCTTTGAAATTCTTCAGGTCGAGATGTTCTTATTCTGCCTTCTTTGCTTGACACTATCCCAAAGAGAAAACAAACAGAAGATTACAAAACACGAATGACCATCTTAAGTTAATAATTGTCGTCAATGATAAAAACCATGTCCGAATATTAGAAACGAAACCAGAGCTAGTAAGCTGTGTAATAACAGGAGCCACTGAGAATCAGGCCATAGAGGTGGGAGATGAGACGTTTTTCTCAATACTCATTGAAAAAGAGGTCATAAAACTTACTAGTCTTAAACAGTGGGGTACTGGTACATTCAACATCCAAAAGACAAGTAAAAAAGAGATTTCAAGTAACAATCAGTCTCTGCATAAGAGACTGTAATAGCTGCCCAAGGTCCACCTAGTTTGCGACAATGGCATGAAGAGATTAGGAGTAACCTTTCTCCCCCACCGTGGGATTCTAGATAGTCCATCACAGAGAAACAAGATTACGTTGTTTCCCATACCAAGAACATAAATTGTATTACTATTATTATCACTTTAGGGGGCACTAAGATAACGAAAAATAAAGAAAATGACCACAATATAGTCTGAACAGTTACGTGAGCGGGCTAAAATACAATTCTAGACAAAGTGATCATAATACTGTAAAAAGATTGAAGCAAGAGAGCCACTACGGCAGTGGAGCCTCTTGTCTGTGAACACAGCGCAAATAACACTGCAAAGGTTTGAATCTAAAACTTTCCATCTGTTGTTAAAACAGTCATTACAGGTTTCGATAAACGATCAATACAGTTAGGAAGAATTTCTCCTCGAACGCAAAGCGTCTCAGTAAAAGCTATCATGGCGGCTGTCAAAAGAATTCGCAACACTCTAATCTGCTGAATGAACTACCCCTTTTTACATTTAAGTCTGCGATTTAATTTTCAAGGCAACAAATAGAAACACGTACACGAGTTCAAAATGTATTTGCCAGTGGCTTACTTACTTTGCTAGAATCCATGAGCAAATGACATCCTCGACGTCGAATTTGAACCAACGGTTTAGCAACCTCGATAAAACACTCCTGCCTTGACAGAACGGATTATATCCAAGCTAAAAAGGGTGAAACAACGAGTTTCCTGGCCCTAAAATGGCTGAAGAAGACGCTAAGTCTCCAATAGTCTGAGAGCTTTTTCCACGTGCAAGACTGATCGCAAACATGAATATTGATTTTGAAAATTATTTGTAATTCAGATGAGTTTTCCGAAATTTTGAGAGGCGGACCGAAAATCATCGGAAGACCTCGAGAACCTCTCTGTCACTTTCAATAGAATATAAAACGCAGTAGGATAATAAACTATTGGCTGATTGTAGACTTGATCAGAGCGGATATTGTTGGACCTCTCTTGTTGTCAAAAGAAACTCGTGGAAAGAGACAAACAAAAAGGGACAAACAAGTGTAGAAGGTTAGTGAACCAATTAACCCTTTATCTCCCAAGAGTGATGAACATTTCACTTCTCCCTATCATATACATACATTATCCAGCAAAAAGGTAATGAGAATACTCAAACTTATCAGATACAAGATGATATCTTGATCTAACACCAAATTCTCGTTACTAATTTACAAGAAAATGTAACAGCTACTGTTACACGTTAATTACACCGTTTGAATAACTTGATGTATATTTTCAGTGGTATAAACACAGAGGGTAAATTTTCACTTTGGAAATACAGGGTAGTCTCTTAAGGAACCGGTATAAAGTCTTCACCATCTCCTAACGATGCAGTTTTGGAATAATGTCAGGTTGAAAAGTGATCGAAGCTAAGTTATCAAAGTAAAGTAACATGAAAATTTGTAAAATTATTTTATTCTCTTACAAGTAGCGGTTTAAAACTGAAATCACAAAAACTTGGAAGCTTACGTGTTACCTCAGCAGAAGAAGGTCCAGAACAAAAAATATCCACATTTATTAATTAATCACCAAAAAGAATCCTTACACAGTAGCTAGGGAACATAAGCCTCTCCACTAAAACAAACGAGGCCAGGGGAGAGAACACGGGCTATCTATAAAATAGATCCCATGTTGCCGAGGGTCTGTGTTCAGTAACATATCACAGATGACGTCAAAACGTGGTAAGAACAAGAAAGTGGCACACGTGGTACAGCCGAGTGTGTCACTGATTGTTGATAGTGTTGTCATTTTTGCGCCTTCCCTCCAATGGGACGAACCAATCAAAATGTATGATTCAGCTTATTCTACAAATTCAAATAATCTACATTTTTTTTTTCTGAATTTTTATTGACCAGGATCACCGACATTTTCCGAAAAATAATTTGAAAGCATATTCTATTAAACATTAATTTGTGTCTCATAAATTTTTGTACAGATGAAAATCCCCCGCGAAGTACTTCCACTTTTGCTTGAAACCAGCCTACAGTGTACATACAAACCGGCCAGGGGGGTTTTACCGATGACTGACGTTCTTCTTTGTTCTTGCGTACGTTTTCCTTTGAGACAATTCACCCGCCATAAATGTTCCTTGAATATTCTTGAGTTCAGAAGTAATGAATGTTTATAGTAGAGGTACGCATTTTACGCCCGTAAGTATCTTGGCGGAAGTAAACATCGACGATTTAAGTCAAAATTTGAAATTACTTTTCAAAGAGTTTAATGGGCATTGACTAAGCTGTTGAAATCTGCGATCATAGCAACTTCACATGTGATGTGTTTGGTATCTCCAAGCACGTCCTAAATCATCCCTCGTTCAGTAGCATGGTTGACAAAACAAGATCTTTCAGTCTCCATCAGCTAAATGTCATCTTGTTATTAATTTCTATAGATTTCTTTTAACATAAAAAGAGCTGTATCCTCTGACAACCTGTGAGAAACAAAAAAATATCATCATTTACTTGTTAAATCGTTTCCACGTCCTGTCTCTCTTTTTCCGTCGGTGTGTACCGGGGAAGAATCGGAAGAGTCAAGGAGATGACCAACGTTCGATATGTTTGGCAGGGAGCCAGGGAGACTAGGCCTAGTGCATGGAACTGAGGCTTAAGATTTGAGGCTTGAACCTCCCTTGAGAAACAATCTGAAGGAAAAACTCGCCTTTTTAAAAGCTGTTTTTACAAACTTCCGTTGCTAAACTAAAAAACATTTATAGAAGGAACATCATAAGAAAAGGCCAGAAACAGAACAATTCAAACTACGAAAGAACATTTAATTCGCTTATTTTCATTCCAGCAAGCCTAAAAACGAAGGAGCTAACATGACTCACCAGTAACACACGTGACTGCCAAGTGCGAACAGATATTCATTCAGACTTTCTATTGGTTTCTCTTGAAGTACGTAATCTATCCGCTGACCACCGTTTAGTCGTCCTACTTCGACCACTTGTCCTGGGTGATCGGGAAGAGACTCTGAAGGAGACATAAAAAAGAAAATTGCAATAAGTTTGGATTTTAATTCTTAGGATATTAAAAAACCAGTAACATATTGAGTCCAACAGAAAGCTATAAGAACCAATAACAAGTATAAATAATGCGAAAAAGACACCATCAGAAAATGGAGTTGACAAATAGCCCCGAAGAAGATACTGCTCTAAAGTGTTTGCTGAAAATTGTGTCTCAAACTTTAGACCTTATTTTGAGTGGTTAATAACATCAAAATAATCATTGAGACAAATTCTCAATTAGCTTTATATTGGGAAGAAAACGCACGCAGCTAAACCCCCAACAACAGTAAATCACTGCATATCCTCTTGACACTTATCGATTACATAACCGCTCACCTGTGACTTCAGTAGCTTCCTCCACAACAGAGTCTTGTTCGTCAGGGCCTTGAGATGAGTGAGCTCGTGCAAATTCATTGAGTGATTCCCACGTTTTACGTGCAGAATCAATGAGACTCTGCTTTAGATTAGCGCCCAGTCGTGATAGATTCTCGCGGAGTTCTAAAAAAATTGGAAAAAAAAACTGCAGTTAAGCTGTGTGCTAAACTCCCGTGTAGCTTATCAAAATTACCAAACAAAATTTCTCTCATGAAATACACGAGATCACTCCAAAAGTTCATTTTTTTTGAGTAATAGATAACACTTTCTATCTTCAGTTGTCTTCCACTGAGTCGTTCTCCCTTTTTATTATTTCATCATTTATAATAATAGTGATTTTTTACCCGACTATTTTTAAATAACTAAAATTATCAATGACTGTTATTTAGGTGTCTCTCTTTTATAGACTAGCCCACCAAGATTAGCATTTAGCTATCTGCCCGCCAAATTGACAAAATAAAGATTGTTAGATGTTGTTAGAGATTTTTTCTACGGTTTTCCGAAAAGAAAGCAAAGAAGAGTAACATTACCCAGATGCATTCGTTTCCTTCCCTTGTGGTGTGGCATCAAAACAGGGTCGGCTCGAACAGAAGGATTCACTAAAGGTTCGATTCGGTATGCCTGCAATGGAGAAATGTTGGTTAAGTGGTTAGGCCCGCATAGCGTGCGAGATAGTCCCCATTATAAGCGCTGCAGGTAAGCGTTTTTCCGCCCGCCGAAAGATATGAGACGAGTCGGGGAGAGGTTAGCCAGGAGTCTGGCACTACTGTCAGTGTCAGACTTTTTGCAGACCTCTTGCCGGCTTGCGTTGCTTCAGGCTTGAGTACTAGTACCTAAGCGCCAATAATGAGGACCAGTAATTACCTGTACCTTCTAGAGAGTCTAAAGGAATGCGATTGACGCAGCAATTCTCTTGAGTAATGCGGGATGGATTTGGTTTTGCTAAACTTCGCTCTCCAAAAAGTCTAAAAACTAGTGCCAACCTCTCAAACAATTGGAAGCAAACCCAAAACCAACAGCGATTAAGTCGCTTGCATTTTTCCGCGCTTCAAGGCACTCTGTCTAATTTCACGCCGAGTTCTCATTGGCTTTCGACGACTTTCACCTTTAATCTGATTGGTCGCTGTGATTACTTTGGTTTTAAATTTTTGACACTCAATTGAAAACTGCTCTACCAAGAGAGATGAATTACAATTCGTTGAGCTTACCACAGGATCAAACGGATGAAAAATGTTGAAGAGACGTGGACATGTGGGCAGCTGAAAGTCCTGGCCGATTTCATCCACACCTCTGTAGGAGAATCAATTCGTCAATTTAGAAATAACAGCTGTGCTGATGATATCATCAGTTTATCATTAGTGTTATCGATAATCTGTCCTGACGGTCTATAAAATCAAATGTAACAATTTATTGAAGGTGAATTTAAAAAACAAATTAGAGCAATCACAGCTTGGTACATAAACGCTGATACTCGTTAGCCTCATTTTTCCGCGAGAGGTCTGTGGGGCTTATGAATTTGCACTGTTGGCGATCCCTTGTGTCGATGAAAACTAAAAGTATTTCCCTCTGGGAAAAGAGCAGCGGGTGACGTGACGATTTTCTGGGATGTACTATTCCTCTGCTTACAGAGATAAAATTTATTTTGAATAAACGTGGTGACAGTAGTTGAAATAGGCGGCGGTAGCCTTGGAGCAGGCCCTCATTATCAGCACTTCGGCACGAAGAAAGCCTACGGGAAGGTATGATGCCTTGAGGAACGCGAGCCGGTGAGAGGTCTGCAAGGGGTCTGGCACTGATGATTATTAGAACCAGACCCGCGGCAAACCTCTCCCCGACTCGTCTCAAATCTTTGCGCAAGCGGAGAATCGTGCGTCCTGCAGCTCTAAATAATGAGTAATGAGAGCTTCCTCGCAGGTTACCTACGGTAGAGGACCTTTCTCACCTCACTGTCAAAAACATTCCTATGGGAGAACCCAACGCGAACAACGCATAAAATTCTAAATCCAGTTGTGGATATTCTACGAAAGGCTGTCCTGTTCCCGCGAGTCCTTGTTGATAAACAACTTCCACACTGGATACAGAAGCAACAGATAGAGACTTGCTTGTTGCAATGTCTGGTCTAGACACAGCAAAGGATGATGCCTTCTCCGCCGCGGAACTTGTCCGTTCCTTGGAAACTTCTTTTAACTTTTTACGTTCGGATTTTGCTTTCGCTCTCGCTTCTGCTCTTGCTTTTTTATTCTCCTCTCTCTCCAGTTTTCTTTTTTCCTGCAGAATTGAGGAAAGTTAAGGCGCTTTTCAAATAATGTAAAAAGTGCTTACATTTTCTTTTGCTGAAGTTGAGACAGAAAACCTTTAGTCGATGTTCAAGAAATTTCTTTGTTTCGCTGTTGGCTTTTCACAAGTCTCCAATTCATGCATTTTGGCGAAGCAACCACATACAAGTCTAAGTCAGACATGAATAAAGGCCGGGTAAGTTTATAAAAAAACTGTGGTGCTGCGTCGGTGGAAGAGTATAGCAGGGTAATTTGGTATCACAAATGAGTTGATAACGTAAATTGGCCACCGTAAAGGGTTTCAAAGCAGACGTTTCGAACGTCAGCCCTTCGTCACAGCGAATGCATCGACATGACTTTGCTTTGATTCAGTTAAATCTTTTTCATCTGCATCCGAGAAGATGTTGCCTTCCCAAACAATCAGAATTCCAATCCAAACTAATCATGCGATTCTTTCCGCGTTTTCCTGGTCTTGTGATTCGATACACATTTTGCTTTCATAGCAATCAAAAATCAAACAACGATAGCTGCATATAGCTGACCGAGAACCGTTATCATTGTAAAGTAAAAACTCACCATAATTGATTTTTGACTATTCAGGTAGCCTATTAATTTCTTTCTAGGTCCCATAGGTATTCCCATTTCCTTGATGTCTTCCTCCCCACACAGCAACTGCGGAAAATCAACCAAAAATGAGCCAATAAAAACCAGTAATGTTAACCATTTACACTCTAACACCAGTATGAAAATTCTCCATACTGTTCTCTGGACATTTCCTGAGGTGCTGATACAATCTATGGAGAAATTAGATGCTGGTCACTCAAAGGGCCTAAGGGATAAAGTGACGTCGTTCTTTACCGGACATGATGTCGAAATGTTAGAGTCAGTCAGAGACCATACACGTAAAAAAGGCGGTTAAAACAAATACAAAGAGTGCAGCAGAAAAGAGAAAATACTGCATTAACATCTAAGAGAAGCGGAGAATTAATCTTTTGAGACATACTAACATACCGAGAAATGAACCATTATTTGATATTCCCTATACTTTAGAGAAATTTTCGATTGAGTGTCAAAAGTAATTGGTTTTGCTTAAGTTTGCTCTGTGATTGGTCCAAAAAACTCGCGCCACTCTCTCAACCAATCAGATGCAAAACTAACACCAATCAAGATTTGTTCGCCCGCATTTTCTGCGCTTTAGGTAGTTTAGTTGTTTTTATCTTGAGTTCTCTCATTGGCTCTTCGGGGTATTTTCCTTTCTTCTCATTGGCCGTTTAAATAACTTTGGTTCAAGTTTTATGACACTCAGTTAAAAAGCACTCCAAAGACAAGGTAAGGTTGAATCGACTATCATTTCAGGCAAACATATATGTATTTCATTGGTTGTACAAGACAAGTATTTCATTGGTTGATCAACTTACAAATGTCTCCATGTCCATCTCTTCCGACTCAAACAAGTCGACGTATTCAGGTATACCAAGCTGTGCTAGCGCATCTCTAAGGGCTGGGTACGACTCAGCTTCCTCATCTGAATCCTCATCTGAATCTTGTCCTTGGTCGTTACTGTTGGCTGCGAGGCCATCTGTGCTGAGAATTTCGCTGAAAAAAAAAAATTAAAAGAATATTTCATCCAAATTTGACAAAAGAAAAAAATGCCAGAATGACCTCATCAAATGATATTGTTACCGGCTGATCTTTATCTTCAGCACAGGTATTACGAACTTACATGGGAAAAATACAAAATGCTTACCTTGCTTCTTCAATCAAAGGTTGCTTTGCTAAGGGGATTTGCTTTTGCTTGTCTTTCTAAAGTAAGAAAAATGGACTGATGTTGTAACTTCATATCGCAAATAACAAAGACTTCCTAAAGAGCTGTTCAGAAACGGTTCAAACAAATCAATTCTCGTGTGCTAGGGCCAGTAAAGACGGGAGACGCTGGGCCTGATGTTCAGTACGCTGGACTCCCGTTCAAGAGGTCTAGGTTTGAGACCTGGCCTGGTCAATGTGTTGTGTTCCGGGCAGGAGGAAGATCCTTGATGAAATGCTGGGGAAAACCTTGCAATGGACCAGAATCCCATCCAGGGGGATTTGTAATATTCCTAGTTGCTTCATGCTGCATGAAAACCAGGATAAGATCCGACTGGGTGGACCAGTAGTCTTGAGTACTGACTAAAGGCTAGTGACAAATTTTGACAGCCAATGAACCAGATACCAAACAAACTCACTTACCTGATGTTGAAGAATATCAAATAGAATACTTGAACCTGCAAGGAAATCAATATACAGCTTACTTTGTATAATTTCTACTTTTCTGCCAACTTGACAGAGAGGATCAGTCATAATCTATTGCACTGATGATATTTTGCTCAATCCTTACCTAAGCTGTGTCCACAGACTGAATATTTCCCATTAAACATTGGATTCCTTTTCTTGAAGATTTCCAATAATCGCTTGATGTCATCACCCACTGTGTTGACTATGTTCTGTACAAAAGAAAGTGATAAAAAAGGGCCATACTAAGTGAAATCTTGTTTCACTCAGTTCAGAACTTGCAGGAAGTCTTGCTAATCTCCCACACAGGTCACCATCTAGCATTCTGCCAAGTTATCACATCAGTCTGTCAAACTTTACCACACCAAGGCAAATATAGAACATGGCACATTTAATCATTTTTTTCAACTCAAATTCCCAACATAAATTTATGGAATAAAAGATACCTTATTTCACTTACATAACTTTGTATCATTTAATGTCATGTCTATCATGTCAGTTTTTTACAGTTACTCACACATACAACTGTATATCTTTCATTCAACTGTGAGATATTTTCACTGGAAATATTGTAAAAGAAACTTACTTGACAATATGTTGGGCTTGTGTAAAAAAGGATGTCAACAAGGGTTGAGTTTGTAAACTCTCTTAAGCGACGTATGCTGCCTAAGGATATGGACTGAAGTCTTCTGCAGATGTGAAACAATTGAGACAGTTTTAGAATCATCAAATAAATATGTAAGAAAAAAAACTTAATTGAGCAAAATATTGGAAAGCTCTCTCGTTACTCTACTGTATTTATTCTAACGAACAAAATTTTTACACAGAATAGAATAAGTAAAAAAACTGTCGGGTGAGATTGTGTGACATGCATTCATAAATACTGTAGTTTAAAATTTGCCATGTTAAGTTTTGCTAATTTTGTTTTTTTTTGGCATCTTGCTGATTAAATATTCAATATTCCCAATCGTAGGGTAAGTGAACTTACTCATCTACACCAGTAGAGTCATTGTGAAGTTTTGAGTGCCACTGAACAGGAAGAAACTCCACCCTTCCAATGGCATGACCTCCGGACAACTCCTCATGATGATCAAAGAGCATTTGAAGGCTGACTTTTCGCAGATCATCAACTAAGATTGCCAGAAAGAAGGGTTTAAAGTAAGTAGGCCTCATTAGTGTCAACAGCAACATCTTAAATGCAGTGGTTTCCATAAAGGCCAGTTACTGGAAAGCCTCCTGTAAGATCTCACCAACATCTGTTTACCCTGCAAGCATGCTCTCATTTTTGGGTTTTGCCTTATGGCGCAACTGCCTGTTATACCATCTGCAGCTGCAAAAAGTTATTAAAAACCCTGCTAAAAGTTACCTTTCAGGTGTTGAAGTAAAACAGTTTTAGTAATTCCATCAAGATTTGGGGATGCTTTCACTCATTAAAAAACTGTTTATTTGTGTAGAAAAATTAAAAGCCATGCTTCATCAGTAAAGCCAAAAGACAAGAATTTTATGATGACACTTCTAGAGCAAGAGGTGCAGCTGATAAAACACTTGGCATGAAGACTCACTGCCCATACAGCAATGGATAAAATTAACCCTATCTTGGTACCAATGATTATTGCACACAATTCAAATGTTAAGAATGTACATGTAAGGGAGTTTAAAACTTAAAATATCCAAGCTTTTACACAGATTTTTTAGGAAAATGTAGTGTTGTGCTCTTGATATAAATGGACATGTTTTGCTTTACTGTACTCACCACATTCAATAATATTTCTAAAGTTCAGATCAGCAATTGGCCCAATGCCATGGACAACAAATACCAGATGGTCAATTTGAGCAGGTTCACCTGAAAGGAAGGTATAGCAAATATGTGATGTTTCTATAATGATACTTTACATTACATACGAATGATATTCATGACATCATAGACATACATAAAATTATGTGGGGGCAAATCTCATTACAAGTTTCAAAGGTGCACATATTTCTAAATACTCAATTAAACCTTTACATTAGTTCTAAGAAATGTAGCAAAGGCAGGCTTTCTGTTCCAGAAATGGAAACTGCAAAGCTAAAATTGGTCATCAAAACTACAATTCCTGTATACATAACTCTTTTATTGGTCAGCTTTAAAGAAGAACTTTGAGTCAACCATCCCTTAGGTAGGATCTACACAATAAACCCACTTACATACCATCATTGATTTCATCCTCAATATCTACCACCCCTCGTCTAACCACTTTAGGCCTGGCCACAGTGTCCTCACCACTCCAGTTCTGGGACTCATTGTTTGGTACAAAATGTACCATAACATTTGCATTATGCATCACAACATGCTCTCCATCTGATAGTTCCACTCTACATGGCCATTTGGCCTCACGAAATCCCAGGAGAAACTCAGCCTGAAAAAAAGTAACAAAATTAAAGGTGCACTCTGGACTAGGTCTCTAGAGATATTTTGCATGTATAAGCACCTTACTTTTGAATGCTAGATTAGATGAAAAAAGTATCCTGAAGAGAAAATTAAATGCCATATTTCCTGTTGTTTGATGTTTTCAAACAGAGGAAGGGACAAATTATTATCAAATTAAATGTCTTATGCCCCATGAGGGCACTCATAGTTTTTCAAGAGTATTCACAATTGCTGTATCTACAAAGATTTCAAGAAGTGATGATTAGAAAGTGGGGTGACAAAGAGCCCTTTAAATGCCATGTAACAATCTTTAAGCTTACTTGGGTTGAGTTCAAAATAAGTTCGGCAATAATACCTAACTTACGTGAGAACAAATTGATAGACCTGCCTTACATTAAAGTGAGATGAAGCATCTATATGCTACTTATATATATTTGGACAAACACAATACCTCAAGCCTAGCTGCCATATCCTCTTTATAAGGCACAAGTTTAGACTCTCCATCTCCTTTGTGGAACCAAGTGCACCTTCTTACAACAGACACGTCCTCCTCCCAGTAGAGAGGGTATCGCAGCCTTTTGTCAAGGTTCACATCATATCGACCACCATCAGTAGCTACAATTCGGTCACCACCAGCTGAAGAAGTTTTCAATGCCTGCTCTAAGTTTTCAGAATCTATGTATGAGAAAGGTTTCCATGCAGAATTTCCTTTCTGATAAAACCAATGAGGTTTGACAGGTTCAACTGTTGCAGGTGGTGTAACAGGGGTAATTCCGCCTTGTACTTGAGGAGGAGACACAGAGCTGCTGTATTGATATGGAATTTGAGGTGAGGGGCGAGGCACAGAAGATGAGGAAGAGGACTGGTACAGACTTGGTGGAGTTGGTGGAGTCTGGGGCCAAGCAGTAGATGATTGGGATTGGGGTAAACTGCTAAAAGGAACAGGGGGAGTTTGAGGCAAATTATTGGCTGGTGGTAGAGATGGAGACTGGACCCAACTGGCTGTCACTGGAGGTGAAGACTGAGGAAGAGTAGATACTGCTTTTGGAGGAGTCTGAGACCCAGGTCCCTTGGCTGGTGAAGCCTGGTATGGAGATTTGCTGACAGGAAGTTGAGGACTGGAAAAAGTACCAGCTGTACCTTGAGTAGATGTTTGTGGTGATAGGAAGTCATCATGACCAGATGAGAAAGAAGATGCCATAGTAAAGAATGGTGATGTTTGGGTCTTTACTTGTGATGCTGCAGACTGAAAAGGTGTTGGAGCCTGCTGTTGTGTTGATGGCTGCTGTCCAAGAAAACTGTCCTCTTCACCAACATGCTCCAGGGCTGGTGTAGCTATAGGTGAAAGGCAAAAGAAAGGACACTACAAATGAATGGATAACATCATTCTACACATAAATCTAATTGCAATAACCCTATCATAGAAATAAAAAAGTGAAGAAAAAAACAGAAGAAAAGAAAAAAGCTAAATACAATTAATTAGCATATAAAAATATGCTGTGGCTATGTTTCCAAATTTCAACCAAAAGGGTTCATTGAACTTTTCCAGAATATCAAACTCTTGTTTAGAAATGTCAAGCATTTCTAAAAACCTCTTTTGGTGTTCTAATTAATGAAATATCCAACCAAATCACACTGGAAGATCTCTGTATTTACCACACTTGACTCAACCTAATGGTCAGAAGTATTTAACAAATTCCCAAAGAAATCTTTGTGCACACCTCATAAGAGTATTCTGTATGTTTCAAGAATTGCCTGGCCATACCAAAAAATTATCCTAGTTTTGAAGTGATTGAATTTACCAATATTATGCATAAGAAAAATACTAGCTTTCTACTGCAAGTTTATTACAATTAGGCATATATGTACTAATAATAGGCCTAGGATACCAGGAGTCAAATAATAATTCTTCATTTATTTTTCTTGGCTCTGGTTGCTCTTCTCATAATAGATGGTGCAATGAGAGCTAGTATTTCAAGGAAAGACTTTGGGCAAAGACTTAAGTAGAGTGCTGCCACTGAAATAAAAAACCCTCATACTGTATTTAATGAAACCATCTCATTTCCTCAAAGCATCTGCCACAAGACACAATAGGGTCCAAAATTAAGAGCAGCTAATGCAACTTGATGGCAAACCAGGTGTTATAAGCCAGCTACTGACACACTTAACAAAACATTAATAAGGAAACATATCCTTTCTTGCATCTAAGTTTCTTACAGCTGGGGAAAATAATTTTTGTAAAAGGTGTCATGATATTGGCTAGCCTCCATTTCCAGCCCGTGGTCATCATATTAGTACCAAGGCCACCACATATAAAATATAGGCATTGATCATTATTCACGTGTGATGTGTTTTAGTTTAATGTTCTTCTTGCATCTGAATAAAACAGTGTGTGTCTTATAATCTACACCTCCTGTTCTTAAAACAAGAACCACAACAAAAGGTACTATTGAAATTAACTGACCACCATGACCCAGAGAAGTTGCAAAATATGCATCAACTCTATAGTCATTATCATTTAGCAGGTGACAAAAATAAATGGTAAAATTTTTTACTCAGTCTAAGACTAAAGACCCTGGAACTAATACTCTCTTCAGTAATGTCCCCACTCAGGGCAACTGAGGAAGTAAATGTACCCCTTCTACTGCCACAAAAGAAAAGAAGAGGCACCAATCCTCCGTGAAATAATTGATGCAGGGTTACAGCATCCCAAAAAAAAAATAGACCATAATCATGATTTTAAATTAGTTTCATGAGACTTGTCTAAATCAAAACGTCATAAATAAGTGCGACGCTATCAGTAATCGTTCCCATATGAAACAACAACATATTACAGAATAATAAAAGCTGAAAATCTCCCATCCGTTTGCATGAGCACGAAAATATATTCCAAGCCATTACACACGTGGAGCATAAGAATTATCTCTAATTGCACACATCAATCTGATCAATTTTGTTTTCAAAGCAAGGTCGATGAACTTAGATCTGAATCAACGAAAAATTGAATCTTAAAGTTTAAAACCCTTATACCGAAACACATTACCTCTACTGGTGGTCGGTGTTGCAGTTGTTTGATTTCTCAACAAAATTGGGGAAGAATCGGAAGCTGGCACAAGAGTAGGTCCAAAGTTCAAATTCCCACCAAGGTTGGCGAGAGATATCCCGTGCAAAGGCGTATGTTTTTGCGATGAATCAGAACCTTGTCGGTCCGCCATCTTGAAAATGGACACGTCAGAACAATGTGTTGAGATTGCGGGCTCGAAAAGAAGCTTCAGCCTTAGCGCGCATTGCGGACCTAATTTGCGATGGGGTTTCACGTAAAGTATAATAAATTTATAATAGGTAACTCTGAGCTTGTTAAGTACACATATTGAGTATGATATGTTTACTCTCCAATAGGGAACTCAATCGACAAAGAACCTACCGAGCAGAGTTATTCGTTTTGAAGAAGATCAGAAACATACAGTGGCGCCTCCAATCGGGTTCCATTAGTGTGGTTGGATTGATTTTAATACGTACTTAACTAACAATGAATATGACATTGTTTTATTTTTCTGTCTTTTAATCTGCTGGAAATATTAATTCAAACAGCTAAATGATGTATGTAAACTATAATTCACATAAATTTCTGCGATCTTGTTTGTTTAATTCGCACAAGTATAGTACAACGATTTAAGTGCCACAGGTAGTTGCAGAATCGAGTGCACTAGGTACACCTCACTTTTTAAGGGGTTCAGATGTCCCTAGAGCGGAGGTTTGAGGAGGGCCTAGAATAAGTGTCTATTCCTCCTTTTGGATGATATGGAGCTTTTCCCTAAACAGAGGTAAATAAATACAAAGGCTGCGTAAATAATCTTCCCGGATCAAAGTTTGTCTGCCGAATGGAGGTGGCCATTGGATAGGAGGCCACTATTTTTCTCATGAAAAATAAGCAGTTTCTGCAAAAATTTTTTGGACGAATAACTAGTCAGTCTACGCGAGTTTGTTCTTCTGCGTGTAAGTGAACGATGATGTATTAATTTATTGGCGCGCGCGGGTAGAAAACTCGGTTATCGCAAGTATAATGGAGGTTTGCAAGAACGAGAAAAACCTGAGAGTCAACGGCTCCAAAAAATTTTGCGCACATCACCAGATTTCTTAAAAACGTATACCATTACATCAAGGTGGTTCTGGCTGACTTTGAATGCTCTATCATCTGTAGAGTGCGACTTTTTCCAAGTTTCATGAAAACGATCATAGCGTGAAGCGTTATATCACGCGAGCGGTACGATAGTGTCGTGGATGATGTCGAATAGATGTCACATTGTAACGGTTTTTAGCCCCGCAACATCAGAGAAAATTATATTTATCATTTTTGCTGAAGATTATAAGTAATGATATGAAAGACAATCAAGCTGAAGATATGAAAGACGATAATGACAAAGAACACTCCACGGTAAGTTGACCTGAAAACTAAAAAAATTGAATGGCTCACAACATTGACATAAGGAGATAATTTTATAATGGAATTGATTCAATTTCTCAACTGATTTAAAAGTCCCAGTTCAAATAGGTAATTATGGGACGGTGAAGTTGAATTTCCTTTAAAATGATAGGCTGTTGTCGTTGCTTCGCCTATGCTGTTGCTATTGCTGCTGATTAGTAATGACTGCAGTGAATAACATTTACTTACAGTCGTGCACGGGGTAAAAAAGGTACACTGATTAGAACAAGGAATAACCGATCATTCTTGCATTTCTTTAACTCCGTAATTTCCTTTCCCAATCCAATTCGTTATTCTCGAATAGACACCACCCTCCAATCAGATTTATGCGGCGTTAATCCAAGTTTCATGACAAAAACAGAAAAGAATAGAACAAAAACGTTACAACTCGATTTGGTAGTTGTCTGCGCCACTGTTGTTTTACAAATCATAAGTCCAACAATTACGATTCTATCCCGAAAACAAAAAAAAGCCCAACAGTAGAACTCTGGACATGTATCTGTTTCATACCAACAAACATATGACTAACTGTGCTGTTTGTAACTAAACAACAGTTCGAGCGATTTTCAATTTAGTGTCGAAAGCAATCCGAGATTGCATTGCTTTTGCTTCACTTCGCCCTGTGAACAGTTGAGAAAACTCGCGCCAGTCTCTCAACCAATCAAATGCAAAACTAAAACAAACACGAATTGGTCACCCACGTTTTCCCGCGCTAAGTTTGGACAGTTTGGTTGGTTTCACTTTGATCTTTGACTTTTTAAGGTATTTCCCTTTCTTCTGATCAACCGTTGTGATAACTTTGTTTTTGGTTTTAACTAAACAACAAATAGCTAATTTAGTTATTTTCATACAGCCTTTATCGACTGAACGCCTCAGCTTAAGTGGAGTGGGTCGCTCTTCACCGAGCTGTCGGATCTGTCAGTCATCCAGGCGGTCTGTTCAGGAATTGGGGGAGCTCCTTGATAGTCCCTGTCATTGCAGGGGCACTCTCGGTTTCGTACACAAACATTGCATAGAGACATGGTTGCGCGTGCGCAAGCAAGACACCTGTGAATTGTGTCATTTTAAATTTGAGACGAGGTGGAGATACAAGCCATTTCGTGAGGTAGGCAGGGGTTTCAGTCTGTATTGCACATTCATTGTTAAGATCGTACGCAGCTAGCATTATACTGGTAAGGCGTAGGCCGATTCCCCATGAAAAATAGTAATCGACCTCTCAAGATGAGCATGGATCAAAAATATTTAAAACCTGAGAAGTAAGAGAGATAACCTGTTGAAGTTAAACCAGGAACAAATGTTAAGTCAAAAGAGTTAAATAAAATAATGTTCAAAACATAGACTTACATGTTGCCAAAAGAGCTTGATATTACATCATACAACGAAAATTTGTGGTCGAAAATATCCAAAAACGTTTAACCTAACCCTTTACACCCTAACATCAGTATCTATATTCGCCATACGCACCTCAAATCGTTATTCGTGTGCTATAATTCTGATAAGGATATATTCATTTAAAAATCAAAGCTTCTTAAATGGGTGACCATTTCCTTTATTCTTATGATCCTAAGAAATGATTCAGCAGTATTACTTTAAGGAGAAATTAGATGCTGGTCACGCTATGAGTTTAAAGGGTTGAGAATGTTGTATAACTCTTTTGTAAGATGCTTGTACCTGGTCATCAAAATCGCACGTCGAATGTAGATCCCTGCAAATCATGTGAAAGATGATATTTGATACAATTAACAACAACTTTGTAATTTTACAGTGGCAGTTCATCCAAGTCTTCGAAATGCTTAACAGCAACGAAAAGGGCGTCCTTATGCTGGGATTTGTAAACTTCTTGTTGTTCATTCTCGAGATTCCATTTCTCTACTACATATTCAAAATGAACAGCAAGTATTTTGCCGATCATATAAATAGCTCAGATGAAAGCCAAGACAATTTTTCCGGAGTTATTGCTCTCCTTCTTACATTGTTGCTGTTTTTCTCCATGGTATTGTTTGCATCCTCTATCATCTTCATTGTATTTGGTTTCAAGATGTTGCGTAAGGTTTTGGGCTATAACAGAGAAGTTATCTTAATCATTCCCAAGAGGCGTTTGGAGGAATCAATGGAAGATGAACATGTAGTGTAACCCTGGTAACCAGAAACATTAATATATTTGTAAGCTAGCTTGGACTAGCTTGGTAGCTAAGACAGCTTGTGAACTTGAAAAGCTAGAGAGAAATTCAGTATCCGCTAAAGTACAAGAAGTAGGAATGTTTATTAAATAAATACACTAGTTATTCAAATAACTCCTAAGTATTGCTATACGCTCTTAAAAAAATTAAGTTGCTCGGGCTAATTCCTCAATAAATATTGATGCCACCTTTTGTTCATCGTTTCCTGTTAGTTATTGACTTCATTGCAATACAAAACATGTGTTTCTGTGAGCAGCTTGTTGTTGCTGTAATCATTTTCACTTAAAAAAATTCCATAACTGCATGACCATTGAGTTTATCCACGAAACTCTTAAGCGCTTGGCCTTTGATTATCAAGCACGGTGTAGCAACCTCTCTTTTACCGATCCTTGCTGGTAAACAGACTTAAGTAGCGGCCCAGACCTTCTAATATGTGTACAAGTCTAAAAATCATTTCATGATCTGATGAAAAACATTTTAAAAACATTTCAAAACTGTTACAAAAATGATTTCCAGCATTACTAACATCGTGCGCGAAGAAATCAGTCTTCTGGGACGCTTTCAGTTTCCTTGGAACGGTTTTAAAAAACAAATAATTCTAAGAACAACCAATGTCGTCAACATCTTAAAATGATATATCATCGTGGAAACTCACTCCTCGAAAACGCCTGTAATAAACGTTGCCATAGATCCCTCCTGAGGTTCCTGTGGCTAACAGTACCCCGTATAACGTCCCATCAGGTCGAAGAGCTATGGCCAATCCAATCACGCGATTTGATTTTACTTCGTTCAGAGAGGCTCTCGTGGATCTGTTTAAGTGGAACACTTTTCGAGCTACTGTCAAAGACCACACTCCAAAAGGTTCAAAACACACCTGCATGGAGATTGGGAGAATTTCATAAAGGGTTGGTCAGTTACCGCCAGATTTAACAGGCTGATTAACGATATATAACTGATTGAGATACTGACTAATTGAATCAGTGACTGACTCAGTGAACACCAGACAGACATACGGAGTGACTGACCGACTGACTAACTGACCAGCTATGCGAGAGGCTGAACAGCGAACTTTCGACTTTTCGCCTTGCTAACTAAGTAACTGACTGAAAAAACCGACGGACCAATCGGCTAACAGAGTGACTGACTAGGAGACTATCTAGCTGACTGACTAGGTGACTGGCTGACTGTCTGAGAAACCGTCTGACTGACTCAATGGCTAACTCGCCGATTAACTGACTGGCTGCCTGACCAGCAGACCAAGTGTCCAACTGATTGACTGGAAGGCCAACTAAGTAACCCTCTGGCTGACTTACTAGTTGGCTGATTTACTGAATGGTTGACTGGCTGACTAAATGATTAGCCGACGGCTGACTAATGACTGACCGACTGACTGACGTACAGACCGACTAACTGACCAACTGACTATCTTGCGTCATTTTGTACCTTAGTTATATCAGACTCGTGCTTGAGAACTTTAGGAATCCTCTCCAAGGCAAAAAATCCGCTTTTAAACATCTTTTTAGCAGAAGGATATAAACGATAAACAGCGCTTGGTACAAGGTCTCCAAATCTACCACTAGCCGCATATTTAACTGTAGCGTTGCATTCTTGAGCAAGAAATGATGTTGCCGGTGCTGGTGACTTGTCCACTAAAATGGGAGGGGAACTATCTGCAAGCAAAACGTATAAAACAATAATTGCACTTACTATGGCAAGTTCATCACTAACAAAGATAGTCTCAGGCCCTCATCTTAATAAAGAAGATCATCCGAACTTACATGCATGTACACAGGCAGCAGCAGGGCAATCTCTGGCTTCCATGGAGACACCCATACATTGAGCGGATTCTTCCAAAGACAAACATACTCTACGGCGATGTTGTTGGCCTTCTTGGCAGTATTTCCTCTTGCTGCATTCACTCCACGGACCCCACAAACCCCAAACAGCCAAGGGGAGGACGTCTGACGCTTCTGAGAGTCACAAGATTATTTCTTTACATTTTAGTAGAGAGCTAATAGACTTCTATTTATACTACTCTCAAGATCCCCCAAATTGGCAGTCAATTTCCCCACTTTTTTCTCTCAGGCTGTTGCCAATGACTGATCACCTCTCCGTTCCACCTTGATAACCATGTGATCACCGCAAAAATCTTCCGACCTCCCCCGGGTGATATAAAATGACTGGTTGCTTAGCGACTTTCCAATGCTACTTGCTCCCACAGTAACCAATTTACCACCAAAAAAATACCCTATTCATCATCACACGACTATGATTGCCTGCGAGACACAGCTTTGAGGTTTGAGCTTATTATGGCTTTATAAACAATTATTGGATGAGGTTTTTGCGATATTAAGAACAATCAAGGTCGAGGTAGGGGAATATAAGCCTAACCGAGACCTTGATTATTCTGGATATCACAAAAACCGAATATAATAATTGTTTTATTATACATTGAACAAAATGGTCACGACAGTGAGGGGAACTGGTAATTTATTTCTAAACGTGTAAAAAGATACAAATCAGCGAGCATCACAAAGCGCGCGAACTTGACATGATTAGCCTTAAAAATCATGCGCCGCGGTCATACATGACATGATTATTGTGTAATCTGCAGCTAGACGACGTCCCAGGCGTTATTTTCGAAAATTCACCGTACACTTTCGGCCAATCAGAAAGATTTTCAATGAATTTTGCATGTGGTACAATATCTAATCCAGTCAGAGAACTGCGGTACTATCTCGGCTTGAAACTATAAATTTCATGCACGGCTCGCCCGCAAACGATGATTTGGTTTCATCAACTGCGTTCATAGTGTAATTGACCCAAGTTAAGAGTTTTAAAGTTTACGTTTTCAGTGTTATCCCTTCATCAGAGTGAATAGAGGGATTGTGGATTGTGTGAGGTTTTTATACACAAAAAGATGAAGCTACGCTACTGGTTGAGAAATGGGAACATAAAAGACACAAGAACAAATGAATTGACTTAAAAGCGTTCGCTGATACCGTGGGGAATAAGAGTTTCGATTTGAGAGATTACCTTATGTTCAAGAGAACCGGACGATGATTCAAACGACCAAATTAAAGGGGTAAGATCGATCGAAGAACGAAAGAGGCTTGAATAAAACAGGAAATGCGAATAAAGACTATAGTTGCTAAAATTCATGGTGAATAAGCTAAGTCACTTACCAGAGCCACCTTTATGTGTATCGTCCGTGGATTTTGTTGTTTCTATACCCCAGTCAAAAGGTTCCATATCAAGTGGTTGATCTAAAGGTTCGTTAAACCAGTTCTTTGTAAAAGAAGGCTGATATTCCATGCGAAGAACAAGAAGAGTGAAACCAAGCAGTACACAAAGAAATGAAAAGAACTTTATAAGAGGCACAACATTATTTTCCTGAAAAAAAAAAAAAAAAAAAAAAAAAAGGAAAAATTAGTGAATGGATAAATGAAAAACAAAAAGACTCCAAATTTTAAGAGTCACTGTAAGTTTGTGTACCATGACGCCTAGTATGAAAATACTAGGGACACGCAATCGTCCCTCTCGTCTCTACAAAGCTCGTGCATTAAGCCCCCTCCCCTCCCCAAACACAAAATCTCTCATTTGGAATTTGGACCTTCCCCTGTTTGATTCTGTTGTTGCTACATCAAGCCATGAAAATGGTTGTGTCGCAGGACTGGTGTTCATATGTGCAATTCAACAAGGCTGTATCGTGTCGTGAATTATTAAGTGGTCTAAGCATCCAATTTGGGTATCTTGGTCCCTCCACATTTTTCTCGTAATTTTTTTATGGAAAAAACCTTGTTACCTTCTATTCTTCAGCAGTTCAACCAGTGTTTTTTAAAACTCTACGCCGTCGCCGGGCGAAAATTTAATAATTTTGACCGTGCTTTATCGACACTGGTGACCACACGTAAAGATGGTATCAGTAGTTTACAGAGATTACCTATCACTCTTTATCTTTTTAATTGTCAACCCATGCGCTACCTCGATACTAGAGCATGGCATACCACTGAGTTCTATTAGTAGTAGAAACAGCTGTGCAACAATTTTCAGGTACTACAGAATCGACAGCACTTCCTGCCGCATGATGCATTCTATGGCTATAACTAGTTACAATCAGCTAACGAGTTGGGTGGCCCCTCTTTACCCAGCTGATTCAATTGTCTGTAGCGCGAAGCGACCAGGAATATTGCTCCTTCCCCCTTGGCGGGTGAGTCCATTCCAGGGTTAACCCATATCAATGCGTCAGGTTTCCCCGATAGTCTGTCAGAACCAGTTTTATTCCTGAGCATTGTGTGAGTAAAGAGTCTTGCCAATTAATAGCACAGAAGGCAAACACGAAAATTCCGATCCAAGCTCATGTGCAGTCAAACCTCGGCTTTCAGGGAAGAGCCCTCCCTTAACCACTAATAAAACTAGTAATTTAGTGTTAACAACTGAGTTGAATACGTAAATTAGCCACCGTAAAGGGTAAAAAAGCTGACGTTTCGAGCGTTAGCCCTTCGTCAGAGCGATTGGAGAAATTGTGGGTTGTGTGTGGGTTTATATGCAGAAAGTGGAGCTACGCCATCGGTGGGAATATGGTGACGAGAAAACATGAATAAATTAGTTGAATGAAAAGCGCTCGTTGATTCCGTGGGGATTAAGGGTGCCGATTTGGAACATATATTTTTGTTTTAGTGTTTTGCGGCTTTCCGAACTGCCTAGGTGTAAGGAAAGGCCGCAGACTGCCATATGCTGTTTAGAATGATTAGGGAGATTAAAGTGTCTCGAGACTGGTTTGGATGCGTCCCTGTCATTTCTTTCCACGTCGCGAAGTTTTTCTCGGAATCGGTCCCCTAGTCGTTTTCCTGTTTCGTCGATGTATAACTTATTGCAATAAGTGCAAGTTATGCAGTAAATAACATTAGCGGAGGTACACGTAAAGTGATCAGTGATCTTAATGGATCTCTTGGGTCCCGATATTTTCTCTACGTTATGAATGAAAGAACAAGTTTTACATCGTGAGCGAGCGCATTTGAAAGTTCCAGAATTAACCAGAGGAAAATTTAACAGCAAAACTTCTCATAAATTTAATTTCCAAAGCTTGACCTACCTCATTTCTTTTCTCAACAGCGGCCTCTTGAGCGACGTAGAAGGCAATGATCTGCTGGTCAGGTCGACTCCATTCTTTTTTCGATTCCATATTATCTGCTTTCACGTCGATTACCAAAGCTCTGAACTACCTAGTAGCTCAATTACTTCAATGGCTTTCAAATGTCATCCTGCAAATTTGAAAGTAGTTTGTTTTCACTCAGAGGGAGACGGGCAAAATTGTACGTGGACGCGATATCCTGCAGTGGCTGAGACAAAATATGTTGTGTATGACAGGCAAAAACAAAACAGCTGTCTATAGTCATTAAACGACAAATTGAAAAAAATTGTTACATAATTATTCTGGCACTAAAATTGAAATAAAAATCTGGAAAAGCTGGGGTTTTTTTCCCGCTTATATTTCGTACTCTTTAAGTAGGTCCTGATCGACTATGGAGTCTACTGATATAGTCCCCAAACACCGTTAGTATGTTTTCTAATTTTTTTCCTTAATCGAATAGAGTCACATAACAAAAATAGCTGTGGAAATACTTTCTACGGATTTCGTCTCAAAGAATATTGATCTAACCTCTAATTACAAGCCTGTTCGTGGAAGATCAAATCCTCAGATCAGGTAACAAAGTTTTTTCAAAGTCGTAAACTTGCCCTTTACAGCATTTCAAAGTTTTGATGAGAGGTCTCGTATGTTTACAATTTGGTGGGATAGGAGACAAAACTTGAAAAGGCAAAACAATACAAAAGTACCTCCATCGGTAGGCAGTCACAATCTTCGAAGCCGCATATCAATATGTAAATGAAGGGATTAGCTAACCCGAGTAATAAAAGTAACGCTGAACTGTAGGAAAGAACACTTCCCTGGGGACGCCAAAAGGACCAAGGAAACACAAAAGGTGAGTGAGTTTTATTCATCTCATGCTTAAAATGTAAATCAACGATATTTCATTCCCTATACGTGGTCTACTGTAGCACTGTAATCCTCCATGCGCCAAGACCTAATACGCGTTATCTGGGAGGTTGCGTTAGGAGTCACACAACACTTAATACTTTCATGAATGTGTAGGCAATCGCTTTTCTCGAGACACTGAATTGACCGCAAGACTTGTTCTCATAACATAAAAATATTAGATGAGGAGCATACGATAAAATCAGCTTATTTCTTAGACTTTCTAACAGAGCTTTGCTTTCATTGTTTGTAGAACGATGCCGATTTAGTTGTGAGTATCTGTACACTCTTTTTTTAATGAGGACCTATTTTATAACGGAACGTTCAGGCAGAGATTAAGCAAAATTTTGAGAACAACCTAAGAACACACCCGGGCCGTGAGTCAGTTAAGAACGGCTGATTTTTAGTGAAAAGTGTAAATAAAGGTAAAAGGAATGTAAAACTCTGGTCCAACAGGACAGTTAACTCAGATCCTTGGGGACGTAAACAATGCGGTTATTGCACGATACACTGAAGAACAACTCAGTTTGTTGTCGAACTTATTCTGATCACGTCCGAATGCATTTATTACCGTACAACTTATACTTCATGTTTGGAACGTTTTCAGGCTCAAATTGCAAAAAAAAGAAATTATAAATAAATAAATGAGAACGTCCAGCCTCAGCCCAAAAATGAGACGTTTTTACAAAAAAGGTGTACTCAGCTCCGTTATCCATTTGTGTTGCACTAAGTTGACTGCTCGATTAAGGCTTTGATCTGTGACGTCTTCGCACGAAATTGACAACCGATTGCAATCGCTTACACACTTAAATTTTAGTAATAACAATGGATTGTCAAGGACACTTACACTTCACTTTGCTTCACTCCTCTTAGCTTGATGTCTTTACTCTCTGACTGGCGCAAAAAAAAAGATGCCTAATCAAGAATAGCGCTCACCTGCGTTTTTTCTTGGATCTTCTAGCTTAAAAAATCCTTAACCGCAGAACATTATCTGGCTGATGAATATTGTGCATGAGGTGTATGAAAAAGATTTCCGAACGGTCCCATACTCATTATATGCCGACAGTTCTTGAATACAGAAAACAATGGTGAAAACAATGAATTGCCTTAGAGATTACGGCTTTGTTTATAAGAAAATCTTTCCAATGAGCATCGCAAGTGAGCCGCAATTCAAGCAATTGCAGGAAAAAAGCCTGAAAATTTCAGGCCTCTTAAATACTAGTTGGGCGCCATTACCAACCTAGCAATAAGCCTCATATTGGGAGCGAGGCAAATTCTTGTGACTTCTTCGTTCCCGTAGATCACAATTTTAATTAAACAAATAATTATATTTTGAACTGCGAAGGAAAGAATGGGAGGTGTGACTTGATTTCGAGAACAAAGCTTTTAAGAGGCGGCAGCGAGCCTCAAATATTCCATCAGAAATAACAGGAACATTCTGTTTTGGAGGACAAATCCGCTCCTAGTTGATTATTTACCGTACTGAGCTGTACTCAGGCTGTTCTCGGTATTCTCAGTATTTACTGTAGATAGACACTCTAAGTGTTATTATTTCCATTGTTACCTTTGCTTCTAGGAAACCTCGTGGCGGCTGGTTGGAACTTAAAGAAATACATGCATAATTTGCAATAACACAACACGAGTTGACTGTGTAATTCTTGCAATTCGGTTTTGTTCGAGGCTTTCAACGATTTATTTATAACTAGCAAGGTGTTTTAACAAGCTTCAAAGAAGTCAGAGTAAAAAGAGCTTCTTTGAATACGATTCCCTTGTGTTTTTGCTGTTCCTGGTTGAATATAATTAGCCTGAGGATAAACTTACTCGATACCTCTGTTCTACCTCTAAAATTTAATTCAACTTCCAGCATATGGCCATAAACACGTTTCATTGATAAACTTTTGAGATTTTTTTATCAAGAAATGTGATCGCCGTGACCATGCGAACGCATCATCAAATTCTTAAATATATCTCTAAATCCAATGAGTCAGTTTTCTAAAAATAAACCTCAAGCGATCCTGATCTCACTATGATTATTTATATAAATTTTACAGTAATCTTCCCATCTCGTAGGTTTCGACATCTGCAATGATTTAAAATCGTATATTTTCTCGAACAGTATTTTTAAGAAACATTATTCGATCAGTTATCCAGCAGTAGTTTGGTCGCCAATAAGTTATATATTGCTCTAGATCGAATGTTATCTTACCTTTTAAATATCAACAAATCCAGAGAACTTTCATCGCTTCCGATTATCAGCGAAGCCAGTTAAAATCATTCGAACCACGGAGAATTATTTAGTCTTGTCTGTCGTGGTCATTTCGGCTTGCGTCACTCGCCTTCCCAAATCATGTTTCTCAAGACGGCTTATTGTCCGGGAACAGCCAAAATACGTTACCTGCTTTGAAGTCATCTGTTGTCACACCTTATCGCTGAATTATTTATCGTATTGTTTTCTGGTAGGGATAAAGAGAACCCGTCAAAAGCAGACGGCCGTATGAAGCACGTGACATCTTTACTACACGTGGTCTGAAAAAATGAACGCGGAAGACTGGTTACAAGAAAATAGCTACACAATGCGGAGGAAAACACCTAAAAAAAGAAGAAACCCTCGCTGACTCGATTCTCACTACTCCAAGTACAATTAAAAGAGTATGAGTAACAAGTGCTAAACAACTAAGCTTACCTTCATTCGTGAATACATGTATAGTTGAAAAGGTTCATTTCGAAATCAAGATATTCGCCTGAACAGCTCCAAGATGGCCAAGAGGCGAAACACAAATTTGAGGTGGATTATTCTTGTTTCAAGTTGCTTAATGCAAAAGCCATCGTTTTATGGCATATTTTGGTTATCATCACATTACCTCTTATAAACGCAAATCCAAACGATGCTCGAAAATTGAAGTTCAGAACGGTTCTTATGGAGTTTGGGCAATCTGTGTAATTGCTTGATTCAAGCATGAAGAAAGCTAGGGAAAATAAAATAAAAAGTACTGCCTCCATCTGTCACTCTCATCAGTTATTCCTTACGTTCCGGCCAATGTCGTCACAGACATGACGATTCTTACATTACAGCAGAGCTTGCTTGTGCTACAAGGAAAGTTTTTCATACTTGTAGCAATTCCCGCATGAATTAATTCTACCAAATGTTGACAAGTGTTAAAGAATAACTAGAAATTGCTAACAATTCCACTAGCATGAACATCACTCAGTTTGAAGCTGTGCAACTAAGGGCCTCTTTGCACGAGCCCAGGTTGATTTGTAGCTCAATTTGGATCACCGCAACAATCCTAAAAATATTGATTCACTTTACGTGAATCCGCGTTGCAGTTCTGCATTAATATGTGATTCGTTTCGAGATCGACCGGGGTAACCCTTTCTACCGACGAAAAACCTGATTGAAAAAAACAGCCTTGATTGAATTTGATCTAATCGCTCGTTTTCTGTATACGGATTGGTCAGTTTTTTAAATGACACTGATAACAACCGTCGCACTTTTATAATGAAGAAAAAATATATATACATACGAAAACTTTTTTTCCTTGGTAGAAGGTTTTGTTTCAAGCATCGCCATTCTATTTGATATGTACAATAATGAAAATTAGGGCTGACACAATCATTATGTCATTTTTCCGGTTTTGCTTTGTTTTTTAAAAAAAATATGCTTCTGAAAGATTCATTTTTAATGCAAAGTAAGTAATCAGAGTTAAGTAGGTTGATAGACATATGCAAAAAAGCAGAAATTAATTCCCTTGTTTTATTCTTCCAACATCCCAGTGCGTGTTACAGCGTAATCTACCTAAACAAAATCAAGAAATGAGCGGATTTAGCACGTAAATAACACAGTTCAATCATTTAGCCGGAGTATTCCCAGTGACAGTGATCTGTCCTATGTGACGCCGGTTGGAGAAGTTGTTATTGCGCGTGCCCATGAAACAGTACTCCCCAGGCTTTGTGATGCGGAAGCATGGCGGGTTGCAAGAGGCCGGGGCGTTGTTCAGTTGAGCCTGCAGTGTTTTGTCGCCAGTGTAACAGCCCTTGTTAAGGTGAAGATTTAACTTGGCGGCATCAAATTCGTCGACATGGTCAACTACTTCAAGAGGAAGGCTGGAACACGCTGCTGGTTTGAGAGATTGGCATCCTTCCTTTATCCAGCACACGTTGGTGCGATCAGTTCCTGAAATGAGAAAGGAATTGATTCAAGGTTTTACTAATCAGATTTAGTTTACTCGGTCGGCTGTTATTTGCTCATCGTGGTAATATATTGATTAGTCATCGAAAATATTCAGGCTTGAGCTTTTTAAGTCAGATGAATCTAGAATTAAATATGCATTATCGTGTTTTTCTTACGTGCTGTTCCTTCTCCAGCATTGTTCTGATTGTTGTTTGAGCCTGCCGATAGAAGCAATAAATAGGTAAACAATTGGACACAATGAAAAAACCAAATGGGAAATGGAAATAAGAATGAATTTATGAACAGGTCACAAGAGTTCGTATCAAATAGATTGTTCCTTCTCACCGGACCAGACGAAACACACCACATCCTCTGTTGTAACAGTGAGGCGTTCAGGATAAAAGCGATATTCCATGGCAGGATACGCCTGCACTATGTTTCCTCTCTTGCCCATTCCATTAATGTAATAGATATTGCTATGCTGAAATTTCATGGGCAGTTTGCTCCGTGGTTTAAGGATGATCACATGACTTCTATCCTGGAATGTTCTGCCGAGCTGGGCGGTGTTCAAAGCGATTTGAAGATCGGTCTTATTGTCAACAGCTTTAGTTTTCGGATTATTTTTAACCCTGAGAAGAAAAGAATAATCGATCTGTAAAGGCTATTTTCTCACATTGGTCTCTATGTCCAATCGGATCTATTCGGCTGAGTGCAATTTAACCGAGGTCTATTCCAGTTTGAATCAAATCCCAGAGTACCATAGTTCCTTTCCACCCGTCAGCTTTTCACTCGTCTTAAGGGATTTCATGTCGATGAAACTCACTGAGAGCTATCAGATCAAAAATTACGAAATGAACGCTTGTGTATTCAAGATCACGATAGCAATGTGTTATTGTTGTAAACAGGAGAAAGTTGAGCCTTATTTTGTTGATAATAGAGAATAAACAGTGTTATTAGACGGTCGGGTTTTCAAACATTTAGGAAACTAAAACATTTCACTTTAACTTTTGTTAACTTAGGCGATTCTACTAACGGTAAAATGGAATGACTTTGTAAAGTGGTCATGAGCCCTACACATCCTATAACATCAGTATGTATATTATCCATACTGTTCAATACACAGTTCAGTGACTGACAAGGAGAATTTGTCTAACAATCTAGAGCTTCTTTAGTTGGCCATCCATTACTTTATTCTTGCGACCTGAGTGTTTGATTCAGGGTGTTATTGTAAGGAGAAATGAGAAGTCAGTCACTCTAAGGGGTAAATGGATCAAGTACCTACTCGTTATTGTTCTTAGCAGTAAACCCACGGGGCACATCGCTTGTGGTTATATTGTACCTGCGAGGAAAAAATCAGTGTCACTTAAGCTTGACAGAATTGTTTCCATAACTGAACTAGGTTTTGAGTTAGACACAAGCATGTCTGAAAACTAGTGTATATAATGTTCTTGAAATGGTTTTTAGTATTTTATGAAAACTCGTTAAGTTGAGGGTATCATAATGAGGTACGTTCTCAGGAAGCGTTATCAATTAATTTTAATAAGCATATGCGGTGTTCGACATGTCATCATGAGTTGGTAAAAAGGTTGATATCCAGTTATTTTTATTTTCTTTTACAGTTCTCTTGTTTTAACAGGATTTGGGAAGATTGGTACTGAAAAATCATAAGGCCAAAATGGGTTACATGAAGGAATCTCGAGTTGAATGCGTCCGTTTCTCCTTTCTGATGTAAAGAGAAGAAAATTTATCATCATGAAACCTACTGATATTTAAAGTCCTGCTTCTTGTTTTCAACGCTCCATCGCCTCTACTTCCTGATGATTAGTTTTCTCACCTGAGTCGTATCACACAGCGTTGGGTGGTGTTTGTTGGAAAGCAAGGAACCTTCCACTTGTAGGACGAAAACTTTCCTTCCATGCTCATTCCGTTATGATTAACGACAGTGGATGGGGCGTAGATCACTTCAGGAGGCTTGTGAACAAGAACAAACTGCTCCTTTTGATCAGCTCCTTGAGAGATCTTGTGTGGTTCGTAAGGAATGCCTCTTGCCAGTTTCATTTCGCCCACATTATGACAAGTGCTCAACACACCAGCAGTTTTCTCAACGTAATTCGTGATGAATTTTGTCCAAGTTCCTCCAGCCGCCTTGCATTTCTCTGAGGTGATGTATTTTGCAACACATTTTTCTCCTTTAACGTTCGCGTTGTCGGGCGGACAGTCTTCATTTCCGGCAAGTTTGGTAGGCATTATACATAAGTCTAAAACGTGAGATTTAGGGAAAGTTTCAAATGGATTTGCTTTGATAACAAAAGTCAGTCAATGCTGTATAGTACTGTACTTATAAAACCGTTCAGATCAAACCTGACTTACATTTGTGTCCATAGTGAGGGCTGTTTACGTATTCTTTCATTAGTTGCTCGGTCTTTTTATCGCTGACCATGATAGCAATGTCCTTCCAAGGGGTAGGGCCCCAGTATGGATAGTAATCGCGTTCCTCAGGGACCTCCAAGCCCCTCCTTGTCCCTGCGGCATTCTGTCGCGTATAAATCGGTAGATCACCCTTAAGTTGTTGGTCAGCAGTGAACAAACCTGGAGCATGAGCAATAGTATCGTTACTATAAAGAGAGTGACTCATCGAGATTCATTTTTGTATCAGTCAGTTCGGTATTTCAGTTTATTTAAACCTCTTACCTTTGTTTCTCTCTCTCCGATAATACGCCTGATAATAGTTGGCTGGTTCGTGAAGTCCTCTGTCTCTTCTTATGTAAGCATTCTCTCGCGCGTTTTTCGAAAATGACTGAGTGGAAAGAGTCTGCCCATTACGAATTGTATGATATTCAAATTCTTTGTTCACGTCGTTGGTTGCCATCTTGCCCTCTGGATAAGGCTGACACATGTATTGTAGAATAACTTGGGTTTCTACCATGTCGTTGGTATCTGGTCCAGTTCCGTGTTGGTTTGTCCACATGATATCAACTTCGGTTTTTACCTTAGCATCGCATCCACTCATGTAATATTCCTGATTGGATTATTTAAAGAAAATATCAAGCATAAGAGAAAGAAATGCAAGAGAGCAAACAAAAAGACAACTGCTAACAAATGATAAACGATTTTTACCTGTGGCAGCTGTCTGAACTCTTGAATGTTGTCTCCAGGGTTACTATCCAAACTGTCGCCGACATTGTAACCAGCCTTACCATTATTCTTAGGAAGACAAAAGAGTTATTTATGAACTGAATTACTTTCGTCTTTGTGGTTAAACTGCGATTAACAGGGTAATTAAGTATTATCAACGTAGTTGAGAGCGTAAATTGGCCACCGTAAAGAGTTTCAAAGCTGACGTTTCGAGCGATTGACGATTAGTTTCTTTAGCAGCCTTCCCCCTTCAAACTGCGATTAGACTGAGTCCACCTCAATCCAAATGACCACGAGGTGAAAGCGTCTGCGGCAAAATTTCTTAAGAGGGTCATTTTCATTTCCCTCTTTGATCATCAAGGCGTTCCAGTAGCCGGCCACGTCTGCTTTTTCTAACCTTCCTAACGTTTCAGGAAAATGTTACAGTCAGCCGATCCTCGATGCTATGCAGGTAGTCTTCAGATTTCTAAACCAGTCATTATCCCGATTCTCTTTCTAGTAGCAGCAGCAGAGGCATTATCATTATTTTTTTTACATCTTACTATGATAATGATTTTAGTTTGTCTTGTTTTATTAACTCTCCCTTTACTTTGGGGTAACATCAAAAGTACCGGTGGGGTGGGGTGGTCCTAGCATTTGTTTCTTCCCAACCTCTTCCCCCCCTCCCCGTGAAATGCAGTTATATGGCCATAAACATAAAAATGATCGTTTCTCATGGACTCAATTCTTGGAAAGAAGCCAAACGAAAAATAAAAGGGGAAGGATACGCTTTCTGTAAATTTACGTTCTCAGGTTTATACCGTTTTAACCAGATGAAGAAGACTTTATTCAAAAAAGAAATCGTTTGGTTAAATCAATTGAACGAGCAAGTCCAGGATTTTCCTCAGTGTTGGTCAATCACTTTCACCAGGGGGACGGCAATGGGTAACAAAATATTTTATGGGAATGGCATTCGATAAGGTTACCGCAATAAAAATCTAGTTTGTAATGGTAATCTACCTGCGAATCAAACAATCTGTTTGCATTTCTGACGTTATCTTGGTTACCGTTCAAGCGATTGTTGGATCCTGCTGGAGCATGCATGTACATGTCCGATAAACAAGGCTCGATGAAAAGAGCCATGAGGCAGCCCCAAATAAAGATGGTCTTCATGACCTGCATGAAAGAAAGCCAAGATCAGTTTTTAATGAGAAAATTAAACTCTGTTCTTGTTGTCATAGCAACAGATTTTGACGTTGTCAATGCATTTCATTTAATGTCGTAGTACGTGCGATACAAGCGTTGAGCGAAAAAAAAAATTGGCTTTGCAACTTCAATCAACAGAAATAAAAAGAACAGTATTTATTCAAACGACTCTACGTTAAGGAAGAAAACAAATGACAGAAATCCGAGTACGAGAAGAGTTGTAACCACGTTTGCCCTCTGAAACCTCCCATGAAACTGAAGTTTAGTAACCACGTTTTCCCTCCTGTAGTGTATTGAGGACAAAAGGAAAGTACTTGTACCAATGTAACTAACATCACTGTGGGACCGTGACTGAATGACGTTAAAGGACTTTAAACAAGTAACATGATTGCACCAGCTTATTAGGTGGTTGATCGATGAATAAAGACAGAATACAGAGAGCAGTTGAAGAGTGAGTGTCTTCTCCAAATAAATACACAACAGCCCCCAATGAACCTGAAACAAAGTCACAAGGAATTGGACGAGAATCTTTGTGATTTCTCGTCTCCAATTTTTCCAATCAGTTGGTGAAGAGTCGCCAGGGACTTAGGGAAAATTTAAGAATTTAAAAGCTTAATTTATTTTAAAAACCCCAGCTTAAATTTGATGCTGATTATGATGACTTGAATAATGTTTAAGTCATGGCCGCAATCAAGTCTCTCGTTTAAGTTTACTCGATTAAAAAATCAAAAGCTATCACCCAGAGAGAAACTTGAGCAATTTCAAACGACTCTTCCTATACGCCACGAATGTGGCAATTCTGTTCTAGCGTTTATCTTGCCAGTTTTTAACGCTGAAAATAGTGTTACAACTGAGAATTAAAACTTGGTAGCAGTGTCTAAAATGAGCATTCAAGTGTTTTACTTACGGCTCCGAATTTAGTGTCAGCTAGTTCCCGCTGCTAATACCCGCACCGTGTAAAGTTTCGTAATGTACTGGTATCGACGCCCTGAAAACTAATTTATAACATCTCTTATCAGGACTCTTGACCTTTTTCACATACATTGTATCACGTTTTGAAGAGTTAATGATGTTTGCGCTTGCATATGAAAGAAAATGAATCCCTTTATTCATGTTATTCTGAGAATTATGCAGCTGTGCAAAGTTTCACTATAGAAGAGTTGAATAAAACGTTCTGGACAACAACAAACAGCCATAACACGTTTGTGTAACGTGTGTTTCTTTGCTGACAGTCTTTCAAAGAAATGTTTGTACAATGAACGTGTGAAGTTGTAATAGACATTATTATGAGATGAATGAGAAAAAGATATTATTCTATCAGCAGTTATTTATACTTGAAAGTTCTTTACGTAAAGGCTGCTCTCCTTGTTTGCACAAATCTATTTCATTTGGAATCTCAACAATTCATTGAAACTGTGTATCACGAAAAAGCTCAGTTCTTCTTACCACACATGTATCTTCGTTGAAAGTGTCTGAACAGTATAATTATCATAAACACAGGCGATTGATAGGTTCCTATTCAATTAAGTGAAAGAAAAATAAGTGCAAACTCTCGGACACATCTGGTTGTTTGAAGAATTTACTTGAAAGAACCTCAAACACTGAAAGGTTCTAGTTTCTAACGAAACTTCAGTGTATTCAAAAGCAGAATTCATGACATCTTTAATATCTGCTACTAAATCACTATTAGTGCAACTTTGGAATGAATTAACACCTTGTATGAAGCCGGTGAAAAGTACCAGCGAGTTTTTATCAGCTTAACAGACAAAGTAGGCTTCATTTTTATTCAACTGCTGTTATCTATATATTATTCTGTCTATCAAACTCTTGCTTGATATTGTACAATCAAGGGTATCAGTCTGGAGTGTTAAACGGGGAGTGTCGTCGTTGTTGAGTTTTCTTGATTTGTTTGATAAGGAGAAATTTACAATATGTATCAGTCTATGCATTATTAAGGGGGCAGGTGATATGTGTTTAGTTTTTTCTCTGATTTGTTTGACGAGGAGGTAAATACTTATTAGGGAGTACAAGGTAAATTCCCTACTTTTCGCATTCCGCGAATTTCATACGTTATTGTATTGGAAATCGTTTAAACCTTTTTCGGTAATTTTCTCTCGAAAGGAGAAAACTAAAGAAAAAACTATGAGGGACCTGCTTTCCTCAAATTTTGCAATGATAAATGAGGTGGTAATTTCTGAAAGAATAACTCTTTCATCTCTCAAATTTATACCGGACTGAAATTGTCAGTGGGGGGCTTCCCGTAAATTACACTCTGCGATAAAAGAATTACATTCTTCGATAAGAATCGTCAAAGCAGGTTTTATCTGAATTAGAATCAAAATTCAAGGATCTCAAAAAGCAAGAGCCCACCCTAACAACAAATCTTAAAATTATGGCTTATAATTTACTCAGCTTCCTGAGTGGTACCGTACTTCTCTCAACCAAGCTTGTTGAGGTCTTTCTCCTTCTCGCTGCCCCCCCCATCCCGATATGCTTGGGAATGAGTTTGTATTCTACTAGGGAACGGAAGGAGAAATGTCGAAAGTGAGGTATTCAAACAATTGTCACTTTTCCCTTAGCTGCTAAATTTGCAGCTTCACTTTGGCGAGCTCTTCATGGTTACTATCTCAAAACATACCGTTTCCACATCGAGGTCAAAATTGAAGAGGATTGCTTTAGACGTTTTTTGTTTTTTCTTTCATTACTAGTACCTTCAATTACAAGGATTATAAGGATAAGAAAGGACTTATCTTTCAAAAATTATTTCGTTCAAGTTCAAGAACACGAATTTCGCCGACCTTTATGTCATACGTAGAAACCCCAAGCTTACTCAAACACCATCTTACATTTCTCTTCGGTAAGTCCTAGCTTTTCGAAAGTCAAATGATGACCTAACCATTGCGATCTGTTTGCAATTCAGGCACGTGCAGTCTTCAATGCCACCAAATTACGTACCTTCATGTAATCAAACGAATATTTGATTGCGGAATCTGTCGAGAGATCTAACTTACCACACGTATTTTTATGATATTTGTTTAGAGGAAAATCGCCGCAAACATTGGCTATTGACCAAACGCATACTTATCTATGGAGACGGTTACCCTAAACATTAAGATTGAGATAGAGCCCCTATGAGAGAAACGCTATTTTGCAGCAGTACTTGATTACGCGCGTTGTCTGACTTTCAGAAAAAAAATTGTTTTAAATTCAATTTCAGTTCACTGGACAAGACCCTTAACCTTTTATAACTCAACATCACTATGCATATTATCCATACTATTCTCAAACCTTTCAAATATGCTGACAAGAAAAGTTTGTGTAATAATCGCGAGCTTTTTAGTTAGTGATTCCGCCGCTGACGGAATATGCAATTGCCAGGTTCACTTTATGCTCAAGTTTTTACCTAGATCATATCAGCGCAGACAATGATCAGTACTTCAACACTCAAACATAAAAATGATCCCAAAAAAAAAACAATCGAAATGAGCCATTTCGCCTCGAAAGTCTTATACCACTTTTAATTTCACAGGTGTATATTCGAACACATCCAAACAATTAAGACATCAACGTAAAAACGGATGCGGCCATTATGATCAGACCGATGGTTGGAGAGTGTGCGCTGTGTAATATTGCGCTCGCGCCGGGAAAATGATTTGCAGGGACAAAATGAAAATCTAAATATTGTGCGAAAAAGAAAAACTTTTTAAGTTTAGGTTTTTCGTTTTTTGTCCTGAATTCTTTTCACGTATACTTTATGAGATGTGCTCTTACTAATACGCCTGATGCAAAGTATTTTCTTCCAAAAGACTTTGAGATCTTCAAACAGACCAAGGGGTATATCATCAGAGTCCTGCTTCGTCAACAGGGAAGTATGAAAAAAATATTGGGTGTCGGTAAAAACACAGATGATTTCATATAGGTGTGCTTCGTCTAACACCATCAACGAGAATAGACACAACATGAACAACAATATTTTGTGCGGCTGATCATTTCAGGAGAATATTGTTTTGTCTGTTGTTCGGTGCGTTACGCCGATGTAAACAGGAAGGAAAGTATAATATCATGATTTTATTGATAACTTCTTCATGTTTCAACCAGAGATATGAGACATTAGCAAGTTATGAAAATTTCATTGAGAGAACAAGATAAAAGCACAAAAAATAATTTATTTCGTGCTCTCTGAGCTTAAATTTTTATATACAAGTATTTGCAAGAATGAATGTCACAATTAATTGCTTTTAGTAACATAACAGTTATCGTTAAACTTAACTGGATAATGGTTCTTAAGTCTGATGAAAGTATTGCGAGAACAAAAGGAATAAAATTGGTTAATAGTGAACTACCATTAAATGTAGTTAAAATAACTAACAAAAGTACGATCGATGTAGGCTAGGATGTATTTTTGAACACAAAAAGCTTTAAATTACTTACCGATGGCCGAGTTATGCTCTTTACCAACTACAAAAAAATGTTGTCCAGTTTGAGGACTGACAAAGCTTCTCTAAACTGACAGTGATTTGAAGTTCACTGAACGAAAGTTTACGGCTTATATGAGCAGCAATGACGTGTGTTAGTACACGTGTCATCTGCAACACGCGCCGTTCAGGCAGTTCCGCGGCAAACGGAATTCAGTCAGTTCCCACGCAAATTCAAAAGGTAGCCTGGCGCCTCGCTCTCGAAGAATATTCGAAGTGCCTGACTCGATTGTCTGTTTTCTTTTTTAATTATTATAATTGCAGTTCAATGCAATCACAGGGGACAAGATCAAACTTAACCTAAACAAATTGTGTCTACTTCTTCTAACTCTCTCAGGAGAGTTTTGCCCTGCAAAGCGTTGGCGATTGGTGCGGAAGAGCACTGGTCCGCCTCATTTCTCACGCCAGCTTTGATCACGCTTGAGCAACATTTCCTTGTAGGCCGATGGTTTCAAAAGGTTTAGGTCAAAGGTTCTGGTTTTTTTCTTTTCGCGATTTCTAGATAGTAAATCCCAAACTAAAAAGTTGAAAGGTGTACAACGTAGTTTTAACATTTACAGCCACAGACTAAATGGGCAAGAATGGCTTTAGCATTGTTAAAGAAGTCTATTCAGATTAAGATTTCATGTAACGTGATTATACCAAAAGCTACTAAAAACTTAGTAATGAGTTCAATATTGATTTTTCGACGTGATTTTTCGATTCATTAAACTTCTGATGTTAGGCCTTATGCATGCTCTCGTCAGATTACCAAATTTAACCCAAAAGCCTCGCTTTTGAGGTTCTAGTAACACATACTTGGAAAGTTTTCCCAAAACACCTGTATGAAAACAATACCTTCATAAAGAAAGCAAAAAAAGGGGAAAAGATTCATTAAAATTCTAGTGCAAACGAGCCTTGAGTTGATCTTGCCGTGAAGGACGTCAGAAGTTAAGATTGGTATTTCACTGCGGCAAGATGCTAAACAAATGCCTCATTTACCATATCACTAATACAGTTCACGCTCTGCAGCTATGGTCAAGATGGTCAAGCACTAGGAATGAAACGAAAAACACAAATATTGAAGAAAAGTTCAAAACATTACAACTGCACTATGAGAAACTATATTTTTTTTTTGAAGAGCTCATAGCAAAATGAATAAAAAGGGTAAGTTTATACGAGTCTTTTACAATTAACGTAACTGAGTTTCCTTGTAAACTGATCCTAGATAATGTGCCTATTTTCGACCTTTACGCATGGTATGATACTATGCACACAGGAAGTATATGCAAGGTTTGGACATTTTTGGAAATTTCCTGTACCGACTGTGAATATATGAAAGTCATATATTTGTACTGCGGATAAAGACGTGAATATGAAAGCGATCTTCGCAGTATTGAACGCTTCTTGAGCAGTAGTGAAAATGGCCACAGATTAGCCACGAATGAAAGGGTAAGTTTATGGACTTAATGATCCAAATAAAACTTCTCCCTTATTTTTATTTTTCTATCTTTCTAAAATAATATTTGGTTGCTTCCCTTATGCCGAGGGTAAAATCGAACGTGAAAGAAATCGACTGAAATATTCCGTTTTCAGCATTTAGGCAGGTCTAACAATAAGTTAAATTGGTTTTATCAACTGAGTTGAAAATTTAATTTGGCCACCATAGATAGTTTCTATGGTTTCTTCAACCTTAGAAACATTCTGTGGTGGCCAAACTAGTTGATAAGTCAAATCATTTTGTAATACCACCCCTCCCCCACCGACCCAAATTTTTGAAATAATAAATTTTAAGTGGCTTAACACAAAGCTACTGAAGCTGATTTCTATTGTGTCTTCGGATTGTAGAGCAGACATTTTTTCTTGTAACTGCTTCCGTTGAAGCTAAATGTTACAGCTTCCGAGAAAAGCTGTGAAATATTTTCTGGTTAGATTGACGTCCCTGTGATTAGTTCCTTTTAGATAGAAAATTATAGTTAGCGTTTCAGTTCAGAATAAGACCCCGTGTGATCAAGATTATTTTTTAATAGAAGACAAGTTAGACCGTAATCTTCGATAAAGTAATCAAGACCCACGAACTTTGGTAGGCAAAATAACTTGTTTTGTGATTATGTTACTCAGCTCGTAGTCGTTTTAATTGCCATGTGCTCGTTTCCAAAATCGAGATTACTCTCAAGCTATGATTTCTTTTCGTAATGATTTCAGTTGACCGCTTCGATATAAGAACGCCTCATGGAATAGGAAAAATAATAAAGAAAGGAAAGATCCTATATTAGTTTGGTGTTTATGGCCTGCGCGTGTATCAACCCGGGAATTGAGTTTCTAGCTCTAGCTTGAAAAGGAAAATTTACATTTCTTACAGCTTCGCTGTTATTTACACTGCTGAACTTTCGATTTCATCCAACGATTACAGTAACTTAGTAACCTGACATATGCCGTTGTCTCGCGCGGTCTTGTTTGTTACGCGCGATACTTCGAAGCTATTCGGTGTTCCTTCGGTCTACTTATCTACTCTCAAACTCAGCATTGAAATAAAGGTTAGTTGAATGCGAGTAGATTTCATTTTCAATGTGATTTACAAAATATGGCAAAATACTTCTCCAATAAATCGAAGTGCTAGTGTGCTTAAGTCGTGGTAATATAACCAAATGCTGATAAACTTCAAAGCACACGGTTGCATTGTGGTCTGCGGTTTTTTAATTCCCCGTGTTTTCAATACTTCCTAGAAGTAAGAGATTAACTTTTGGGAAATTTCTATCTGTCTGAATTTACCTCTTTGACCAGAAATGATGAAAAATCTGATTTTTGTGCTTAAAAATGGAGGTCGACTTATACATGAGTAAGTATGGTACTTCAGATATCGCGGGAACAGTTCGAATAGGTTGTTTGGAAAGCTTGTTCTCCACCAATACAAGAAGAAAAGAACAAAAGGAAAACACTTCACACTGACAAACTCTTAAGAAGAAAGTGATCTTGATAACATATAATTAACACAACTGTCACTTAACACTTGATCAAATGATCTAACAAGCCAGTTTGAAAGGACCTCTATTATATTACTATTTTGACTATCATTAATAACATTCTTGTTTTATAAGAAATTCCATTGAAAAATAACAAGACTCGTGTATGCATGTCATTTGCCCAAAAAAGGAAGTGACCAGCACTTTTATCATCAAAATCTCATAAAAAGTTATTCTTTTTAAATATTATTTACAATTACTTCATACAATGAGATGTAAAAAATGAAAAAAAATTGGAGCTTGACATATTGAAGTAAGAAATGTAGAAAAAAATTTGACCATTGACGCAAAATTTTTACTTAAATGATTATCTATCCTCAAAAGATATTGCTGGCTATTTCAAGATCCATACTGAAAGAATGATGTTGCTTGAATGACAAAAAAGCACAGCAATTTAAAAGATGCGATACATTTTGGAAATTCTGAAAGAGTGGTCAGAATTCTAACGTTTTTTTAAAGAGCATCTTAAGGGTAGGGAATGGGTGGGGAGAGGCTGGAGGAGCTAGGGGGTTGAGGGGGGGAGGTCAGGGGCTCAAATTTGCTGAAAAAGACCGTTGTTTCTCTCAGTTTAGGCCAGTAACTCTAAGAAAAGTTCTAAGTAGAAATTATGCTATCACATCAATTGGTTGAACATAATTACAACATAATAATTGTCATCAATTTTTGATTGAACAATAGAGAAACAATTCTCTATGCAAAATTCACTTTCAGAATTCATTCAACTGATGCACAACACTCCTTTTTGACTTCGATTTGAAAAGTTATTATTGCGTGAGCACATGTAGTAGAAACATCCTTTGTTACTGAATTTCAACATAATGCCTCCAAATGATGCTGGGGCATTATTCAAAAGAGCATCCATTTTGGTATTCTTGGTTTCCACAGACTCAGCAGCACATGTCTTACTCTGTACACAGGTATAGTAACCTTTCAAATGAAACACACAACAAAATTGGAAATTGGATTTGTAATCAATTACTAGAAACATAAACCCTTCACCCCTAAGAGTGACTAGCATTTAATTTCCCCGAACAGTATCATCTCCGAGTCAAACATGAAGGTCTTGACAACGAAGAAAATGATCGCCAACTTAAGAAGTCCTTGATTGTTAAACAAATTCTCCTTGCCAGTGTATGGGAATTGAATGGAGAGCAGTATGGAGAATATGCACACTAAACTCAGGGTGTGAAGGGTTAAACCCCACACTAAGGTATCTTTTTTTGTTGCTTGGTTATAAAATTTCCATTTCAAAGTTACTGCTGGTAAGAGGATCAGACTACACATTAATTTTGTTTGACCAATCTAACCAACTTTTCCCTCCAAACAATAAAAATCTGGGAATAATCTATGCATGTTTCTGTGTAAAACAGATGAATTCACCTAACCAAGAAGGAGTTAGAGAGCTTACTGCACAGCCAGCAGTTACAATTACTTTGAATTACTGACTGGGGTTTCCTTTTGTATCTCACCCTTCCGCATGACATGCCATATGAAAATGGACAAATATTGTACAAGACTGCCAATTTAAAAAATGACTAAACTGCCATACCTGCACTTGCCAAGCTGACAGCAATATCATCTGGTTTGGGGTCTTTTAATTCAAGGCTGGACCAAACAGCTGTGGCCCCCTGAAACATTTTGGACATTTCAAATGGGAGGGGGTAGTTATCCAAGGAATTGCCAGTTTCTACAATGTTATTTCTGTCAGAGCCTGTGGAATAACAAATCAGAGAACATTTCACCTCCTCAGTTTTAAAATCATAACAAGTTCCCGACTGTCCTCAAAAAGAAGATATAGTATCAACTGTAAATTTTATCTGTGAAGGCTGGTACCATCTCTAAGCCTGGTTCAGGTGTGTTTTCATACCTTGAATATTATCACTCACTATGCGCTGCAAAAATGGGGTACTGAATGACATTGGTTTTATTACTATCTTTCACCTTCAGTCAAATATCTGTTTTCCTTAATTTTTTTCATGAATTTATATACAGAATGCAGAAGTTAAAAAAAACAAAAACAAAAAAAACCCACTTACCACTCTTGCCTTCACCAGCATCCCCAGCTTGGCCATCACCAGCTGGACTATTGTTGTTATGTGAATTGGAGCCTACAAGTAACAGCCACAAAAGAATTTATCCATGCTGAAGCCATGATAAAAGGATTTGCTAGCCACCTTTACAAAAACTGGTATTCATGTACAGTAACAACTGGCACAAAGATCTGTTTATGTTAGATGTTGAGAAAAAGTTTTTCTTACCTGTCCATTGAATGTGCACAACATCAGTTTCTTTTTTAATGTTCAGTTTGTTCGGGACAAAGTCATACTCAACAGCTGGATAAACCTCATAGGAAAAAAAAATTCAACAAGAAAATAATCAATTATCTGTCCCTCAACAATGAAGCAGTTGTCATGTTTGTACAAAATGATTCACAATAAAACAGCAGAGCTGAAGTCTACAAACCCAAATTTTAGCTGGTAAAAATTCAATCTGACACAGATACAGTTACGTCAAAAGCTAAGAGGTTTTAAAAGTGGGTTATAGTCTATAATCTTCCACAACAAAGTACTCTCTATTGGTGATAAATACCTGTACAATATTTCCTCTTTTCCCACGAATATTCAAATTATAGATATTCTTGTCAAGAGGCACAGCTTCTGTAAATCGTGGACTAAGTTGAATGATGTGGGACCTGTCCTGAAATGTTCTTCCATACTGTGCGGTATTTAAAGCAAGTTTTAGAGGTGATGTAGCACCAATGTCAACTGCAGGATTCTGCTGAATCAACCTGGTGAAAACATACAACATATTACAAACTTTGTGGTATAAATTTTAAAACTTGCCACTGCACCTTCAATTACCATGCAAACTATGAAGTTTACTTTGCAGAAAAGAGTATGCTTAAGATGGCATTTCAGTCAGTTAAATAGTGTAATAATAATAATAATAATGGAAAATAAACAACAACAACAAAAACAAACCTACAAGGAATAGACCCCACTACTTACAACTCAAGATTACAACTCTTGTACAACCATCCATTTACAACATGACAAAGGAGTTAACCCAAATTACACCCTAAGATGAGTATCCACATTCTCCATTCTATTCTCTATATATATCTTTTAGTACTGACAAGGAGAATTCATTTGAATATCAGAGCTTCTTAGCTCGGCAAGCACTTCCTTTATTCTCATGATCTTAATGAATGATTCAACAGTATTACAGTAAGGAGAAATTAGATGCTGGTCACTTTTAGGATTTTAAAGGTTAAAATGCAGTTTTCACATTGTATAGTTTCACTGCAGTGGCAAGGATACTTACTTATTATTGTAAGTAGCATTAGTGTTCCAGCCATCATAGTCACTTGTTGATATGTTATATCTGAAAGAGATACGAAAAAACACTGTAGAAGGACAGTTAATTTACAATTACTGTTACAATAACACTAATAAAAATACCATTTGTATATTTCTATGGTGCAGATAAACATGACTGATGCATTTGATCAAATGAGCTTTACAACAATAAAAACCATCTTAAAAGTTAAAATTCATTATTAATAAGTAAAAATACATTCTATATCCTAGAAAAAAAAAACATTGTACTTAAATGCATATCCTACATCAGAAGCTCCTGTGTAGCAAAGAAAAATTGTCTTTAAACTTGAGATTTAAAATGGGCTTAAGTGCCTGCATTTCTGATTAATATTGGTAAGTAGTAGTTGGTGGTGAATGACATTTGATTACACCCCTCCCTCTGACACACATACACACACACACCCAGTGGAGGTTACTATCATCCATGTCAAGTGGAGAGTTGTTTGTCTGTCCCAATATTTAAGTCCTGCAGTGCATGTAAACTGAATGGTCTGCTTTGTAATGACTCAAGTAGCCTAATTGGTCAACTTTGATCTGTCAGTAAGTTTAGGTTGTTGTATTCCATTTGTTTGTTATGTAGATGTTTTGAGTAATTGGCTTGTATGGTGCTGGTCCAAGGGCATAGCTGGGGGGGTCCTGGGTTGCCTGTATCCTCCCTTTGTAAGTTTTTTTATTTGTAACATTAGGATAAACATGGCATGGAACATGACAATCTAGTGAGTATCCTCTATTTGACACCGTGTAACCCCCCTTTGAAAAATCCTGGCTACACCCCTTGTGTAGTAGTTGAGAAATAGTAACAGCTGCCTTCACTCCTACTAAGGCTGTTGAAATGCCAGTCACTGCTAGCAATAACATTCTTTTCCAGGGCTACTATTAACTGGGTGATTACACACTGCTGAATATTAACAGGTTTACCCATCTTTAATGTTACTCACCTTATCCTAAATACGCATAATTGAGCTAAACCAGATGGAAAGCGTGGAATTGTCCAAGTAAAGTTTGGTGTCACCCCATCTGGAGTGTTACCAAGATGATTGTCCCTTGTCCAAGGAGCTTGACCACAGTGAGGTGCATCAAGTTTAACTAAACACTGAGGCTTATCAGAACCAAGAGGGATACCCCAAACATGTCCTGCATTTTTACATTTATCTGGATTGTTGTACTGCACAGAAGTTATGTTCTCAAGATAGTTTGTAAACATCATCCATTTCCCTCCATTCTCAGTACAGTCCTTTTCATTGTTATGTTTTGACCATTCTTTGTGTTCCTTCTCATCAGGTGCTGGATAATACTCAACACACTCTCCTAACAATCAATCAATCAACCAAACAGTGAATCAGTTCATCATATGTTCAATGGATTCAACCCCTAATGCTAGGGAACCAATTGAAAGGAACACTGAAAATGCATCAAATGCTAATGACAAAAATACTTTGCGAACATTTTGCAGTTCAAAATGATTTCAGACCACTTTGATTTGGATTTTTCTTTCTGTTAAAGAGACTATGGTTGATAGAAAATATCCTGAAAAAGGAAAATACATATTAATCACACTTGTTTGAAGTCACTTCAACCTGACATTAATTTTGAAATGTAACATTTGCATTGGTACAGGAGCTAATAACATTTTTGACTCTTTAACTCCCAAGATCTAATCATGAATTCTCCATACAATTTCCCATATGTTGTTTTTATCATTCTAGTTCTGAGAATTTGATATTTTCATCTTTGATATTTTTGTTTCTTCTTGTTACCTTTCTGTTTAGAAATGAATGGATATTGTACTGAGGAGAAATTCCCTTTCAGTCACTCCTGGAAGTAAAAGGGTTGAGAAGCACATTTACAGTATATGGTCAAGTACAGGTGCAGACCATGCAAGCAACTTACGACTGGTCACTTATTACAACAAAAAAAATCCAAAAAGTTACTGTATAATTTTTAATTCTAGAGCCTATAAATATTTACCTTTGGGTTCAACATTGAAGCTGTGCTTTTTGTAATATTCACACTGGGATGTATCACTTGTTAAAACTGCAATGTCTTTCCATTCTGTAGGATGCCAATAAGGATAATAATCTCTCTCCTCTGGGCACTCGTATCCTCGTCGTGTGCCTGTGGGATTCTGTCTGGTGTAGATACTCTCTTTACCAGCTAGCTTTTGATCAGCTGTGAACAAACCTGAGAAATTTATATATAGAGTTAGTGAGAATTTCTTATAAGAACAAATAATTGAGAATGATTCAACAAGATTTCAGCCTGTTTGGGACACTGTGACCCTGTGACAGCAATGCAGAGATCTAAACAACTCAGATCTACAAAGCATTGAACCATGATCTTTAAATGGATTGTACATGACAGTGACATGGAGACATATTCGTGGCATGGTCTTTCCTGTGTGCTATGCCCATTATACCCACATATTTTGGTTCCATAACCTTTGAGCTGTAGCTTACACTACAGCAAATTCAGTGCACCAGGTTAAATGAATATTAGAGATCACATGAATATCATTTCATTATATTTGAGAAAATCTTCAAGGGGCTAATTTTCCAAAACACAAATTTATAGACAAGCAAAGGAAATAAGAGCCAGTAGATGAATACTTATCATTGATTCATGTACATTAATTCTCTAGGTTTTGCCACTAAAATTAAAACATGTAAATCTGCAGTGTCAGAAAATTAAGGTCAACTAGAAAAAGTTAAAAAAAAAAACTCACCTCCATTGCGTTCCCTTCTTCTGCATTTATCATACCACTTCCATGACTCATGTAGTCCTCTGTTATTATCATTATCTCCATCTTTCCTTGATTGATACTCATTACGCTTCTCTGCATCTTTCTTTTTTGTAGCAGTGAACTTCGGTGTGTTTGTATTTATACCATTGCGTTTAGTCTTATCATCAGGTTTGTCTGCTAATGGCTGACACATGTATTGCAAAACAACATTACTGTTCATCTTGTGAGGGTTTATGTCATTTCCCCCAGAGCCATGTTGATTGGTCCACTCAAATGTGAGAAATGATTTCCCTCCACTTTTGGGTCCACTCTTGGGTCCACTTTGGAAAAATTTCTGGAGAGAGAAAAACAGTTTACATGTAGGAACATTACTTAATATGAAGAATTATTGTGTAATAGAAATACTTTTCCCTTTATCTTCAAAACAACTCATAATAAAAATGAAAATGAGATCCTGAAATCCTGACAGGGGTTCAAAAATCTTCACATTTTCCTTGTACATATGATCAACTCTGACAATGCTCTACTTTAGAATCAAAATAGAGGTTACCATATTATATTGGTCTTTAGCATTTGTCGCAGCTTTATCTGTCTTGTCTCCAACATTATATCCACCTCGATTATTATTCTGTGAAAAAAAAGTATTGGATGTAAACCGCCAGTAACAGTAATTCTACCTGGACATGATGCCAGTCCATCATAAGGCTGCCCCTAGCATTCCCTAGCAATTTCTTGGAACCTTTTGATACACCTGGGTGAAGAGAATTATTGTGTGAGTCCTTCCTAAAAACCCAATGTTCTGACTAGGTCCTGTGGCCCTTTTCTCAGAATCCTGATGGTTACTGATCCCAAAAACCAATCTTCTCTTTGCCATTTTTTGCCCAATAACAAGAGGTCAACAGCTTCCAATTTCAAAGGAATAAAAATATTGGGAAATTAAGAAGAATAGACTAGTGTTTGGACTGATGCAGGCAGTACTACTCCTTAGACTTAGAATTCAAGCTACAGCTCCAGACTTGTAAAGTTAACATGACTCAGACCTTTCAGTTCAGAGTACTATATGGCACATTTTTTTTGGCACCACTTCAAATTCTGTTAAGTGTTAGAAAGAGAGGTTATTTCAAGAATTTCCCTTTAATCATAGAGTAGTTTTAAATAATTGTCTTTTTTAGGATGCTTGTGCTTGGTCGAGTGTTTGTGGTGACCAGCCAAAAATAAATTGAACAATGCAAATGCTTCTTAAAAACAAGAGCTTCTTCCAATAATAGGCTCTTGTTCAACTTCCTCATGAAAGCAGTTAGCAAGTGACCCTGATAATAGTTATCAAAACAATATCCTGTAGCAAATAATTTGTGGAAAAGAGATGACAGCCTTGTCAACATGTGGGCATTTTGTTGATAAGAAACCGAATTCTCTTCACTTAGCTACGAGATAATAAATTGGAGCTAGTAAGGGGACTTACTTCTCAGATATCGACAGCTGGAGGGTTTAACTAAAAAACTAAATCACAATGCTGAACCTACCACTTCCAGCCAACCATAAAAATCTCAAAGTTTTTTCGAGAACGAAAGTGTTGACTCTCACCTATGTCGCCTTCAAAGTCCCTGGTAGGCTAACGCCTAATTATAACTTGATTCTGTAACAATATTGCGTGACATTGTCACGACCTCGTGGTCCGCTGACCACATCGGTTTTCTTTTATTAAATATATATCTTGTTGGTCCGACATCTTGGTTTTGTGTTCTCTTCTACATTGCCCGTTCTGGCTTGTTACATGGTGGAGATAAAAGAATAAGCGGTTCCGTGTGTTTTTTTTTTTGTTTTTTTTTCTTCGTTTACGGGTCCGGAGTAGAAATGACGACAGCAGTAATCACTGACGAGTTTTTCTATCCCGCCGCTGCCACCATGTAACAAGCCAGAACGGGCAATGTAGAAGAGAACACAAAACCAAGATGTCGGACCAACAAGATATATATTTAATAAAAGAAAACCGATGTGGTCAGCGGACCACGAGGTCGTGACAATGTCACGCAATATTGTTACAGATTCATTCATCACTTTCCCCGAAACAACCTTTCCGTTTTCTTATGAGCTCTCAATTTAGCACAGAGTGTTAGCTCTACCATCTGACAAGTTTAACAAGTTGGAATACCATGACATAAAATCATCCACGCACATCACGGTAATTAAGTAGCTTTTGAGATGTACGCTTATTGTGGCTTTCCAAGGGCAACAGCCACTTGCTTAAACGCTATTCTTTACCTGAGAATCAAAGAGTCTGTTAGCATTTCTTCTCTGAGCCGATCTCTCGTTCAACCGATTATTGCTTCCACGGGGATTGTGCAAGTAGACGTCTCCATAACAGCGAGAAATAGCCAAGACAAGCACCGAAATATAGCAAAAATTCATCCTTCCTAAGATTGGTGAGACCATCGATTAGAGTTGGTTGGACTAACTTGCCGTCTTCTCGCACAAAAAGAAAAGAGCAAAGCGATTTCGAAATAAGCTGCAGAGGTTTCAACTTGCACCAGGCACAAGAAGTTAGCCTGTTATCATTACCATATTTGGTTATGAACCATGGCTTCCGGGTGTCAAAAACGGAAAATGACGTCACTGACGAGATGGTCTATTTATGTGACATCAGAGGTGGCTTTAGCTGTTTTCGGTTTCGTTGCTAAGTGGATATTCATGGATGGTGCCGATTTTACGGAAGTGATTCTAGTCCTGAACTTTGTCGGTAATTATCAATATGTCTGCGGCTTTATTTAAAATTAAAGTTCAAGCCAAGCACACGCCAACTGGATTATTCGAAACGATTTCAAGTGTTCGAGGTCACGCCACGGCCGTCGCGGGCCAATGTGGGCTCAACTCAAAATCATTACAGCCCGAGAATCAGGCGAGGGTTAAAATGACTCTGAGGGACACCAAAGTATATTTTTGCCTAAGAACATAAACTGTATTATAAATATTATCACTTTGGAGTGCCGTTGATAAAAAGAAAAAAAAATGACAACAAGCAGTCTGAACAATCACGCAAGCGTGAGGGAGGGCCAAAATACATTCCAGTCTGCCAGTCTCCTTTCCAGCCCGCAAAAAGTGCCACCATGCTCAACAAAGTGATAATGATATGGGCTTTGGGTATCTCGTGTTCTAAATTTTCATTAGCTTATATAAACTCTCGCTTTCTTTTTATCTACAGGTGGGGTCTACCACGGCGATAGAGAGTATGGGGTATAGGTCATATCAATTCATTTTCTTCCCATTCAGATTCACCATAAACATCCATGAACGAATTATATGACGTGTAGCTCGTATGTCAAGCCAAATGGCAGTTGAAGTTAAAATGTTTTGTTCTCAATTTAAACATATATTCTCTGATAAATATAGGGGAGATTCTTACCGCGTCAGTAACGAAAACGTGTGTTAATTCAGTGCAGTTTGGTCGACTACGATTCCGATTCCAAACTTTGATACGTGGCAACCTTAAGCTCTGGGAATTATAAGAAACTGCAAATGGTTGACCGTAATTCTCTAAGAGTTTCGAAAAAATATCCATTTAAACATTCATCCAAAGTATACGAAAAGGTTTCAGCCTGCTAACTTTGCCCAAAAGTGCCCTATTCCCCTAGTAACCAATGTCTTGGCTCGAATAAAGACTAGGCTCTCCATGGTTGACCACACGTCCGTGTTCACTGGATTAACGATTGAAAGCCCTTCCCATGATGCTTTGTTTAATATATAGATTTAGCCAAGCCTAAAAGCGGAGCTAACCATCGTTATTATTAATGTTGTTATCATCATCTACAGGAAATTCTTTTTGCAGATCAAGTACTGTCCACAAAACTCACTAAAATCAAAACTGAGAAATTTCAACTTCCTTTCAAGAGTGAAATTTGTTTTATTTACCACACCTGAAACAAAAGAATATCAGAAAGATTTTGATATACTTTTTTTCTTCAAATATGTCTTACAACTTGTGATAAATTTAATTTATCAAAAATTAAATCTACAATAAACAAATGCTACAATAATTTACACCACTTGGAATGATGTAATTTTGGACAATATTTTTGGATATAATGCATGCTGTCCCATTACAATTGCTTCCATACAAGATAAAAATGAAATTTAAAAATGATTGTTTATCATAATCAAATAATTATTTGCTGCAGTCAAACAGGACATAGATCAAGCCACTCAATAAATTATAAAACTGCTAGACATGAATAGAAACGATTCATATCACCTCCAAATATTTTGCAAAATAATTCAGAAATCATCCTTAAAATGAGATGCAATAATCACCTGATCTCTTTAACCAGTAACCATTAACAATTATGTTCTATTAAGTGTACCAATGGAAGTGGCTATAATCTATGCCTAGGTTTAAGTTTAGAATAAGTTTAATTCAATGTCTAAATAAATTATCAATGTTTTCCTTTTGAAAATGTCAGCAAATAACAAATTTAATAAAATGGGATGAGGGAAATGCAGTGTGAAAGCAGGCTTTCTCATTGGTTCTACCACATGCGCATTCTGCTGGCTTTAATGAGTCAGCTTGTTCACCAGCCTAAAATCACAGCACCAATAAAGAAGTTAAGGTTTCCAAGGTATTCTGCCATCTTTTTATGACTTCTTTATACACAAAACTGAGTCCTCCCCAAGAAGAGAACACAACTCCTGTAATCTTTGCTGCATCTTAGGAACTCCTGCAAGCTGGGATTCAAGTTTCTGTTTCTCTTCATTCAGTGTGAGTCTGGTGGCAGTGTTCAGTTCCTCCCAGCGCCATCCACCTTCTCCATCAAACTGTAGCAAATGTGTGTGAAATTTCCTGTAAGGAAAAAAGAGGGGTCTTTGATGTGCTAATATGATGGGAAGTCCTGGGCTCTTAGAGCTATCATCCTATTCCCCTAATTTTTTCTGTATACACATACTTTTTGGCACATTTTTTCCTGTTTCCCAAACTAAAATGCATGAAATTGCAGATGAAAACAGAAACTCTCTAATTAAAAACAGTTTTTAAAGTGGAGTCTAAAGAAAGTACCATTCCATGTAAGTGTTCACTGAAGTCTTGCACATCAAGCTGTACATGTATGTGCTTAGGCTGTAATTCAGATACTTTCAAGTGACTCCTCATGACCTACAACTTTCCTGCTTTCATGGGATGTAAACATCATAGTTAAAACAGTAGCTGAATGAAAGGTTCTCATCAAACAATTTTCAGTAATTTACATTACATTTCAACAGAAAATGTTCTTAATTAAATACAAACCAGAGTGAAGGTCTGTGTGAGATGCTTAACAGACTTATGCCTTCATCTTTGGCAGCTTGGAAAATACTCCCTTCAACATCAATGCTCACAGCACTAGTACACTCATCAAGAAGAGCAAACTGTGGCCTGCAAATCAGCAGCAAATTTTATTATTAAAATTATATCATTGGACTGGTCTAACCCTTCTAAACCTTTAACCCCAGTAACTGACCAAGATAGAATTTATCCTTACCCTGTACAATATCAATACAGTATCTAGCATAAAAGTGACAAGAATAAAGAAAAATATCAATTAAGGGATTATTAGTTGATCTAAAACCAAGCTCTTAATTAAAACTAACATATCATAATAATTGAATGTCAGTCAGCGAGGAGAATTACTAAAATGAGATCTTGGGAGCAAAAGAGTTAAAGTCTCTGATGTCTGAGTGAGTCATGGTGATTAAACATTTTCTCTTGCAAATTTGCACACACTTTTGCCCATATCATTTTATTTCAGCAGCAAAAGCAGACCAATGAAGGCAAATTATATACAGGCAAGTGAAATGGAGTGATAATCAAATTAGCTTATGACAATCAGTGAATAACTCTTTTTATGTCAATTGAGCTAAATAAAATTAGAAGAGTTGGATGATAATTAGAACACACTTGTGATAGAAGAGACGTGCCATTCCCATTCTCTGTTTTTCTCCACCTGAGAACACATCCTTCCATTCCTTGATAGCATCCCACCCTTCAAAATCAAACACAGCATACAAATAAATTACTAACAATAATGTACTAATTATGCATCACAGCTGACTATAAATATGTAATTAAGAGTATACAAAAGCTTAATCTCAAAGCCAGAAAAGAGAAGTCCATGTTAATGATCATACTTCCCTAATGCCCCCTCCCCTCCCCGCCCCCCCACCCCTGTTAGGGAGATTGAGCGCTAGTGGGTGTTTTGGAACACTTTAATTGGGATATTTCAAAATAATTTAAATACGGCAGCATACCTTACACATACATGTGTTAACTTGTAACCTGTTACTCCAGTGACTTAATTTCACAAAAGCAAGTTAAATTTCACAAACTTCAAGATTAAATAAGATGTCACGTCATTTTTAGGAATTCACTGATCATTTAAATTATGACTTTTCCTAGGGATAAAATATCAGACCTCCTTCTCTTTTGATGATGTACTGCAGGTGAACTGTGGTCAAAATAGTCTCTAAGTCATCATCAGTAATGCCATGGACATGCATGTCTTCAAAAGTGTGAGGGTAAATCACTTGATCACGAAGTGAACCAATAGGCATGTAGGGTCTAAAAACATAAGTAACAGTTTCAATTAATTACCATGTATAATTTATTTATTGCTTATTTGATATTTACAATTAACAGTATAGCAGGCATGAATATTTTATTTTAATGTTTAATAATACTGTCCCATGACAGTTACAGTACAATATACAGTACCAAATAGTTCTGTGTTTACCTGGAATAAATGATTCAAACCAGTCAGTTAACCAAGACCCAAGTTGTTGGAAACATTATCAAGATAACTGAGGGTAAGAGTGTACTTTTCAATACTATAATTAACAACAGATTAATTTTTACCAAATAGTTAATTGTTGAAAAGTGTAATTGACCCAAGAGAACTTACATTTAACATCCCAATTTCAGTAGGTTCCGTCATTATTAACAAGTAAGTGTCAAAATCATTCTCTGGTAAACAAAATATTTACATGTTCTAGTGGGTCAATATGCCATAACTTAAAGGACAAAAAGCTGAAAAGAAAAAGATAAATTAAGCAGTCTAAAACCGAAAGCAGAGCTTAAAGTATTTTGTTATATAAATCAATATAGATTGTATAGTCACACAGCCCACCTTTGTGGTATGTAGAACATGTGGCTTGGGGGAGGTTTTGCTAAGAATCCTTTGTAAGCTGGCCACAGACCACCGAGAATACGAAATAATGAACTTTTACCACAACCATTTGGACCTGTGATCAACAGATGCATTCCTGGTTCCATCTGAGAAAATTAAGTTAAATCAATGAACCTAATGAACCTAAAAAATTATAGTGGAATATCTGTTGATTGAAAGTGCAGTAATACCAGTAGTAAGTATTTCACCTTCAAACACAACTTCATGCCATACACTTACATGTACATGCAACTGATGATTATTACGACTACTAGTCATCAGCATAGTCAAAAATTAAACAATTTTTCTATTGTAATCAAGGCTATCAGCGGTCTAATTTGAGCATTTATTCCACAGAGTATTCATCATGCTTGTGATTGGACAGTCTTGAGCAACATGTCATGCCTGTACAACTCTAAACACCACCAATCATTGGTGTACAATGTTATTAATACAGACTTCATGTATTTCATGTATTGAACTCCTGGCCCTGGTTGTTCAAAGGGAGCTATCTACTAGATAAACTTCTATCCAATGGTTAGAGCAGTGCATTTTCTTTAGCTAACAGATCTGCTGGATAAAGATTTATCTGTCAAATTGCTGTCTATAAACAACTGGACCTCACATTTTCAGACTGAATTTGACTCCACTTGGTTGTATAATCATTATCCACCATTACTTGATTCATTTCATAGCTCACCTCAAATGATAAACTTGACACAACCACATCGCCACATGGCGTGATAATAGCAACATCTTTCAGGACAATACTACCCTCTGTATCCACTACTTCACCACCAGGCATTTGATTTAAATCAACAACTTCACCATGTACCCCGACACTGGAATGCTCCTTTTCCTCAAGAGCAGAGTCCTCCACCTGTGTCAACTCTCGTGAGATCTGTCGTTCACAGTGCCCCTGTTGAACATCTTCAAAAACATCAAGCATCTCTGATACTCTGGCTGTGTAACCACTCAGCTCTATAATCTAACAGAATGCAGAAGACAAAAATATTGATTAAAATCTTAATTGGTGTTTCTGAAAAAAAAAGAACAACCACTTAGCCAAGATTTACAAATTTAAGTGCTTTAAATTAGAATATAACAATATAGCAGCCAAATACTCAGAACTGTGTCATGAAAAACCCTTTACTTTATTATTTGCTACTGACTGCTGAAGGGAGTCAGAATCCAAAAAAGTGGAAGACACATGCCTCAATTAAGGCTTAGTACGAGTACATTCTCAGCTTTTGAAACTACTTTCTTTTAATGTTTTGCAACAATATGCTTTCAGAGGCAGCAGATTAGTGCATACAGTGTGCATCACCTAAATAATCGTTGCACAACTCAATTAATGGTATGTCTGTTTGCAAACATACACTAATTAGTCATAAACAGTGTTTTAAGCATGTCCTGACAAACATTAATCAATCCTTTAGACAGGGAAACAACCAATAATTTTAAATACAGAAATTACAAATAAATATTTCATTAAATTGTATTTTCAATGTTCACCTCCTTGTAAGAAGACATGACCCTTTCTATGGCATCTGCAGCAGAAACCATCAGCGAGCGTGATGTTGTTACATGTTCAGTTCTTTCACTTACACCTTGATCTGCTGGCCCCAGTTGTTCTTTTTCAGTCCCTAAATAAAAAGAAACATTAAGTAGGGCATTACTTTCGCAGGGCTTTATAAAAAGCAGTAAAAATATTTTAACCACACTCAAGAAAGGATATTGTAATTCTGAAATCTATACTTTGAAATAATTCAAAAATGTCAACTTTAGGAATCTATAAAATTATCAGAACACCTCCAAAATAGTTGACTCTCTCAAAATGTTATCATAATAATTATAATAACTATATTCAATTAAACTTTTGCCAATTCCTCAAATTTTTAAATTTCTCAGCATAAAGATACTTTTCATTGCAAACTTTCATATGGTGTTGTACATTCAAAGAAATAGAGTAACTGCTTTGCAAAATGATGCAAATTGAGGGTGCAAATCTTTACACAAATTTTCACACAAAATTTTGAGGAAACTTAACAATGTACAAAAACAAAAAAAGTTCTTGCTTTCAGTTTGCAAATTACTTTTGCACAATACTGTACAGTTGTGTACCATACCAAAACTGCTTTTTGAAAATTAAGTTAACTCATTAAAAATATACCCTCCATACATGTAGACAAAATGTATACACTCAGTAATTTGGCTACATGTATATTTGTCTTAAGATCTGAAGCACTTTTCACACCCAAAAAGGAACACAGTAAATAAAGAGAGTCACATGAGTAATGCACATTTGGTGAACACTTTTGACATCAACCTTTTCCTGTCAATATGCTTGATCCAACCATGACAAGACCTGATGCACTCCACACATACTTCATTAGGAACTGTTCCAGCATGATGAACCACAAACGCTTGCTGAAGAGTAACTCCATTTGTTGTGCTAATGATTGAAAACTTTGTTTCAATAATGACAGTTCAACCTGTAAACAAAACGAAGTAGCTATAGTTACATAGACTCATCACTATGTTACCATCCTTTAACCCTTTACACCCTAACATCAGTATGGAGATTCCTGATACTGCTCTCTAAACATTTCCTATGATGCTAACAAGGAGAATTTGTTCAACAATCAAGAGCTTCTTTTGTTGGCAATCCTTTCTGTCATTCTCATGAACTTAATGTGAGATTCTGGGGTGATGTTGTTAAAAGAAATTAGATGCTTGTCACTCTCTGGGTACGAAGGGGGGGGTAAGGGGGGAGAATGATCAACCAAACATACATTATTGGCAGAGACTCAGTGTGCACAAGCTGTTCATGTAAGATGGTCATAGCCTAAGAGAAATGTCTTATCAGACTCTAAGAATTGTGACAGCACTATCTAATTTCAAAGATGGTTTTCCCCGTATTCAATACAATAATACAATTATTGTCCTCCTTCAAACATTTAGTTTACTGTTTTTTAACCAGACAGTGATTGACCTTGTCTAGTTCCTAAAGGTTTGGAAATTTATTACAAAAGTTTCTCCTTTAGATTCTTTTCTGTGTAGTGTAAATTACTGAGCAAAGGCAAAGATTGCTTGTGTCAAATAATCTGTGAGGAGAAATTAAGGGGATTGTTCAAAAAATATATAATATTGATATTACCTAGATAGCTCTGTGACTACATTTCTGTTGATCTGTCTTTTTTTAGCACTTGAAACATTAACAGACATATGGTTGTCAAAATTAGAGTATCAGTATTATGCTCTTCTCAGAATGGGTTATTCAAGTTAAATAACAGGCATTGACCTTTCAAAGCACATAATTACCTAATTTTCTGTGGTTTTTTATTTCTTTTTTTTTTATCATTTTGATTTTGTTTAGTTTTTCCCTTTGATTGTTGTTGTCTCTTTTTTTTTCGATTTTTATTCACTGAAAAGCTACCACTTCCTTTTCCTCCCGGCTTTTTGCTCCTCGGTCACCGCCCCCTATCCACCCCTCAATTAATTATTCATTAGTGCTCCACGATAATTTATTATCAAAACATGTACATACAATTCACCTACCTTATGGCCACCATAAAAGGCTATTTCTTCAGCATTTGTTATCACTCTAGAGTGAAGGAATCTAAGCTGACCTCTCCGCTGTGACTCTTCGGCGACAATCTTGCCGAACCTGGGACTTAATTTTCTTAAAATCTCCGCAGTAAGATAAATCACCACAGCAGCTATAGTGACTGGTACCTTCCACGAAGTTCCTCTCTTTCTGGCCATTCCATCCAAGGTCCAACAAATAACAAAGATATCTAGGCAAGGTTTGGTGAGATGAGAGTAAAGATGAGCGACTGAACTGCAAAACATGCGTATATCTTCTGTTAAACACTCGTCTGCATTTGCTAGTCGCCCGTCCAAGTTCCCAACACGATAGTAGGTTTGGTTAGAGAAATAGTTATCGTAAGCGTAATTCACCAACTCTGTTCGGAAGGCTAGCGAAAGTTTGCTCTCCAGATATCGAATCATGCTGTTAATGAAAGTTGCTGGAATGGCAACGCCAATCCAATTAGTCAATAGCAAAACAAACTTGAAGACATTTTTCTGGACTACCGATCTTATTATTCGACCGTCGAGAGTCGCCACGTAGATCGATAGAAAAGTCCTGACAAAAAGGCAAACTGAATGAAGCAACAACAATCCAACTTGTTTCGTCCAAATTCCAGGGAAAAGAATCTTCAATAGCCTCCACGCTTGTAAAATGAATGTAGAGTCCAAAGCTGCGGTCCTTTGGTTTACTTTTGATCCTGAACTCGACTCTACCATGGCCAATCTCGCTTTTTTTCCATGTTGTAGTTTATTCAAGATCCTTCGTCCCACAGAAGGTCCATATTTCTTAAGAATGTAAAGGCTAGCGACAGCCAGAGCAGTAGCTCCCGTAATTTCTAAGCGTCTTTTTGAAAAAGTAGCCATATTTTCATAGCTATCCACGCAAGTAGTAGTACCACCTGCTTGAGATATCGTGTGTGGTCGCGGCCATAACTCTCTCTAATCTAGTACCCAGGGCCTTGATAGAAACGCGGCTAGTACAGCGATTGGAAGTACTATATACGTTTGAGGGATTCCATCCTTTATCATTCACAGAAACTGTTACGCTGTAATATGTTTATAATAATCGCCACAAAATGTTGCAACAATCGCGGCAAAATGTAATCAAATGTTTTAACGCAAGGTGTGATAACTTTTCTGACCTTAAATGCAATAGCTCTCGAAGCAACTCAGCTATGTTACCCGTAGATTACGTTTGAGAAATGTCAGACTGTTACATGAATCGACCACGAGCTTTTCAGAGTTTTTGCCAGATTCTTCAAGGTAGCTAATTTATTTAATTCAATTTATTTTTAAATCTCAACCAGTGAGCAGCACTTTTCGAACTGTAGTCGTGGCTAATCTGTAGCCCCAAACAACGTGCTCACGGTATACATGAAATGTCCAAAAATGTCCAAACCTTGCATATACTTCCTGCGTGCATTGTATCATACCATGCGTAAAGGTCGAAGATAGGCACTTTATCTAGGATCAGTTTACAAGCAAATTCATTTACGTTAATTGTAAAAGACTCGTATAAACTTACCCTTTTATTCATTTTACTATGAGCTCTTCAGAAAAGAATAAAGTTTCTCATGGTGCAGTTGTAATTTTTTGAACTATTCTTCAATATTAGTGTTTTTCATTTCAGTCCTAGTGTTTGACTGTCTTGACCATGCCATTATTGGACGGCACATGCATAAAAAAGAGCGGCTCAGATCGATGAAACAAAATCACTGAGTTTATGGCAACAAGTAAGGTTTTCCCGAAATAATCGGCTCTTTTAAAACTCTTGAAGTGGTCAAAAGCGCTACGCTCCTAATTGACTCTGATTATTAGAAACCGCTTCAAAAATGTGTGGTATGAAGGTGAGATTAGAGAGCCGCATAGCGTGAACTGTATAAGAGTGATATGGTTAAGGAGATATTTGTTTAGCATCTTGCCGCAGTGAAATACCAATGTGGACTTCTGACGTCCTTCACGGCTAAATCAATTCAAGGCTTGTTAACACTAGAATTTTCATGAATCTCTGCCCTTTTTCTGTTTTCCTTATGTTGGTATTGTTTGAATACAGGTATTTTGGGAAAACTTTCCAAGTAAATGTTAACAAAACCTCAAAAGCGAGGCCTTGGGGTTAAATTTGAATCCGACAAGAGCATGCATAAGGCCTTTTAACATAAACCGTGGCTAATATCAGAAGTTTATTGAATCGAAAAATCACGTCAAAAAATCAATATTGAACTCGTTACTAAGTTTTTAGCAGCTTTTGGTATAATAACGTTTTAGGAAATCTTTACCTGAATAGACTTCTTTAAGAGTGCTCAAACCATTCTTGCCCATTTAGTCTGTGGCTGTAAATGTTCAAACTACATTGTACACCTTTTAACTTTTTAGTTTGGAATTTACTATCTATAAATCGCAAAAACAAAAAATAAAAAAACCGAAACCTTTTCAAACCATCGGCCCAAAAGGAAACGTTGCTCAAGCGTGATCAAAGCGGGCGTGAGAAATGAGGCGGACCAGCGCTCTTCCGCACCGCTCGCCAACGCTTTGCAGGGAAAAACTCTCCTGGGAGAGTTAGAAGAAGTAGAGACGATTTGTTTAGTTTGAGTTTGATCTTGTCTTGCCCCCGGCGGTTGTCTTGAACTGCACTTATAACAATTAAAAAACCAAACAAACAATCGGGTCAGGCACTTACCAGAACCTTCATCGAATATTCTACGGAAGCGAGGCACCATGCTACCTTTTAAATTGCGTGGGAACTGACTGAATTCCGTTTGCCGCGGAACTGCCCATATGCACGTGTTGCAGAAAACGCATGCGCTAGCACACGTCATTGCTGCTCATATAAGCCGTAGGCCCTCACTCAGTGAACTTCAAATCAGCGTTAGTTCAGAGCAGATTGTCAGCCCTCAAACTGGATAACATTTTTTATAGTTGGTAAGGAGCATAACTCGGCCATCGGTAAGTAACTAAAAGCTTTTTGTGTTCAAAAATACATCCTAGCCTGTTTCGTCGATCGTACTTTTGTGAGTTATTTTTAGTTACATTTAATGGTAGTTCACTATTAACCGATTTTATTCCTTTTGCCCTCGCAATACTTTCATCAGACTTAAGAACCATTATCCAGTTAAGTTTAACGATAACTGTTATGTAACTGAAAGCAATTAATTTGGGACATATATTCCTGCAAGTACATGTATATAAAAGTTTAAGCTCAGAGAGCACGAAATAAATTACTGTTTGTGCTTTTGTCTTGTGCTCTCAAGTTTTCATAACTTCTTCATGTTTCATACCTCTGGTTTAAACATGAAGAAGTTATAATTAAAATCATGATATTATAATTACCTTCCTGTTGACATCGGCGTAAAGCGCCGAACAACAAACAAAACGATATTCTCCCGAAATGATCAGCCGCTCAAAATATTGTTGTTCATGTTGTGTCTATTCTCGTTGATGGTGTTAGACGAAGCACACCTATAATTAATCATCGTTATTATCTGTGTTTTTACACCCAATGTTTTTTTCACACTTTTCTGTTGACGAAGCAGGATTCTGATGATATACCCCTCGGTCTGTTTGAAGATCTCAAAGTCCTTTGGACGAAAATGCTTTGCATCCGGGCTTATTAGTAAAAGCGCAACTCTTGAAGTATAGGTGAAAAGAATTAACGACAAAAAACGAAAAACCTAAGCTTAAAAAGTTTTCCTTTTTCGCACAATATTTAGATTTTCATTTTGTACTTTCAAATCGTTTTCCACGAGCGCAATATTACACAGGGTGCACTCTCCAACTATCGGTCTGATCAAAATGGCCGCATCCGTTTTTACATCGATATCTTAAATGTTCGTCAGCGGCAGTACTTAGGCCATACCTAAAATGTATTGTTTGCCATCGTCTTTCCTGTTGTGAAAGAAGGTCGATCAGTCGAGTAAGAAGTGAGGAAGAAGAGAGAACTGACCGAGGCGATCTGAGCGAGAGTTTTGTGAATTTAACTGACAATTCATTGCCTTTTGTAAATCAAAGCCTTTGTTTCTTGGTATTACTGTTCACTTTGTAAAACTTCGCATTTCGCCGAAATTTCGTGATCGCCTCAGCATGTTCGTTCTTTTCCGAAATTGGTACTAAGAAATCAGGCTTTCATCGCAACTCCATGAATGGTAATGACATTTCGATCTGCTCATCCCGGATTCCTGTGTTTCGAGTTCTATATATATCAGTTTAGGCAAATTCTAAGTATGACTCAATCTTTGTCCAATCAACTATCAAACCATTTTTACATGCCCCCACAAATAGGGAAATAGAGTAGCTACTTTAATTGGATAAACTACACAACATCCAGCGATGAGAAACTTGGAAAAGTTTTTAGGCACGTCTCACAGCTATTCACTACTTTCTTTCTTCTTTCTTTGCAGAATCCTTGCCTACAGTTTTTAATTCATTGTTAGCCAACGAGATAATCAAATATTTCAAACCTCATTTGATACACACCACACCTTAGGACTTCAACATTCAGACTAACCTTTGCTTGTAATGTTACTCTTTTTTGCCAGAAATATGCAGGCCACAACCATCTTAGGTTTCTTGTTGTCAACACTCCTTACCTTGTGTTGGGCGGACGTATATCTCCACTTTCCTGGAGGTAGCAACAACAGATTAAACGGGAATGGTGTCAACGTCAGGAATCCCAACAGGCTGTTTGACTCTCAGGTGGGTGTTTTGAAGGACAGCCTCACCATTTATATGGCGGATGGAATTTAAACACGTCGTTAAAATAAGTATTCAGTCATTTACGAACGAAATATAACCTAAAGCGGGAAATGTCCATCGCTTGACTTAAAACTTTTCTTCCTTAAAATCCCAGTACGTTATCCAGCTCATGGCATAAAAAGAGACAAACTAATCACGCCATGTACGAATGTATTGATTATTTGGTACATTTTTTTGTAGAACAATGGTAAAGCCGGTTACAATGTCGGAGACAGCGGAATCAACGCTACCAAAAACGAGATACCGGAAACGAGGCAGCGTCCATTGGTAAGGCATATTTGGATAATTCTGCTTCTCTTCTCTTTCTGTTTCATTTTCACTCTTGGTTCCACGGAAAGAATCAACATGTTTATTAGCTGAATCGCCATAATGATAAGGGGTAAGTATCTGAAGAAACTGTGGTTCTGGGTCGGTGGGGGAGGGGCTGGGGGTAAAAGCTGAGGTTTCGAGTGTTAGCCCTTTGTCATTCGCTCTGACAATCGTAAATAACTATCAGCCCCCGCAAATATCGCTATTGCCCATAATTCCAAAATGTATTCGCTTTCATGCCACTTCCTGAACGTATCATGTTCTTCTTTACTCGAAGGAATTTTTCATGAGCGGCTGTGAAGAGGATGCAAAAACTGAGGTTGAAATTATGTGGACAAACCAACATGGAACGGGACCAAAGAGTGAAGATATAGTGGAATCACAAATCATCCTGCAATACATGTGTCAACCGTATCCTCAAGGAAACGTAACTGATATCAACAAAGATTTCCAGTTGTATACCATCCGTAATGGTGCACAACGTACTACACAAAGGTTCTCGGTCTCGATGCAAGAATCGCGTGTGATAGAGAAAGACCGCGGGCTACACGAGCCTTTAGCATACTACAGATCCTATCGGCACAGAGACGGAAACAAAGGTGGCATATTCTATGAGAGTCAACATTCTAACAATCTCATTTCCAACTTTTTCCGTAAATAATAAATGTCAGTCTCCCTTCAGCCGAGAATTCAAACATTCTCAGCCCCATTTCGCAGCAATACTAGTTTGAGGTTTGAAAATCCAATTGAGCCTAGAAACCAGGAGAGGACACTGTTTAAAGTTCCACAAGTAGTTATAGTTTAATATTAAGTAATTGTTCCTTTTACGGAAACAAAGAACCTACTAAACCTAAGTTATTTATCATTAATCAATTGCGTCTTTTCCTAGCTAATCCCATTTCATATCCTCCTATAACTGCCTCATTTTTTACTGTTTCTCTTCTGTTGCGCAAGGTTGTATGCTGCATGGCAAGGCTCCAACTACCAGCGTGACGCTGAGGGTTTTTTGTTAGCTAAGCTATATCTTTCACAATGATATCCTTTTTTGACTTTTTCGCAATCATTTCACAGGTTTGTTTACCGCTGATCAAAACCTGAAAGGTGACAGTGCAATTTACACCAGGCAGAACGCAAATGGGAAGAGAAGGGGATTTGAAGTGCCAGAGGAACGTGATTACTATCCCTACTGGGGCCCCACCCCCTGGAAGGACATTGCAATCATGGTCAGTGACAAAACCACAAAAGGAGTGATAAGGGAATATGTTAACAGTGCAAATTATGGTGACAAGGGTAAGTTTGACAAAGACTTCTCCTCATAAGAGTCCTCGATAGCTGCACAAGCGCATGCTGTAGAATGACGCTCTTTGGTTTACTTTCAGGGTTGTGCATCATAAAGAATGGTGTCCGAAAACATCTATGTCCAAGAATACCTCCACTCAACAGACGAAACGCAGAATGTGTGGCCAGGTTCATTACACAGGCTTCGTGCGAACTGGCAGGAGGAAGGTGGACCATAGTAAAAACAAATTTTAAGGAGAAGTTTTCCGGTGCCAAGTCTTGCGCCAACATTAAAACCGTCAAGGGCGTGGCGTATGAGCCTCATCTGATAACACAGGGTACTGACGAGAGCGAGCAAGATCTTGTTCTGGCAGACCCCCCTGAGGTTTTAGACGCACCATCCACAGTTGTGAATCACAATGGCATGAACATGGACGGGAAGTTCTCTTCATACAAATGGAAGATTCCTCATTTTCCCTCCGACACTATTCAGCGATGCGTGTTGAGAATCAGGTGACGAGGGCCAAGGTTATAGTCTTATGTTTAGATCTGTTACAAGACCGAATACGAATTTTGAGAACAAGCATGAAGATATGATTATGAGCGTACCCATTGCAACCTGGAAAAATGGTCAAATCGATGTCACTAACGAAAATTAATGAAGGCTCACGGAAAAATCTTGAATAACTCTTAAAATAAAATAAAATTGTTTATTATATTTTCCTTCGGTTTAACCTCCAAGCAACACTAAAATGGTCCTTTAGATTACCAAAATGAGAGACAGCTGCAAATGATATCCATTTAAAGAAACCCTTCACTTTCAAACACCAACGCTACACCGCTTAATGACCTCCCTCGACTGTTACTTTACCTACATCCATCCTTGACTTGTTATTTGGATATGTGTGGGACTTTGTTTTATCTTTTGGCATTATATTTATTCCCCCCAAAAATGTGTTTTTATAACCTTTCAATAACGTTAACTGTGTCTTCCTGGTAAAATTGACAGATATAACATCACGACAAAAGATGTACCGAGGAATTTTGATGCTTCAAATAACAATGAGTGAGTATAAAGGAATAATGAAACTGATGAGGATAATGGCTGAGAATTTCCACCCCACCAGCGAATACTCTGATTTCATATTGTTGAATTGATAATGTTTTTATTTATTGGTCTGTCTGTTTCTTTTTTGTGGTTCAAGTTTACTAGCATTATTGACGGTTATTTGTAACAATCCTGCATTTCCCTCGGTCGAACGCTCGGCGGTTTATTCCTGGTCATGTGACGGTTAACCCCATTCGGGACCCCCCTCTAAGCCATGCGCAAACTGTGATGAAAATATTTTAAAACAGGAAAATATAATTGTGAGAAACGATTGCTTTTTTAGCGTCAAAAATGACCCTACAACACTTGCTGTCAACGGCAAAACCAAGCTTCAACTGGCCTTGAACACAGCTCAACTGGGTCGAACATTCCAGGACAGATCGCATGTAATCATCATCAAGCCAAGAAAGTTGTTACCAAGACGATTCCAGAATTCCAAAATCTACTACATCGGAGGAATGGGAAAGAGAGGAAACATCGTTCAGACTTATCCAGCAATGGAATATCGCTTCACCCCTGAACGTATCAATGTTACAACAAATGATGTCTTGTGCTTCGCTTGGTCAGGTGAGTCGGTGACGATCTGTCATATTCTCTGAACTGAAACTTGTGAACTTATTATCAGAGGGAGAAGGTTTCTTGGATGGAAAGGAAACCTTAGAAACTCTCTACGGTGGCCAAATTACATTTTCAATTCAGTTGATAAAAACCAATTTAACTTATTGTTAGACCACCCTAAATGCTGAAAACGGAATATTTCAGTCGATTTCTTCCACGTACGATGTTATCTTCAGTATAAGGGAAGCAACCAAATATTAGTTTGGAAAAAATAAAAAAAAATAAAATAAAAATGAGGGAGAAGTTCTATTCGGATCATTATGTCCATGAACTTGAAAGTTCAGGGTAAATTAATTAAAGTGCAAAAAACCACAAACTAGTTACGTAACAAGTTAAAGGCGTTTTCTGAAAACATACAATGGAAAATGTGAAGCCTGCTAATTAAGTGATCTGAAGAAATTTCCTGACGTATCAACTAACTACTGGGTATGGAAATGTGACCTTAAAGATTCTTCCAAATAGAAAAACAATCAAACAAACACAAACAAATCCCATCATAATGCGAAAAATTCGAATCAATGGCAGTATCTGAACAACAACGCACCTTCCCCTTCTCTAATCAAAAATTAGCCCTAACTTGTTATCAGTTGACTGTTGTTAGGGGAGGGGTAGGTGTGCAATTATTTATTACATTGATCCAAATATTTTCGATGATAAGACTAAAACGTCACATTTTAGAGATATATCCTGGCATCAAAATTTTGTGGTTGTTAATTTTGCACTCTAACTGAAGTGGATTTTCCCAGATCTCCCAATGTAAGTTCCTTCAAGTTAACCATCTCATGAAATAACACGTTACAGGGGTATACTGAGCCTAATGAAAGCTCCCGGGGAATTAAAGTAGACAGGAAGTTTGGGTTGGTTTTCAGCTTAGTTTTGTCACTTTTCTCAGTGCTTTCAGCGGTAGGGATTACCTTTTCAGGAAATAACCTAGCTAAATTAGTATTTTTTTTTTCAGGTTCCAATGATAATCGAAATAACGTGGCAGGAGAAGGGCAGAGAGGTTAGTTGCTTCGAAGGAATTTACTCGTCTGCTCTATATTATGCCTTCATAGACCACCACATAACTATGAACGTTAATTCTACACTGACACGATGAAAATTTTTCAATTCAATAGTGCACCTGCTACCCACAACACGGCTCTTTTTTCAATTTCAAGGAGATAGCCGGGATGGTTTTTTATAAAACAGTGATGTCATCGGGGCGAAAGTTTTGGTGTTCGAGTTGTCATGAACGAGTTAGTAATTATTTTTAAAATATTCTAAACCAGTAGCGGGTTTTTTGCGGTAAATCTAACTATGGACGGCACGACTGACTTTTACAGGACGAATCCGTTAACCGGAATAGCTGCAGAAATTCCAGATAGAAAATAAAACAAAATAAAAACTAAAAACAGCAAAAACCAGATTAAAATCATCCTCATCCCCAGCGACTGAACATTTCCCTCTTGCATTCTCTAAATTCTTCCAGGATCAGACAGAACAAACGTGTGCTGGATAAAGGAAGGATGCCAGTCTCTCACACCAAAGGCTTGTACGAGCCTGCCTCTTGAAGTAGTTGAACAGGCTGATAAGTTTTCTTCTGACAAGTTGAATCTTCACCTCAATACTGGATGTTACAGCGGAAACGAAAAAAATCTGCAAGCTCAACTGAACAACGCCCCAGCTTCCTGCAACCCGCCTTGCTTCCGCATCAAGAGGCCTGGGACGTACTGTTACATGGGCACGCGAAATAACAACTTTTCCAACCGCCGTCACATAGGACAGATCACCGTTACTTAATGTAGTTCGTTATGGTAACAGGAGCTAACACTGTTGGAAATCAGTTTTCCTACATCGTAGTGAATTGTTTATGATTCCATTTAACAGTATTTCCCTTAATTTCCCTGTTTGCCTTTTAACAACGGTTGTACACAAGTAATCGGTTGTATGTCGATCCTCACAGATTACATATGCGTTTGGATTTCCTAAAAACAACGCTTTCGTTTGGCAGTATTATAATAATAACTGTAAAGTATTCTTTACCAGGACGGGAAACTGAAGCAGTAAGCACTTTGATTTTTGTGTTCTATACTCATCTAATGCTTTAAAAAGGGAAAACAGCAATTGGTGTACATTCTTAACAAAGTTTATTACGAGTAACAAAATGCAGCTAAGGCTATGAAAGATGAAGAGAAAATAAAAGTCAAATAACCGGAAAGCCAGACCAACTTCGTTGGAGCTTCAAAAGATAGTTGCTTCCGGAAAATCTTCCGATCTGGTAACTTTTCTCGTGAACCTACAGTTAACAGGAACACTAGAAATCCAATTTCCCATGAGAATTCAAACCACAAACATTCCGGTTTTGCATTCGAAGTTCTCCTTGCCCACAAACTTGGTCAGAGAGACAGATATTTTGTTGCACTTGCCTCATATGAGTCCAAGTGTTTTGAAACACTGAATTGTCTTTATTACTAACCAACTGCTAATTTCCTAAAGGGGGCTTCAAGTGAGCTGTGATACCGCATTCAATTAGGTACCCATGTCGCTTACTACGAGACAACAAAAAATGCCGCGGTCGTGTCTTCTAGCTGTGCTCAAATGTCGTGGAGTTTTGGCATCATTCTACACTTTCCAAAATATTTCAGCCAAAGTTTTACAGCGATGGTGATATAATGATGCGTGCGTTGCTTCTGCTGGACTTCTAGTCATGCCAGTGCCTTGAAATCAATTTCATGACGATTCGACAATCATCCGATCACAATTTCACTCTATATTTGTGTGATCTATCTTATTTTTCCGATGATTCGGATGCGCTCACTTCATTTGAGAAAACTTTCAATTTTTAAAAAGGAGTTAGAATTGCAGAAGTTTCAGAGTCGACAAAAGAAGAACTAATAAGCTTAACCAAAACATTACGAAACACTGTCTTTAATTTCTGTACTTCTCGCTTCCCTCTTGAATCTTAGCGATATGCTCCCCTGTAGAGCTCGCTTGGAAGGTCAATCGTCGAGTATGGTACCCTGTCACGTTCTCTCTTATCTTCTTTAAAGTTTATTAATGACGCTCTTCCCGAAAAATAAACCACACAGTAATTCCCGGTCCAGATTGATATAAAAAGTGAGTTCTCAATGAAGTATACACTTAAATGTTAAAATGATTATTTATGAGTTTCTTCATACTCTCAAACAAGCGCACGAGCCAAGTTTTAAATATAAAAATTTTACTATTTACCAGACAAATGATCAAACTCTCGGATGTGCCATTTTTTATTTCAGAGAAATGTTTTCATCTTCCTGGAACCGAAAATTTATTTTTTAAATCCGGAAAACACAAAGCTGTGAATGTTAGCACCAAAGTTTTTTTTCCGAGTCTGTTATTTCGGGATGAAATTAAATCACGTTGTTTATCTAATTTTGACGAAATACCACGAGCGGAAAAGAAATCAAACAACATCTCAGGAAAAAACATATTTTGTACTGAAAACGGAAAGTACATACACATGTTGCTTTTGATAAATCTTTGTTGGAAGTTTTTCTGAATCATCTATAGATTATCTTGCTGTTTGAACATATTGCTTTAAATGTATACAGAGGAAATAATACTTAAGAAGGGAGCGTTCTCACTGTATAAACATATATCACACGTTTGCGCTTTGTTTACTTGACGAAGAGGTGCGTCTGTTTAACGTTTTAGAACTTTGCAATCCTTGATTTATTCAGGTGTCTGTTTCTCAAATGGAACAAAAATCCATTTGTTACGCTGGGAACAAACAGTGTCGAGGCTACAGAAAACATGGAACAAATAATTACTTTGCAAAGGTATAGAAGGTGTTTCACTACTCGAGTTTAGGCCATAATACTAAGGTTTAGTTGAGGTGCACGAATACTGAAAGCCAGCGAAGCTGCGATTGAACGTGAGTGTTTTGTTAATTTTTTTTTTTTAACAATAGTGTATTAATAAGAAGGTCTTGCATTTAGATTTCCTTTTGGTTTGTGGTTTTCTCTCGTGGACGAATCCTATTACTGTTGCTGTAGTTGTCGTTTTTTTTTTCTTTACGAATATCCCATTTAAGTTGATGTACCGGACCTAAAGAACATTTCCATTCCCTGTGGTAGTGGGAAGTCCTTGATCCCGAGTTACATCGCTTATCTATAATTGTGAGTGAAGAAACCACTCGAAAAATGACTGGATGTCTTTGAAAATATTTGAATGAACGAAGTCACAAGTTTAATTGGTCTAATGTAGTTTGCTTCATTAAGGATGTCATTATACTGCGTAGACTTTGTTTGTGAAATTCTCTTTGAGCCTATCAACATAACGTACTAGCACACTAGACGGTGCTAAAACCAAAATCTTAACTTAACTGCTTTTTTTCTTTCGTCAGGAATATGCGGGCCATATTCACCTTCGGTTTTTTTTTGTCAACCTTCGTTTATTTCTGTTCGAGTGATATGTACCTTCATTTCCCCCATGGAAGCAACAACAGATTGAACGGGAACCAGGCAAATGTGAGGAATGCTAACAGGCTTTTCAACTCTCAGGTGGGTGTATTCGAATCAATTATTTACATATTGAACAACTCGCTATACATGTGGATTAAAAATTGAAAAAAAGAACTTGGTTTTTAAAGCACCATACCAGTGATTTCTAATGCTTCGCATGCTTGGAAAGTAACACAGCTTTGTTTTAATCCTTGTACTCCTTGGCCAGAGCTAATTAAAATCGATCTTATGCCAAACTCTTGCGAATGTTTCCAACAGACAAATTTCTCAATTTGAATGTTTCATCTTTATTCACAATAAATTCTCTGGACCAATTAATAAGAAAATGAAAACATACACACACAGTCGTTTGCCGGAAGTGCTGTATAGTGTTGCTCCCTATAATCTTTTTCCATTTCTTTATTACTCTTTTTTAGAACAATGGTAAAGCCGGTTACAACGTTGGCGACAGTGGAAGTAACAATCCAGGAGAAAACATAAAAGAAACAAGGCAGCTTCCATTGGTTGGATATATTTGATAACTTTTTCTTTAAAGCATATTCTTTAGACTCTATAGGATCAGATTGAATTCAGCCTTAACAATGTTAGAAAATTAAAAAATGCCCTTCCGAAAAATAAAACCGGTCTGTTACCATGACGAAATTGTTATCTTCATATGCATGTGAAGATATAAATACGTGCAGTGCGCGTGGTGAAGAAATCACGTTTCCGAGCCGGAAAAATTCTGATATAACACTAGCTTTTCTTTTTTCTTCAACCGAAGGAATTTTTCATGAGCGGCTGTGAAAAGGATGCAAAAACTGAGGTTGAAATTATGTGGACAAACCAACATGGAACGGGACCAAAGAGTGAAGATGTAGTGGAAACACAAGTCATACTTCAATACATGTGTCAACCTTTTCCACAAGGAAAAGTTACGGATATAAACTCGGACTTTCAGCTACATACCATTCGCAATGGCGGGAACCGCTTAACTCAACCGTTCAACCCCAATCAAGCAGAAAATCGCTTGATCAAAAAAGACCGCGGATTGCATGAACCGAAGGAATATTATCACGCTTATATCCGCAGGGACAGAAACAAAGGTGAAATGTAACTTCAATAAGTAGTTCAGCAAGAAAGTTCCTTTCACAAACATGCACCGTTCAGATAAAGATTTGAATCTGAGGTCGATCAAACTTTGATAAGGGGCCAGTCACTGGAGGATTGACCCCCACCCCCCTTCCCCCCTTACTAGCATCAATTCCCCCCATAGCGACGACAGGTCCCTCCGCCGTTCCCCCTGTGATAACTGTTTTGTGACTTTCTATCATCCGCCGGTCCGGTTATATTTTTACTCTTACAGTTGTAGATTTCAATAACACTGCACTTTGTTCCAAAAGAGGATGTCTCAGAATAAAACTTTATCTGGGACTAGTATGTCCAGCGGAGCCCTAGAGGAGGGGGGCAAAAAATTGTTTAAGTCCAACATTCGGTAACGCTTCCGAAGGGCTTCTAATTAATTTTAAACTATAATCATTTTGCATGGCAAGGCTCTAACTACCAGCGTGACGCTTAGGGTTTTTTGTTGGCTAAGCTATATCTTTCACAATGATATCCTTCTTTGACTTTTTCGCAACCATTTCACAGGTTTATTTACCGCTGATCAGAACCTAAACGGTGACAGTGCAATTTACACCAGACAGAACGCAAATGGCCAGAGAAGGGGACTGGAAGTGCCAGAGGAACGTGATTACTATCCCTACTGGGGTCCCACCCCCTGGAAGGACATTGCTATCATGGTCAGTGACCGAGCTACAGAAGGAGTGATGAAAAAGTACTTCAACAGTCCTAACTATGGCGACAAGGGTAAGTTGTCTCTTATAACTAAACACCATAACTGTACCAGTAAGAGAAATGGCGTTCTTTTGTTTACCATCAGGATTGTGCATTGTGGGGAATAATCAACCTGGGCACAAACCTTGTCCAAGAATACCTCCCCGTAACAGGCCAAGCGCGGAATGTGTGGCCAAGTACATTACAAAGGAGTCGTGTGAACAGGCGGGAGGAAAGTGGACTGTAGTAAAAACAAACTTTAAAGAGAAATCCTCTGGCGCCAAGTCTTGTGCCAACATTAAGACCGTCAAGGGCGTGGCGTATGAGCCTCATCTGATAACACAGGGTACTGGAGAGGGCGAGCAAGATCTTGTTCTGGCAGACTCCCCTGAGGTGATATACGCACCATCCACGGTTGTGAATCACAATGGCATGAACATGGACGGGAAGTTCTCTTCATACAAATGGAAGATTCCTCATTTTCCCTCCAACACTATTCAGCGATGCGTGTTGAGAATCAGGTGAGGGAAGCCAAGATTATAGGTGGGGGTTTAAATAGCCCATTGTAAATGATTTAATAGTCGAAAACAAATCGTTTACAATGTATTATGTATATGGTAGCGAAATTATAAAATTTCCATTTGTCAAACCTTTCTCAAATGCACGTAAAATTACCTTTTAACCATTTTTTTACCTATTGGGTGGCGTTTGAGCAACATACTATGCTGTAGATCATTGACGGTACAGTTTAGCAAACATTGTTTTAAGCTAGAGAAGGAAGACTGACTCGAGAAGGCCAGTAGTATGTTGTCGTGAGGCCGCTTGCATTAAATCACCCCCGAAATTTTTGTAAACCATTATTTGTGCGCGTCTCGCCTTTACATGTGTTAGTGTCGCCATTCGGATTAGCGTCAGAGGCAGATCAAATACAAGGTGTTTATTTTACTTCTTTTATTTTGTCTCCCACTAAATAATGATCTGTTTTCCTGTTCCTGTATCTACGACTTATTATTGTTATTTAATAACTGACAGATACAACATCACAACAAGCGATGTACCAAGGCGTTTTGATGCTTCAAACAATGATGAGTAAGTGAACATGAGTACTAAGCGTTTTCACCGACGCGGTTTGAATTTATTGGGACGAACGAAAGTATTTACGTAGGAAAAGAGTTTTAGTGTCGAAGAACATTTGATTGTTTTAATATATGCACCAATATCTGGCTGCCATGAGGTCATGTGAAAACGCCCTGTCACGCTGAGGACATTATCTGGAAGCCGGAACGGACACATCAAGGGCGTCCCATTCTTGACTGATTAACTGACGACTTTCTTATTATTGATTTTTCAGGTGCAATCTTTACTTTTCAAAACTTAGATTATCTTAACAAACAGGCCACGGGAGGTATTTAAGGACAAATACAAACTGTCACCGTGTTGGGCTAATGAAGTTAGAATACGTAGCTTAGCAAGTGCAATCCTTATGAAAGAAAAAGTTTTAAATAAGTCTATAAGAGACTTAAACTCTTTTTGACATCTGGAATCAAATTTCTGACCCTAAATTGGTGATATGAAAGTGAGGTTAAGAAACAGCACTAAAATCGTGAAAAATTATTGCCTTTTTAGCGTAAAGAATAATCCCACAACACTTGCTGTTAACGGCAAAACCAAGCTTCAGCTAGCTTTGAACACCGCTCAACTCGGTCGTACATTCCAGGACAGAACACAAGTAATCTACCTCAAGCCAAGAAGCTCTTTGCCCCAACGATTCAAGAATTCCAAAATCTTCTACATCGGAGGAATGGGAAAGAGAGGAAACATCGTTCAGGCTTATCCAGCCATGGAATATCGATTCACCCCTGAACGTATCACTGTTTCTAGAAATGATGTCTTGTGCTTCGCTTGGTCAGGTGAGACTGTTTGAAATAACATAGTTATGGGCGGTGACAGTTACGCCTTCAACTAAAACATATACATGTAAACCAACAAGCCTTGTCCAGAAACGCAATATTTCCCGTTGTAAGGTTACATAAGCCACGTCATGGTTACTTACCTAACTTTCTGCCATGTTAATTTCAGTACAAGGGAAATCACCAAAAAAACCAGATTTTTAAGATAGAAAAACATTGTAAATGAAAAATCAAACTTCACCGATTGACATGGATTACAAATGGAGGGCTTAGAAAATTTAGCGAAAATTTTTCAAGATGCGAAAAAGCAGTGGTGTACCTCCTTTGATTCGTCTTCTAAGACGTGCTTATGATTACAGAGTCAAAAGAACATTTTAATGTAAATCAAGAGATATTTTCTTTTGTGCATCTTGCACGTTCAAAAATAAGACTAACTTCACTCAATATTCATTATCAGAGTCAGAAAGTTAATTTTTCGTTGTCGTTCTTTTCTTCAGGCTCCAACAATAATCCGAACAATGCTGGCGAAGGACAAGCAAGTGAGTAGTTTCGATAGAATACATTTACTAGCGCTAAATAAAACACGAAATATTCTTCCTATGAACAAAACATTTGGATTTCTTTCAATATCAGCTCCAAACTTGCTGCATACCCCCAAAACTCGATCTACGCACGTCAAGGTGAGAGGAAACACAGAGATAAGAACAGGATAAAATTATTCTCCTGTCAGCGACTGGAAATTTTTATCCTATAGAAATTTTTGTATCTTTTCAGGATCAGATAGAACAAATGTGTGCTGGGTAAAGGAAGGATGCCAATCTCTTAAACCAAAAGCTTGTACGAGCCTGCCTCTTGAAGTAGTTGAACAGGCTGATAAGTTTTCTGCGGACAAGTTGAATCTTCACCTCAACACTGGATGCGGTGACGAAAACAATCTGCAGGCTCAACTGAACAACGCCCCAGCCTCTTGTAACCCGCCTTGCTTCCGCATCACGAAGCCTGGGACATACTGTTACATGGGCACGCGCAATAACAACTTCTCCAACCGCCGTCACATAGGACAGATCACCGTTACTTAATGTAGTTCGCTGTGGTAACTGGAGCAAATACTGTTGGGGATCAGTTTTCCTACATTGTAGTGAACTGTTTATGATTCCATTAAACAGTATTTCTATTAATATCCCTGTTTGCCCTTTGATAATGGCTGTATACAAGGAATCGGTTGCATGTCGATCGTTTGACTTTTTGCAGTAAGACTCACAATCAGATTACAGATTACACGTGAAAGAGATAACAAAAGACATCATTTGCATGTCATAACAAGAACGCTTTTGTTCGGCATTATTAAAAAACACCTCAAAAATATCCTTCATCATGAAGGTCAAAACGCTGAAAACTCTGATCAACATCATCATTGCAGCTTCAAAAGATGGTTGAGACACCTACCGATCTACCGACCTAACTACCGAGCCGGTAATTTAATCTCGGAGATCTGCAGTTAATTGGAGCAACAGAATTCCGACTTCCTGGGAGGTTTCAGTCCACAAAAATGTATACTACGCTATCGAAACTCCCCCCCCAAAAAAAATACATAGCAGAACCAAAGAGAGAGATCTTTGTTTTAGCTGCTTCATACGAACCTGAATGTCCTGAAAAGCTTAAAAACCTATCGTAATACCACATTCTAAGGGATGCGTACTATTTCTACATACTGACTCAAACAAACATTCCAATCTGCTATAAGTGAATGTATCGTGGGAGAGTAACAGCAATGTAAAAAAAAAAGAAAAAAAAGGAAAATTAATTAATCTGAATATTATCCATCAGAGGAAAAAGTCTTTTTTTTTTTTTTTCACTCTCCCCCTTCGCGCGTGACTCGCATTTGGCGCTCGCCTCGCGCTTGCATCCTTTTGAATGAAGAACACAAAAAAATTAATGTCTGTTTGTGCTATACCATGCCCACCCTTCAAATCAAAGGCGAGATCATGCAAGCCATTTTTAGCTTATGTTATTAAGCTGAAGAAAAAAAAATTGGGCGATACAAGACTCGAGCAACTACTCAAGAAATCTAAATGCTCACTCCAGGAGTTTTCGCCAACATAACGATTTCCTTGGCAACCCAATACTTCATCAATACTTTATACTCTTATAACATACTTAAGAACTAGAGAAGAACGTTACAACTACATTAAAGAAAAGAGAACCTTTCGTACGTTTTCTGTGGCAAATAAAATCGGCCATCTTTCTCAAACCAATGTTCTCTCTGTACCTCTGAATTGTAAGCTCAATTGTGAGCAAAAAGGCTAAGCTTGAGTGTCATTTTTTTCTTTTTCTCTAATGAGATTGTGTCAATGTGTCAATGTGCTTTGTGTTTGTGAAGATAGGGGAGTGTGCATAAGGTGCAACTTCTCTTTTTTTTCTTGTAATGTAAAGCAAGTATGAATAAGTAACAAAAAAAAACACTTCTAAATAGGGAACAAAGATTATTATTATGAGCATATTGCAAAAACATAAGAATATAAGTACTTAACAGTAGGAAGAACACTGTGACTGTCGGTACTTTAAGTAACCTAGCCTGTATTGTTATATTGAAAAAGGCAAGTTTGCATAGGAGGAAAACAGAAACACTCTGAGAGTTTTTGCCAGCATAGTAATTTTCTCGGCAACCACTTACATATCAAACTTTGGCTAAGTTTTGTGGGCTCAATTTTTACCAGATGGTAATTTTACTGAGCGTGAAAACTGAAAAGAATAGTAACAGCGACCTAACAACTTTTCGACTGAAAGCTCACTGCAACTGTTGTCCGTAGACGAAGAGAGCGAGTTAAAAGGTGAGAAGTGTCCTGAAATATTGGCCTCTTGCAATATGTTACTGAACCGTGTGTATAAAACTCAAATTAATTATATCCTTCCCTTAGTCGTTTAACTCTTCCGATCTATTCATTTTTTTCCTAAGTTAGGAAGAATGAGGCGAGCCATCGTGTATGGGACTTTATGCGGTGATCTCTATGGGGAATATTTTTGACGGTTGACAGACAAATTTTTTTCGATTTCTGAGGTTGGCTGTTAAATTATAGTGCGTTTGGGTTATTAGGAAGATGTTTCCTTTTTGCATGAGTTAGAATCAGTATAAAGCTTTAAATTCGTTAAATATATGACTTATGAATTATATTTGAACTTAATCAATTTTTCATTGACTAAGTGGAGTGAAACGTAGTTCAAAGACCTCTAGCAATAATTAATTATTAGTTTCAAACCATATCATAGTTCCCTTCACTTCATGTGCAAACAACATTTGCAGAACTTTGCAGCGATGATTCTTCTGGCCGTTAACGTAGTATAAGAAAGTTAATATTCTATGTATACAGGAATCTTATCCCGATATAGGTAGAACAAAATCTGTTGCTCACTCCTCCCTTCTTCTTTTTCTCCTGATTTTTCTCTCCCCCAAAAGTATTTGTCCATGCAATATTTACTTAAATCATTGGCATGTGCTCCAAATAAGGGTTGTTGTTTGCATCTGTTCAACATGGCGATCAAAATAATCGCTGCATATAAGGTCGTTTTTTGAATCGTGTCAGTTTGCTGACAGGTCACTCAACAGAAGTGCTTTCCTTGGACTGTTGACACCCATCTTAGTGACGTGGCTAAAACTGCAAAGGCAACCGCATAAAACTTTCCCCTCTTGGAAACCTCTGTCTTGAAAAATTGTCAGTGATGGTCAAAATTCCATCAAATCGACTGACTCGAAAGGTATAGCGAGCGAATATTATGAGTGATAATGCTGAGTAAAGTACATGGCTACTTTCTTTGCGACTGCCTCAAAAGCTAAGCATACTGTAGAATGTTGAAAGATTCATGTGAAGTTGAGAAACAGTATAGAGTTAGTTTTTTGCTTGGGTATTGAGGATACTTGACCAATCTATGTATCCAGCAGGTTCTCTGTTCTCCATATGAGCGTTATCAGACTATCAGTCTCTTATAACTCTTACACAATGCTGGTTTAACAAATTGTTGTGTAGTTTGTGATACGGCTCCTTAGGAGCCATTTGTGTTGGGAGATTCTTTCAGGCCTATGCCTTCTATTTACTTGAGCGACAGTGTACTTCGTGTGATTATCAAGGTTAGTGTCTTTTTAAGCACTTGATCTGGATGGATATCTTGCACAGCTGTTCCTCATTGCACGTCATTCCGAAGCTGTCACACACTAGACCGAGATGCTTCAAAAATTTCATTGTACTTGAAAGTCCAGTTCAAAGTTTCACCTACCCAGCTCCAGTGTCTATCACAATAAGTGTTCACTAGGAACACAACCATTTTCTTTTTTTTACAATCATTGTCCAGAGCGCGAACAAAATTAGAACAGTGGAGAACTTAACGAACGTGAATACAAGCATAAGCGGGTGTCAACAGGGTTTAATGGTCAGTTATGACACTGCCTAAAATCAAACCATCAAAAGGATATACATATTCAAACAGTCAACAGTTAAAAGCGCAGCTCACTATTAATCGCCGAGCGGTTTCAGTGATCTTTCAGATCTCATTTAGCCTACCCTCTTGCCACGAACAGTTCTAAATCTCGAAGAATCTTGCATGAGAATGGTAAACCAGTGTCCAAGTATCAAAATATATTTTAATTACTACCTTACAATCATTTGACTGATTTTGGCATAAACTGGCAGTTTGAAGATACATGTACTTTAATATTTAACGTGTAAACTCTACTATTTAAAGAATGGCTCCTTCCAAGCGGTGCCGCGTCATGCCCCCTTCGAGCAAATCACATGGTGAGATCATGTCGAGAGTCCTGAAAGCCGTCGTTCGCTTTTATGATTAAGCAGAAGTTACGATTTGGGCGAAAAAAGACTATAGAAACTACTGAAGAAAACCGAAAGCGCACTCCGGGAGTTTTTTCGGTAACATAGTGATTTCCGTGGCAACCTAATACTCCATCATTACTTTAGACGATCTCTGAAACTTATATGTTATATAGGGAAGAACGTTACAGCTACACCAAAGAAATGAGAACCTTTATTACGTTCTCTGAGGTAAATAAGAAAACACCTTGGTCTCCTTTTAGTGCTGGGTCTCAAATTACTGGTTCCCTCTCAAACCAATGATGCATCTGTAACACTGAATTGTCAGCTAAATTGTAAGCTAAAAAGCTAAGCGTGTGTAATTTTTTCTTTGTCTCTAGTAAAAGTTGTATGCATGTGTCAATATGCTTTTTATGGATGTGAGAGTGTGCGCGAGGTGTAAGTTTACTTCTTTTCTCTTATTGTAAAGCAAATATGAACAAGTTACAAAAAAAATCAATTCTAATCAAAGGACAATAATCACGATTATAAGTTTATTGTAAAAAACATAAGCAATATAAGTGCTTAACAGTAAGAAGAACATTTTGACTGTCAGTAGTGTAAATAGCCTGTATTGTTTAAAAAAAAAAAAAGACTCGAGTTTGTATTGAAGAAAACAAACAGCACTCTGGGAGTTTTTGCTAACATAGTGATTTCCGCGGCAACAATTTGATTACCAAATTGTGGCTCAGTTTATTTGATCTCAAGGTGGTAATATAACTGAGTGGTAGAACTGATAATTTCAGTAGAGCGACCTAAGCTACCACAACTGTTGTCTGTGAACGGAGAGAGCGAAATAAACGGTAAGACGTGTTCTGAAGTACTGATCTCTTGCAATATGTTACCGAGTCGTGAGTATTAATCAATCGAATAAGAAGCCAGTATAAGCTATAAAATCATGTTATGAAATTAATTAAAATCTTTCCTAAGCCAGTTTAGTTTCCTTTTCTTTTTTTTTTTCCAAGTCAGGTAGCAGACAAGCGCTTGCGTAAGGGGCGTTATACGAGAGTCTCAAAAAGAGTAGCTTTAACCGCGGGTTTGGGCTTTTGACGGTTGACTTTCCAATCAGTATGATGCGATTTCTTCCCTAAATGTATGAATTATAATTATGTTCGGACAAATTCAGTGTTTCACTGACCAAGTGGAGTAAATCCGTATTAGTTTCGAACAAGATCTTAGTTCCCTTTTGCTATGATAGTACAAAAAAAAGTATGCAGAGCTTTGCGATAGTGAATATTCTGGCCCTTAACGTAATATAGGAAAATTGACATTCTGAGTGAAAACAAGAACTTAACGGAGAAACAGACAAAGTAGGCTAATATACTGAGTAATAACTTGAACAGAGGCATAAGTTCATTTTAGGTGATTTGCCAGAACTGAACAACTTTTCTAGCCCGTTGTGAATTTGTATGAGGGTCCTTGATTTCGATTTTGGTTTGTTTGATTACATTTCTTATCCACGACGCTAACTGAAGAAGTAAACTTACTTTGTTAAATGTAGCTTAATTGAGGCAGTGATAGTTCTTTATGGAATTTGTCTGCGACATTCGAAACAGGATTTGGCTTATGTAATAAATAATGGAACACTTAGATGAGGGTCACAATGGCGTTCACCGTTAGCCATAAAACAGCCACAAAATTTAGCCTTCAGGCGTAAAAATTGTCAATTTTTAGTCGGGTCAGTAGTAAAAAAAAAGTTCACCGTACAAAAAAATTCTGGTGACCACATTGGAAAGATACTAACTGTTAGCCGTTAATTGGCCAGAATTTTTACCGTTAGCCGTAAAAGTCATCACCCCATTGAGACCCTCTTAAATTGAATAAATGCTGCAAGATGCACCAGAACTGAGCAATAAAAAAAGTGGATGAAGGTTTTATAGGATCAGTTTCAGTGATTTTCATCCACCTTCCATTTATTATACTTTTACTGACATCTTTTTCTCTAATTTTTAACCTATTGTTAAAGTGAAAATCCTTAACTTGATGAATTTAAAATAGCATCTTAGAAGTTGATAAAGCCATCATCTTAGTTAGAGCGGTTATTTTCATTCGTCAGAAATATGCAGATCATATTGACCTTTGGTTTCGCATTGTCAACGTTCTTATATCTCTGTTGGGCGGATGTATATCTTCATTTTCCTCCTGGAAGCAACAATAGATTGAACGGGAACAAGGAAAACGTGGACAACGATGACAGGCTTTTCGACTCTCAGGTGGGTGTCACGAAGCATGCAATTGATGTCTTATACTGCGCATGCTTGTAGATAACCGACTCCGCTACTTAAACTGGATTCAAACGTCCCGTGGAAACATTTCCCTTTCGATCAGGCATGATTACTGATCACTACACTATGCATGCATACACACACACACACACACACATATATATATACACATCCGTTGTCAAAATAAAATTTACCTTTTGTTTTCTCATCAAAAGGAGACTCTATATATATATATATATATATTTATATGTATCATTTATATAGCATATATAGAGTATAAATATATATATAATATATATAGATATATTATCTTTATTTTTATTCTAATTATTCATTTTGTCTTATTATTTGTGGTTTTTGTCTTTGAAGGATTATTTTTCGAAGATCTATTCTAGCAACTAAGCCAATCTGTAAATTCAAGATACAATGAAGTTGCATAGCTTTACTTAAGCAGACTGAGACCCCTCGACCAGAACTAATTAACATAAAACTTCTCCAAATAATTTCGAAATATTTCCATCAGTCAGATAATGAGATCAGACAGAATTCTCAATCAGAGGAAGTCATCTTTATTTAAAAATTTAAATTGAAATAAAATATACACACTCAGTCGTTTGCTGGAACTATTGTTTGGTGTTGTTCCCTTTTATCTTAATCAGTTCTTTATTATCCTCTTTTAGAACAATGGTAAGGGCGGTTACAACGTTGGAGACAGCGGAACTGGCACTACCGGGAACAAAATACCGAAAGACAGGCAGCTTCCATTGGTTGGATATATTTTCAATTTAAAGCATACTCTTAAGACTCTTATCCTCATTAGAGTAATCAGCCTGTTTTGCCGCCAACTCATTTTATACATTGATATATATTTATGACCAAGTGCCAATCATGTCCTACACAGCTGTTGATCCTGACACTGCGTTAGAAGTTTCCATGGTTTTGCAAGCATATTTAGAGAAACCATAAGCGAAATCAAAATACATTACAAGTAATGATCAACAAAGAAAACAAACGGCATTAGGAGCTGCTGCATTCGAAGTTAAATAAGCAATTTCACAGAAATGGCGTCAAAATCGTGCCCTAGATTGGGCAGTGGCACACAATGTTCAAATCCATGCCAGGCGTGATAGGCAATTATTGGATGAGGTCGAACATGATATCATGAATTATCAAAACCGAGGTCTGAGTTAAAACCGCGGTGAAGATATCCTGTTTTTTAGCCAGGAATATTAAAACATATTAGCAAATAAACTAAGGTATTATACAAAGATTTCCATCACTGAAAAAAGCCGAAACAACACACGTGAAAAAATACGATATTTTTTCACGTCTGTTTGATATCGCCAATCAGCTGCTGAAAGCGTCACTTGGTCAGGATGAAAACTTTGTATATTGAAAATCACGCCCATTGTTGTTTTAGTAACGATTCAACGCACTTTTTCATCTTGAGCTTTAGTGCAAACGCATCTTACGATTCTTATTCAGGGACTGTCGATCCCGGCCTTATATTTTCATTCATGAGTAAAGTCGTGACTTTTCTTGTCAGTAAAGGGCTGGTGTGTTTATACGATAAACAAAATAATACATGGTTGCTTGTAGATATGAAATTTGTTCTAGTGTTCAACTCGACATCTTACTCGTTATATGCGCTCACTCGTAGGCTATCAAGTGGAACACTCGAAGAGAAATTCCATATCCACGTGCGCCCATGTGTTATTCTCTAATTCATTTTTTTTTTCTCGCCAAATAGTTCATAAATAGGTCCTTTTTTTCTTGAACCAAAGGAATTTTTCATGAGCGGCAGTAAAGAGAATGCAAAAACTGAGGTTGAAATTATGTGGACAAATCAACATGGAACCGGAACAGAGAGTGCAGACATAGTGGAATCACAAATCATCCTGCAATACATGTGTCAAGAAGTTACGGAGTCTAAATATAAGCATCCCAACATTCGAAATGGTGAAGAACGGGACAAGCAAAATTTCAATGCCGGCTCACAAGAAAATAATGTAGTGAAAATGGAACGCGGATTGCATGAGCCCTTAGAGTACTACAGAACCTATCAGCGCAGAGAAAGAAACAAAGGTGGCATTTTCTATTAGAGTCAATATTCCTCTCAACTCACTTCTCACTTTTCCCGATTAAGTTTTAATCACACTTTAACAAAGAATTCAAACATTTCTAGCCTCAGATATTGCATTTCACAGATTTGTTTACCGCTAATCAAGACCTAAAAGGTAACAGTGCAATTTACACCAGGCAGAACCCAGATGGGAAGAGAAGGGGATTTGAAGTACCAGAGGAACGTGATTACTATCCTTACTGGGGCCCCACCCCCTGGAAGGACATTGCTATCTTGGTCAGTGACAGCACTACAAAAAGTGCTATACGGGATCATGTGAAGAGAGACTACGGAAAAAAATGTAAGTTTTTCAAATACTTCCCCTCATAAGAGTCCACGATTGTATGTTGAAAAATGACGCTCTTTGGTTAACTTTCAGGGTTGTGCATTATAGATGATGGTGTCGCAAAAACTATCTGTCCAAAAGTGTCTCAAAAGAACAAACGAAACGCAAAATGTGTGGCCAGGTTCATTACACAGGATTCGTGCCAAGGCGCAGGAGGAAGTTGGACCCAAGTACAAACAAACTTCATAGAAAAGTTCGCATCTAAGGACAAGGGTGTGGCGTATGAGCCTCATCTGATAACACAGGGTACTGCAGAGGGCAAGCAAGGTCTTGTACTGGCAGACTCCCCTGAGGTTTTAGACGCACCATCCACAGTTGTGAATCACAATGGAATGAACATGGACGGGAAGTTCTCCTCATACAAATGGAAGATTCCTCACTTTCCTTCAAACACTCCACAACGATGCGTGTTGAGAATCAGGTAAGAAAAGTCAAGTTTAAATTTTTTTATTTAGATCTGTTACGAGATCCGAATACGAATTTTGAAACAAGTATGGTAGATGTGATCATTAATTTAATTTGAGTTCCTCCATTGCAACCTGGTAAAATGGTTAAATCGAGGTAACAAACGCAGATTAAGGAAGGCTCACGGAAAATAAATCATGATTTTGAATAGGTCTCCTAGCATTCATATGCCCCTCCCTTCCATTCCCAACCATATGCAAGAAAGGTGCGTATTAGTCTGGTTTTCATGCAACACTTAAGTGATCCTTTATATCAACAAAACAGGAGGCGTTTCCAAATCGTCTCCAAAGTAATTTGAAACCCTGGTGCTAAGCAAATTGCGGGGTGACCTCCTTCGACTATTGCTTCCTCTGCATCCATCCTGAACTTGTTACTCTGACCTGTGTGGAAGAGGGCCTGAATCTTAAGTTTTCTGTTTTCTCTTCGGTCATTATAATTTTTTTCCTACATTTTCATTACATTTTCATATAATTAACTGTGACATGCTGGTTTAAATTGACAGATATAACATCACAACAAAAGATGTACCGAGGACGTTTACTGTTTCAAATAACGATGGGTGAGTAAACAGGAGGACTGATTATGTTCAGAGTAAAAGCTGGGAATTTCCTCTTTATGCATATCGAATTCTCTGCTGAAATATCTTTCAGTTTTTAATTTTGTAACAAGTTCTCCTTGCTTTTTTGTTTACTTGTTTACTTGTTTCCTTGTTTTTGTTTTGTTTTGTTTTTGTTTGTTTGTTTTATTTTAAGCCACCTTCGCAAACTTTATGCATCAATTAATAAAGGGTTAAGTATACCTTGTCGATATTAGGTTGTATTAAGACTTTATTGAATGGGTGTAAAATAATCAGTCAGTGTTATGGCTTCTATTAGTTAAGCGGTCAAGGGGGGGACTATGGAAAATTAAATGCCAATTAACTGCCAGTAAGAGGGGATCATAAGAATATCACCGAGCCTTATGGGTAATTTTATTACGACACATCCAAGTGAGGTTAAGGAACAGCAGTAAAATCGTGAAACATTATTGCCTTTTTTAGCGAAGAGAATAATCCCAAAACACTTGCTGTTGACGGCAAAACCAAACTTCAACTAGCCTTGAACACCGCTCAACTGGGTCGTACATTCCAGGACAGATCACATGTAATCCACCTCAAGCCAAGAAGCTCTTTGCTTCAAAAATTCCAGAATTCCAAAATCTTCTACATCGGAGGAATGGGAAAGAGAGGAAACATCGTTCAGACTTACCCAGCCATGGAATATCGCTTTACCCCTGAACGTATCACTGTTACAACAAACGATGTCTTGTGCTTCGCTTGGTCAGGTGAGTCTGTTTGCAGTAACGTAGTTACCGTGGAGCGGAATGTTTTGTGTTTTAAGGTTTGATACTGAAGTCACGTCATGGTAATTTATCTAGATTTCTGACATAAAAACCTCAGCACGAGGGAAACCGCAAAAAATTTTTCTGAAATGTAAAAACAGTGGAGATGGAAAATTAAAATTCACAGATTGTTACGAATTACAAATGGAGGACTTAAGAAGTTTAGGCGAATTTTTTCAAGATGCTCAAAGACCGTAACCATAGCTACTATGATACATATTATAATACGTGCGCTAGAGCCCAGAGTAAAATGAGAATATTTATGCAAGTGAATTGGAGTGGTGAGGCAGCTAAGTCGTATGTTGAAGGCCTCAAAGGTAGGAAAATCAGCCAAAGCATTCTCTCAAGCCATCATCGAACTTTGAAGTTATAGACTCAGCACTGAATTCATTAGCGAAAAGAAATCCATCATTTTCCACATAAATTATTTATCGTCAAATTCGGACAGAATTAGCTCAACTTCACTCAATAATCATAATTACAGTCAGAGAGTTAATTTTTCGTTTCCAATCCCTTCTTCAGGTTCCAACGATAATCCAGATAATGAGGGCCAAGGGAAAAAAAGTGAGTAATTTTGATGAAAATTTGCTCCATGGAGATTAAGCATTAATGTGAATAGAAAGTAAACATAATTACAATCGAATCGGTATTTAGCGGTCACCCACGGGGAATAGTGAGGTGACCGTTAACTACAGGTTCCACAGAACAGGTGTTCGACTGTATGCGTTCTTGTGGGATAAAAAAAAAATGTTGTCTTGCTTAGATCTGAACCTGCAAAGTGTACATTTCATTCCTTTAAAGAATCTTAATTGAACACTGAAAACCCAAAGCTTCATTGATTCTCTTTGGGATGGTCAATGAAATAAAACAATTCTCTCTGTCAGCACCCGGACATTTCATCTTAAAGAAATTTTTGTATCTCTTCAGGATCAGACAGAACAAACGTGTGCTGGGTAAAGGAAGGATGCCAATCACTTAAACCAGAGGCTTGTACGAGCCTGCCTCTTGAAGTAGTTGAACAGGGTGATAAGGCCGACAAGTTGAATCTTCACCTCAACACTGGATGCTACAGCGGTAACCTAAATAAACTGAATGTTCAACTGGACAACGCCCCAGCCTCCTGCAACCCGCCTTGCTTCCGCATCACGAAGCGTGGGACATACTGTTACATGAGCACGCGCAATAACAACTTCTCCAACCGCCGTCACATGGGACAGATTACCGTTAATTAAAGTAGTTCGGTAACTAGGGGTAAGACTGTTAGGAATCAGCTTTCCTACATCGTAGGGAATGGTTTCCCCGGCTTATTTTTCTTGATTGCCGTTAGATAGTTGATTGGGATTATTACAGCTAACACTGTTGGGTATCAGTTTTTTCTACCATATCAGGGCTAAAATAACAGCTGTTAAACGGAGAATGTCTATTCTAGAATAAGTTTTGTCCGGTGAACTCCTTTGGTCTGATTGAAATTTTTTTTACGGTTGTTAACGCATATGAAGAAGAATTTCATGAATTAGTTGTCAGTGATCGGATCCTTGTGTTTGCGCAAATATTTGTGGGATCGCCAAGGGGGGAAAATTCCAAGTTGCTAGAAGGAAATATATGGCGAAAGGTTGTTTCGACGTCCAAAAAATCGATTTTGAAAGAGATCAACGCTTTCTAGCGGCTGTTTTATCATAACTGGTTTTAGATAATGTTGATACGAGGGAACCGCAAGTTTTTGTTTGAATAACCGCGAAATGTGTTATTAAAGATACCGATAAACCTCTCTCCTTGCGCAAGTGTAAGGTATATGGTGAAATCCTCATCGCGTGATGATCTCAAAGTATTACAAAATTAGCCATCTAGAGTGTGACTTCATATAAGCTTCCTCTGTAATTTTCAACGTCCACATGGATCATTTCCACGGAAACGGTCATATGCCTTGTGCTTTTGTTTGCAATAGCTACAAATTCAAAATAAACAAGTTTTATCCGAGTGCCATTTTATAAACTACTTACTACCTCTCTTACTCAAGCCTTACTGAGAAATATTGGTCTTTGGTGGTTTTTCTACGGACCTCTTTGCGCTCGGCACGTACTGCCACGACCTCAGGCCAATATTCCAATGTATAACCTTTGCGTTCGGTTAATACGAAGTTAATATAATCTTGCATTGTATCAAATCATTGGTTCATATGAATTCTACTTGTAAGTTCGCTTGTGAGCAAGCAAGCAAGCCTCAACTTTATCACCTTCACAACTTCTGTTGGTATAAATGTTAAACCGTGTACTGAAGTGATACTTGTATGCACAAACTTACAAGTGTTACCACTGCATCACTTTTCCTGTCACGAACTATTTCGAGGTCTCATGTACAATAAAAGCATGGTTAATATTCTCGTTTTATAGAAAGGAGAAGGGGAGGGGGAGGGGAGGGGAGGGGGGGGGAGGGGGGGGGAGGGGGGGGAGGAGGGGGGGGAGGGGGAGAGGGGGGGGAGGGGGGGGAGGAGGGGGGGGGAGGGGAGGGGAGGGGGAGAGGAGGGGGAGAGGAGGATGGGATTTATCGAGATTTGACGTAATGGATATGTGGATTACATCCGAGAAAAAGTAGTTTTGACGAGACATCTTGATCAGCTCCAGCCGGAAAATTATTTTGAGCCCTGTAAATTGTATTAAATTGATACTGATTTCATTATTATAAAGGGTTTTCATCGGTATCTTTACTTTCAGTTTATAATGTGTCGTTCGTACTAAAATAAGAAGTTGCTGCATCACGTTGTCGATCCTTCGAAGGAGCCCCCACTATCAGATATTACATTTTCAAACTCGAAAGCCTCTTTTCGGCAGTGTTATATAGTGGACATTTCTCAAAACGATTAGAACATTTTATGTAATCGCGATGCACAAGGCCCCAAGGTACAAGCCGAATTAATAACAATAGATTTTAAAATGAACATTGTTTGTTATATCGTTGATTAGGACTTTAGATACCAAGCCACCAAACTTTAGTTGATGGGCCTCCGCTGGGACGTAGTTGTTTATTTTACCAAAAAGCAAAAAGATAAACAACAGAAATAGACAGGTTGAAATATTTATGGCGACTAGGATTCGGTACCATTACTAACAAAAGATGAAGTCCCTGTACGAGCTCCTTGTTCAGATAGTTTATACTCATCAACTTCCTCAGCCCAACCTGTCGAAGGGAATGACAGCTAAAACGACGGTGTATGTTGGCATCATCAAGCCGCCGTTAAGCAAAATGACGAAGAACAACTGAAGCGCAGTTATCATCTGATCTTCCTTCTCTTGACTGACTCGAGCAATGCAAGGGGGGCACATGATACCTTGGAGAATTAAGACTGAAGCTGTTTGTAATTTGTACACGAAAAGGAAAACGCACAATGTTACTTCTACTATCTAGGGCGCTTTGGGATTTATGTACGGAAGTAGTGTAGCGGCCGTATTTTGATGGACGAACATACAAGTTGTTCAGCGCGTATCAATAGACCCTTAAACACGTTTTTCATCGTCAAAATGAATCGAATAGCATGGCACCCATTTCCCTTCCTTTATTGCATTGATAAAAATGCCCAAAATGTTAGAAATAATTGCAGCACAGCACTCATCATTGTGTTTTAGAGAACGAAACTGATAAGAAAAACTATTTTAATTGACCACGAGGTGAAACTCAAGTGTTCGTTCACATAACAAGCCATTTTATGCAGAAGGAAGAATTTAAACAAATCTGAACCAACCAGCAGTTGAGCTTTCGATTAAGAGGATGCTTGACAGACTCAACATTGCATCAGAAAAGAAAAGCGGCAGTACGCATGTCGTAACATCTGCTGTATGGTTGAGCGATGTTCCAACTACTCAGTTCAAGGTGGGATGTTGTCTGTATTTCAGTTTTCAAGTAAGAAATTGGGTTAAAGTGCATTTAAAGGGAAGCTTGAGGAGTAATTGAAGTTTGGAATACAAGAAAAGAACAGAGGAGCTGATAGGGGCAACCGCTGAGAGAATCGGCACGCACAACCGCAAATGTTTATTAAACTAAAACATTGTTTAGCGATGGCGGCCGAACACTTTTTAACAAAAGCAAATGTTATTTATAGCTTCCCTACGTTCAAAGATAATTCATTAACCTGCCTTTTGTTTCATCTGTGATAGCGCCGAGTTAGAAATCAGAATGGAAATGACTACGTTCAAAATGAAAACAACCTCAGACGTCATATCGGTGAGGAAGTGACTTAAACTTAAGAAAAAAAATGAAGAAAGAGAAAACTGCATATATTTCAAAATTATGCGAAACAGTCCAGAATTGTATGGTAAATCTTTTTAATTTTGAAAATAATTAGTGAACTGGGCCATTTGTCAGGGATTTTGAAGCTATATCGAGGGCAAGTACCTTTGGTGTGGGAGTCAAGTGTTCCTGAAGATTGTGCACCTATTGCTTCATGTTATCTGAGTGCAACAAAGATTTGAGCCAACTCGCTATTTGAAATCTTCATTTAGCTATTCTTCATTACCTCCAAAGATACCACAAGGAAAGAACGAAGAAAATGCGTATGATATTTTCTATCAACTATAAATCAAGGTTCCTGAGACGTAGTACGAGGCTAATTAATCTAACCGTTCAACGCGTCAGTACAGCAAGAAAAGGAATCGCGGGAATGCATATCTTTTGATGTCACAAATATAAACATTATATTTTACGAGAGTTTGTCAAGTTATCCATTCGACACGAGCAAACAGATTTTGGTCAGTACAACGAGATTTAAGAGGTACTGTATAACCCCTCATTTTAGTCACTATCGCGGAATGCGGAAAGCTTCTATGTTCTACAGTACATACATCCCTCCGGCAGAGCACTTTAAATCAGCCGATCTTTTACCAAAAAAGGCGGTTTTATGTGCAAATGACAATTATCTATAAAATCATAGTTTTGATTTCCATGTCCAAACAAACAGCTATCAGACTGTATGGAGGATCGCCAATAGGGTTCTTCAATCCCACGATCCCGACTAAAATTTTCTCTCAATCCCGTAATCCCGACGGCTTATACCGGCCAATCCCGATCCCGATCATACAATTTTGTCTTCGCTCATTTCCTAAACCTAGAAGGGCCTTTCCCGTGGGTGATAATTTTCTTAACCAGCATTGATCCGTTGATTTCTATAGTTACCGTCAGGCATGAGTTTATCTCTTTTCACCAAAATGATGATATTGTTTATTTAAGAAGTTTTCAAAGTTTTGCACGGATAACTCACGATAGTCACGGTAGCGACTTCCTTTCATTAAATTCGATCACGGACAAACGTATAGGTACAGGCAGGTCAGTATCAAAGAAACGAAAAACAATTTCAACAAGTGCATGAAACACAAAAGGTCACGGCAATCCCGTAGTTCCATAACAACGGAGATAAAGACAAATAAACTGAACACAATTCTGCTCTTGAAGTGTCATGTAACTCATCAGGTTAAGAGCATCACATCGGTATAATTCTGAGACTTGCTGGAGGCTTTTCAACGCTGTTAAGCATTTCAATTGACGCAGCAGTCTTAGACCACGTTCTACACGAGCTCCGTGGGCCACTGAGGATTTTTGATAAATTGGCAACTTCGCTTCTGATATAATTTTCATTCCCGGGCAATTACTGAAGAGTGCCGCTGAGTAGCCCGACCGCCTCTTGAATACTAGAGAGCCTGTATGCATGACTGAGAAGATCAATTTCTTCCTAAATTCTCGTCAACGGACATCCCGGTACTCGGTTCGTTTAAGTGATTATTTCCCGAATCCCGTGTCCCGTTCATAATAGCAATCCCGCATCTCGCTCCCTTCTTACTTTAAATTCTTAGATCCCGGCCTTTAAATAAGCCCAATCCCTGATCCCGAAAAACCTATTAGAGACCCTCTGTATGGTGAGCTCTATAAAACCTTCAGTTACTCAATTAAATATTATACCTCCGGATTTGCGGTTATGGCTGTTTATCATATAAAAACAATTCTTGTTTACGCGTTTAGCCTTAAAATTTTCCGCAGTACCCATTGTTAAGCTTTATGGTTATGTAACCTCCAGCTGTGTCTAAGATATAATATTCATATACGGGTATTAAATGCGGAAAAAATGTTCTTCTTTGTGACGGAAATAGCAGTGTAATTACTGACACATGCACGTGCCGAAAAGTTGTGTGTTTTCTTGGACAGGCTACAGAGGAGGTTTTTGAGTATCACCTTGAATATAAAATTAAAATAAGGCATTTTTGAAAAAAGATCGGCGGCAAAAAGCCACTCTTTTCATTTTAAAGTTACATTTTGATCACCTCTGCTGTTCTATGGTTGAATTTGCCTTTGTTTCCTTCATTTATTGTCTTATCAATAACACAGAGGTCTGCCCAGCAAGTGATTTGTTTCAAACTGGCATTAGCTGCGAGTTTCCACTTAGAACTGAACGGCTAAGGTCATTTTAAGCCAGTTTAATCAAAGCCATCAACAAGTTGAGTTCTCCGCGCAATTAAATTCTAAAGGTTGCTGAACAAGAAACAGCTTTAAGTGGTAGACAGAACTAAGAGGTATTTCATGATATTCAATTATCGTACAATTAGTAATGACCAGTAATCATTTAAAATACTTTTCATGACTCTTTCTGTGAGTCAAAGTAACCTAAAAGTAAGGCATGTGATCGCTAAACAACGCTTGCATTGCATGTACCACAAAAATAGCTGAGATGTCATGACAACGAAAAAATATGCTACCATGACAACCTGAACTGAGCTAAAACTTACGTATACCCAATTTTTTTTCCGCATTCTCGTTAACACTGATCTTGGCTTTCATACAGGTCATGAAGACCATTTTTGTTTGGGGCTGCCTTATGGCTACTCTAATCGAGCCTTGTATATCGGACATGTACTTGCATGCTCCACCAGGATCCAACAATCGCTTGAACGGCAACCAAGATAACGTCAGAAACGCGAACAGATTGTTTGATTCACAGGTACAGTGCCATTACATATTCGCTTTTCATCACGGTAACCTTGTTTTAGGCCATCCCTCTAACATGTTTTGTTCCCCATTACCATCCTACTCGTTAAAGTGGTCGACTGATTGGTCGGTCGGCCAAACAAGCAAAAAGAAAATACAAGAAGTAACTACATGAAGCAGCTTAGATCAGGAAAATCATGGAAGCACCCATTCGCTTACTAATTGTTTTTTGCCCAAACTTTCCGATGATATGTACAGCACAGGTCAAATAAGATGATAAACTGACTAATATCTATCACAAAGTCATCTTCATCTGTTTTAATACACAGAGTTAATTTTTCTGGGAAGAGTATATTTATTAATTTTTTTGTTTGCTTTCCTTGAAAAAATGGGTCGGTTAGTATCTACCATGATATTCAGAGAAGAAGAAAGGCCAATAGTGTTACTGCTGCTGGTGTTAAAAAGCAAAACTGAATAACGACTAGCTTGGAAAGCTAGGAAACTACTTGTACAACATCGATGATCGGCTGTAAAATTTTCGTCAGTGTTACTTTTAGATTCTCGCTTAAGGTAACAGAGAAAAAAGTGAAATTTTTAAAGCATACAAAATCAAAATATCTAATAGAAGAGGGAAATGAAATTAGCCCAATGGACTTTTGCAGAAGTTTTAACCTCGTAGTTATTTAATTTAGACATAAGGGTAAACCCAGTCTGAAAAGAGATTTAACTACATAATAATAGGGGACAAGAGTAATTCAGTTCATAAATGATTCCTTCGTCTTCTTTCTTCCTAAGAATAATGGCAAGGCTGGTTACAATGTCGGCGACAGTTTGGATAGTAACCCTGGCGACAACATTCAAGAGTTCAGACAGCTGCCACAGGTAAAAATCGTTTATCATTTGTTAGCAGTTGTCTTTTTGTTTGCTCTCTTGCCTTTTTTTTTCTTATGCTTGATATTTTTTTTAAATGATCCAATCAGGAATATTACATGAGTGGATGCGATGCTAAGGCAAAAACCGAAGTTGATATCATGTGGACAAACCAACACGGAACTGGACCAGGTACCAATGACATGGTAGAAACCCAAGTTATTCTACAGTACATGTGTCAGCCTTATCCACAGGGCAAGATGGCAACCAACGACGTGAACAAAGAATTTGAATATCATACAATTCGTAATGGGCAGACTCTTACCACTCAATCATTTGTAAAAAACGCGCGAGAGAATGCTTACATAAGAAGAGACAGAGGACTTCACGAACCAGCCAACTATTATCAGGCGTATTATCGGAGAGAGAGAAACAAAGGTAAGAGGTTTAAACAAACTGAAATACAGAACTGACTGATACAAAAATGACTCTCATTAGTCACTCTCCTTATAGTAATGACACTTTTGCTCATACTCCAGGCTTGTTCACTGCTGACCAACAACTTAAAGGTGATCTACCGATTTATACGCGACAAAATGCCGCAGGGACAAGGAGGGGCTTGGAGGTTCCGGAGGAACGCGATTACTACCCTTACTGGGGCCCTACCCCTTGGAGGGACATTGCTATCATGGTCAGCGATAAAAAGACCGAGCAACTAATGAAAGAATACGTAAACAGCCCTCACTATGGACACAAATGTAAGTCAGGTTTGATCTGAACGGTTTTATGAGTACAATACAACACAACATTGACTGACTTTCGTCATCACTAAAATGGTAACAAAAGGGCAAATACATTTGAAATTTTCCTCTAAATCTCATGTTTTAGACTTGTGTATAATGCCTACTAAGCTTGCCGGAAATGAAGACTGTCCACGGAACAACTATAACCTTAAAGGTGAAAAATGTGTCGCAAAATACATCACCTCAAAGAAATGCAAGGCGGCTGGAGGAACCTGGACAAAGTTCATCGCGAATTATGTTGAGAAAACCGCTGGCGTGTTGAGCACTTGTCATAATGTGGGCGAAATGAAACTGGCGAGAGGCATTCCTTACGAACCACACAAGATCTCTCAAGGAGCTGATCAAAAGGAGCAGTTTGTTCTTGTTCACAAGCCTCCTGAAGTGATCTACGCCCCATCCACTGTCGTTAATCATAACGGAATGAGCATGGAAGGAAAGTTTTCGTCCTACAAGTGGAAGGTTCCTTGTTTTCCAACAAACACCACCCAACGCTGTGTATTACGAATCAGGTGAGACAACTAATCATCATTTGACTCTAAGCGTGCGATGGAAGTAAAGGCGACGGGGTGTTGAAAACAAGAAGCAGAATTTTGTATATCAGGGCTTGCATCGTGATAATTTTTTTTCTTTCCATACGTATTAGAGAGGGAGAAAAGGTGGGGTTCATTCTAAGATCCCTTCATGTACCACATCGAGCCCGAATCACCTCATCGAAAAAAAAAACAGGTAATCCCAGATCCGGTGCGCAAATGATTGCTCACAAGAAGTACAAAGCCTTCAGCCCATCATATAAAGTCGGGACAGCTACATGTTCGCCCTTCAGCACACAATCATACTAGGACGACCTATAAGCTTTTGGTGAAATTTATTTCCTATTGCCGCCTTAAAATTGTTTCATTATGTTGCTCCCAACTTAAGGAGGCTTCATAGATTTTTTGACCGTTCAAGATCTGGGTCCGAACATAGCACGAGCTATGGCGGCTCGGTGTTAAAGACACTTTAATCTAGGGTTTCCAACAACTGCACCCGAAATATTCATTGGCCTTCTACGCCTGGAAAAAAGGTCAACCGAAAAGAAAACACCGTGGGAAAGATTGCCAAAATGCGACAGATTCGAAAGTCTACGCATGCTCAGATACCGATCTTGGTGAAGTTCTATTCCATTACGTAAACTTTTGCGACAAAGAAAATAAGGATCTCTCGAGCAAGATTTATCGCGTTTCCTTCTGTGGAATTTCCTCAAATTTTCTGGACCGTTAAACATACTTTTGCCCTCCCTAGTGCCTGTTGATAAAAAAAAAAATTCATAAGACCAAATTTGAGATCGAGGAAGAAAACACAAAATTGCAAATAGCGAGGAAACTGCCTTACTGACCCCTATTTTTTTTAGACTTTTTAATGATCGGCAGGATAATTTTCACAGATGGAGAAAATTTTGAGAGATTTCACCGCAGCAAATTTATGAAAATCAGAGACAAAGCCAAATTATCGCTGACGAGCGCCTCCCTTTGTGGAGCCTTAGCTTAATAACAAAAATCATTTTGATCATATCTACTACAGCAAACGATACTTTGAACCTTGCTCATTGCCTTTTGATGGCTTTTAATGACCTTGATAAAGCGAAAATATTAAAATTTTCTGGAAAAACATTACGCTGGCGCGCGCGCCAACTATAAACAAAAATCTTATGGAGCCTCCTTAAAGAGTTCCCATACTAAAGGTGAAACTTTTCAAGAACGTTACATCTTCTTTCTAAAAAAACCTATGTTAGCTCAGAACTGGGTTTCGTAGTTGAACCAATTTTGAAACGTTAAGTGGCGTTCACTCTTTTGACAGGTATAATATAACCACCAGTGATGTACCACGTGAGTTCACTGCTAAGAACAATAACGAGTAAGTACTCAATGAATATATTTGACCACTACACCAAGTATGTCCCCCAACTGTTATCTCAGTATCCCCGAGGTGTTAGGTGAACCTGATAACAGAACTGTAAATATGACATTTTAATTTTCCTGAATGATTGAAAACCCAGCCGTGTAGCACTTACCATTTACTAGCTATATGATCAACTGGAGAGCGCTCTACTTGCTTCTGTTTAGAACAACAACATATTGTTACCATAGTCTAAATGAACGAGCATTCATTCAGTCTTTGATCTGATGGCTTCTCGGTACGCTCCCTCGACATGAAAATGCCACGAAAGCGAATGAAATAAAAACTAACGGAAAGGCAACAATCACCGAGCACTGGGACTTGATTCAAATTGGATTATAACATAGCTTGTAAATTTGTCTACTCAAATTCAATTGCGCGAGCGTGCTTCATATTCCTATTGTGCACGCTCAGCAAACAAATCCCTTGAGAAAAAAAATTTCCATCGGGTTGAAAATGTTATAAAACAATTGGTTCATAAGTCATCTGTGCGTTCATCGAGATATGAAGCACTTGGAAAGTTTGGAGAGCACTCAAGAAGCTAGAGTTACTCTCAGCTACGCCTTGAGCAACTCTTTCGCATCTTTCATGCTCTCCAAACTTCCCGCGTGCTTCATATCTCGATGAACGCACGCTGACGTATGAACCAATTGTTAATTATACCTTGGTAAATTGATGCGTCCAATAAGTTACGACGAATTGGTCAGACTCACAAAAAGACCAGATCGATTGATTTTATTATTTTCTTCTCAGGATTAAAAATAATCCGAAAACAAAAGCTGTTGACAATAAGACCGATCTTCAAATCGCTTTGAACACTGCTCAGCTTGGTAGAACATTCCAGGATAGAAGTCATGTGATCATCCTTAAACCACGCAGCAAACTGCCCATGAAATTTCAGCATAGCAACATCTATTACATTAATGGAATGGGCAAGAGAGGAAACATAGTGCAGGCGTATCCTGCCATGGAATATCGCTTTTACCCTGAACGGCTTACTGTTACAACAGATGATGTGGTGTGTTTCGTCTGGTCCGGTGAGAAGGAACAATCTATTTGATACGAACTCTTGTGACCTCAGTCGTATTTTCATTCTTTTTATCCATTTTCAATTTCGTTGTTTCATTGTGTCTAATTATTTACCTATTTATTGTTTCCATCGGTAGGCTCAAACAACAATCAGAACAATGCTGGAGAAGGAACAGCACGTGAGAAAAATATCGCACATATGAATTATTTAAGCACACAACTAACTTTAAAACTTAAAAAAGCTCAAACTTGAAAATTTTTTAGCAAAACACAGCTGAGTGGAGTAAATCTGATAAGTACATTGCCCTAAATAATTTTCCATTTCATTTCATCATTTCAGGTACTGATCGCACCAACGTGTGCTGGATAAAGGAAGGATGCCAATCTCTCAAACCGGCAGCGTGTTCCAGCCTTCCTCTTGAAGTAGTTGACCATGTCGACGAATTTGATGCCGCCAAGTTAAATGTTCACCTTAACAAGGGCTGTTACACTGGTGGCAAAACACTGCAGGCTCAACTGAACAACGCCCCGGCCTCTTGCAACCCGCCATGCTTCCGCATTACGAAGCCCGGGACATACTGTTACATGGGCACGCGCAATAACAACTTCTCTAACCGACGTCACATAGGACAGATAACAGTCAATGAAGCTAAAACTACTCCTGAATAATACCTCAGTGAATAGCTCTAAAAATACAGAGCAAGCAATGCTTCTCAAATAAAAAACTGACATGGCATTCGAACTGAAGAACAAGTTCGTCCAACTTTTTCTTTGTTTTTATTGTTATTTTTTATTGTTACGTTTAAGTACTTCGTGTAGTTACTCCTCACCCTCAATTTTTTGTCTTACCCGGATGTCGATGTAACGCTCACGGATAACACTGCATCCGTCCCCTGAATAGAGTCTGTGCATGGTCACGAAACCCACGATCACGAAACTCACGATCACGGTAAATGTGTCTGCTAAACCAAAACCCCCTGATCAGATCCAACTCAACTGAAATTTTAGTAGTTCGAAAAAACTGAAAGCAAATTAATGGCAGGCTCATACTGTAGATCTCCAGTCCTTTGGAATTAACTTGATCAGCGTTTTGGCTGCTCGTCAATTACCCTCCTTTTTCTGTTGATCTCTCAGCTTTTTCGTTCTTCCCTTCGAACAAATTGCCCAGTGAAGGCTGGATTCTGGTTATAGCACTATCAAATTTTAAACGGCAGAACAGTGATGCGGGAAAGTCATAAGCAAATCGATAGACTCCTGCACGGAATTTGCTCGTTTACTTTGTTTCGCGATGCCGGTGAGGGAGCAGGTTGGTCAAACAATTTTTTAAAAGGACGATGAGAGCCAATTCGTGGCACATAAGGAAAAAAAATCACACGTAGTGGATATTTCCAGGCATCCGTAATTATATCAAAGATTTCAATGGCATGTAATCACGATCTAATTTTTCTTAAGGGTGGCAAATGTTTTACAAGTCACTCATTGAAAATTTTGGTGAGAGAATAATCAGTTTCTAAATGATACAAAAAAAAGAGCTATCTAAAACTACTTGAGATTAATTTGGAAACATTTAAATGGCGTTGAAAATAGCCTAAAGAAGAGAGGAATCCAAGCGAACAAGCAAAACCACAGACTGTAACAAGCACCATAGCTTTAGGCGTTTTTACTTCATTAGTTTAAAACTTGAATGTGGTGGAAGGAAGTCCTAGGGATATGTTATTATTCCAAAATAAACCGCCTTAACTTTAGTCATAGGTTCCTGTTTTGTTACCAGGTAAATGTGAATGTCTTGAGTCTCCATACCAAGAACCGTAGCAGTTCATTCTCTCTCGCTTTCTTGCTGAGTGGCTGTATGCATGATACATATACATTACATCTGGAACCCAACCTTGGCGTCTTGCGCAATACGTTCTAACTTTGTAAATCATATTATGCTTGCACTCTACTCGAAAAACACTCGTCTCACAAGCTTCTTAAAAGCTTTCTTTTATGTCTACGTAATTATTTTTTTAAAACAAAGCGCATTTTCTTGAAGTGGAACCGCATGCAATAAACCACCTACATGGCTTGTTAAGTGTTATTATTACTGCACCAAAATCATTGGCCGTTATTTTTGTGCCACAAGACCCTACTTGAGTTATTTAGCAGTTACGCAATAGCACCTTAGGCACAGGGGGTGGGCACAAGTCGGCTCAACCCGTGTACTGAGAGTAGATTTGTCCTCTCCCTATATCTCCAGCCAAATAATCCCGATCAATCGGGATGGCTCAGTGATTTCAGCTCAAAATTTTACGAGAGAAACTTTCACTACGATGAATTCCCACTATTCCTGCATGCATATTAGTAAAAACTCAAAACAAATGTTAAATCTAAAAAAGTGACCCTAAGCAGTCGAGTACTTTGTTTAAAATAAAGTATTATTGAATACTGACAGATGGACGTGTCATGAACTGAAAACATTGCGAAGTAACAGCCAAGCAAGTGTATGCAACGATTTTCAAGTACCATGCTATGAAACATCTGTGCCGCCGTTATCACAGTTCTTTTTTAAATGTATTTCACTAAAAGTAAATGTAAAGAAAGTATAGTAAATATCTACAATTCTTCATCGGCGATATAGTTCGAATTCACCCACATAACACAAACTTTGGCAAAAGTATTATTGAACCCGGTGAATTCATTGTGTGCCGATATGAACATAAGGGAAGTAAAACCGACAAAGCACCGGAACTTAGAGCAAAGGGGGATGGAGATTTAAGTCCAATCGTCTTGACTTGAGATGATGTTTACAAGTAAACTGAAGGTATCAAACAGACTTGTGCATAAGTGCATATTAATATGTAATATTCTCTGGCCTCTTGGTCACGGCTACACCACTCTTCTCATTCATCTTTGAAATAACTCATGCATCATGTGTATTTTATTGACTGAAATAATTGGCCACGATCCAAGATCAAAATTCTGATAACTAACTCGGCTTTAAGTCTAACTGATTTCATAAATTTCATGAAGACATTTGCGTTGGCATGGCAAAGGGAAAGACGAAGGAGTTGGTTTTCTATGAATTTTGCATGATGTATGAAACAACTTCATAATGATCTTTGGACAAGAAATGCTCGGTTTGGTTGCCTAACGGCAAAAACGCGCGCGAACGAAGAGCCGATATTTCAGGACTTACCCGCATTACATTTCCTAACCTAAATGTTTTAACACTTGAATTTAGGGAATTCTTATTATGAAAAAGATAACTGGAGATTGGCTCCCTTCGAGGAAATCAGTGACTTCAACTGAGCTTCAGTTACTTACAATCCATAACCCTTTATAGTTTTGAGAGAGACAAAACGCAGGTTACGCTGGAAGGAACTGGTTGGTCAAGGGGGGTTTGGATAAAACTACTAACTTTTTCTCTATTTGGAGAACAGAAGTTGTATGAATCGACAAGTTTTGACGAAGCAGAAAGCAATACTGCATATCAACCTTCTAAATATTCCACTTGTAGACCAGCTTAATGATTAATCAAGCATCAATGGGATTAGAGCGGCATCTCTGGCGAAAATATCAGCATATGTATGTAACGCTGGACACACGTCTGCCCGTTGCAAACAGATGCAGGTCAAATGAAAAAACTATTCATAATCTACCATGCTTGAAACTACTCTCTCCACCGAAATTAAGGCAAATTTCGTATCATATACTGTTACTGGATTGGATGCAGATCGTGCTATGTAAAACGTAATTTATGCAACAACTCAAGCACGCAGTTAAAAAAAGACTTTGGTGAAGATCCAACCAAGAAAACAAACCAACTGGTTCATCGTTCACTACCTAGACAGTAGTTAATCAAAAATCTGGGTCGACTTGCAAGTCTACCATATTTCGCAAAAGGAAAAGAACCCTGAAATATCTTCAGACTAGAAATGCCTCGTTTGTCAAAACGACCGGCTGATTAAAAATAATGGCTTCTTTGGAGCCGTCCTTGATAAAAACCACAACCTTTTATCTCGAATTACATTCTGCATCGTAAAAACGATTCGTTGAAATTACATAAGTTTTATCGCAATGAAAATAGCACAAATTCAAACCAGGATAATATTTAGATTAATGAACATTGATTGGCTAAATTTCTCGGAACAAACGGCAAACTCCAGAGATCTTGCTAACACTGTTCGTCTAGTGGCCGAAGAGCCAAGATTGAGAATGTGCTTAAAACATGTTTGTTACCATGCCCAAAATAACGCCAATTACCTGTTGCAAATTCATTGTAATAAATTAAATAAAATATACAAACATTCCCAATTACTTAAAACCACTTGCTGCACTTGAACTTTGGCAAAACACTCGTTAAACTCGGTCAATAGATGGAGTGCATCGACCAGACCGGCTATGGCGTCGCTCGCATAGCAGCTGTTTTCTTTCTGAGCTATTTAGCTAGACTTGAGTAGCGTGCAATATGAGTAAAAGGAGACGGACAGGCAGGATAGCCATGGTGCAATATCTGTTTCGGCTACACAGATTGTTAGGATGTTGAATTCACTTTTGTACCAGCTCATGCATATTTAACAAGAAAGATCGGGCACGACAAACAGTTCATTTTTCACCAGTTTAATGGTATTTCAGTCAAAAGCTTTGCATTGAGATCGAGAGAAGAAGGAAAGAAAAGGAAAAAAGGCCATAGAAAATATGCACGACAACAAAATTCCGATGTGATCAATTAACAAAGAAATGCCCCATTTGGAAGCGCAGCCGTTAATTGATCAGGAAAAAGGCGAGCAAAACAAAGGAAGGTCGTTAAACTTCAGAGATTGAAGGAAAAAACACTTTTAATTATATATCTATAGAAGATTTGTTCGCGAAAGATTTCTCGTGGTTAAAACCACGACGGTAATTTCTATCATTTACTTTGCATTCTTAATTCCTAGGGCTCGTCACAGCAGAAACAAATTGACAAGTCCGTAGTAAAAAGATGCCGCGTCCTCTCCCAAAAGAACAAAAGAACAAAATGCAAGGTTCATTGACCCCGTCGCTCCTCATAAGTTTATTGAAACCCGCTAATGAAGTATCAGAACATCCATTCTCTTAAACTAAACTCTTTGGATTGGCAATGAAATAAAATGATTCTCTCTGTCAGTACCTGGACATTTCATCTTAAAGAAATTTTTGTATCTTTTCAGGATCAGACAGAACAAACTTGTGCTGGGTAAATGAAGGATGCCAATCTCTTAAACCAGAGGCTTGTGCGAGCCTGCCTCTCGAGGTAGTTGAACAGGCTGATACGTTTTATCAGTATTTTGAAGTTTGGAATACAAGAAAAGAACAGAAGGGCTGATGGGGCAACCGCTGTGAGAATCGGCACGTACAACCGCGAATGTTCATTAAACTAAAACATTGTTTAGCGATTGCGGCCGTACACTTTTTATCAAAAGCAAATGTTATTTATAGCTTCCCTGCGTTCAAAGATATTTCATTAACTTGCCTTTTGTTTCATTAGTGATAACGCCGAGTTAGAAATCAGAATGGAAATGACTACGTTCAAAATGAAAACAACCTCAGACGTCATATCGGTGAGGACGTGAGTAAAACCTAAGAAAAAAAATTCAATAAAGAGAACACTCCATATATTTTCAAAATTATGCGAAACATTCCAGAATTGAATGGTAAATCTTTTTAATTTTGAAAGAAATTGGTGAATTGGGCCGTTTGTCGAGGATTTTGAAGCTATATCGAGGGCAAGTAGCTTTGGTGTGGGAGTCAAGTGTTCCTGAAGATCGTGTACCTATTGCTTCATGTTATCTGAGTGCAACAAAGATTTGAGCCACCTCGCTATTTGAAATCTTCATTTAATTAGTTATTCTTCATTACCTTACAAAGACACCACATGGAAAGAACGAAGAAAATGCATATAATGTTTTCTATTAACTATAAATCAAGGTTCCTGTGACGCAGTACACGGCTATTCTAATTTTAGATGTGTCAGTACAGCAAGAAAAGGAATCGCGGAAATGCACATCTTTTGATGTCACAAATATAAAACACCATATGTTACGAGAGATTTTCGAGTTATCCATTCGAAACGAGCAAACAGATTTTGGTCGGTACAACAAGATTTAAGAGGTTCTGTATAACCCCTCACTTCAGTCACTATCGCGGAATGCGGAACACTTCTATTCTTTACCATACATACATACATCCCTCCGGCTGTGCACTTTAAATCAGCCGATCTTTCACCGAAAAAGGCGGTTTTATGTGCAAATGAGAGTCACTTATAAAATCATAGTTTTGATTTTCATGACCAAACAAACAGCTATCAGACTGTATGATGAGCTCCATAAAACCTTCAGTTACTCAATTAAATATCATACCTCCCGATTTGCCGAATAGAGACCGTTGCCAATCTTGCCAATCCCAAAATGTAAGCAGGATACTTCACAGTAATTACAAGAAAAAGGAAAATCAAATGGAACGAGTGAGAAGCTTAAATTTTCTGTAATTGTTTAAGCTCACTGACCAGATTGAAAAGGATACTCCATAAAATATAATTCAATTTGATTGCATGCTACAAATATATTTATTCTCTACTTCAGTAAAAACTATTTATAACCAACACCGCAGGTTATGGCTGATTATCATATAGAAACAATTCTTGTTTATGCGTTTAGCCTTGACATTTTCCGCAATGGCTATTGTTAAGCTTTGTGGTTATGTAACCTCTAGCTGTGTCTCACACATAATATCTATACACGGGTGTTGAATGCGGAAAAAATTTTCTGCTTTGTGACGGGAATAGCAGTGTAATTACTGAAAAATGAACGTGCCGAAAAGTTGTGTTTTCTTGGACAAGCTACGGAGGAGGTTTTTGAGTATCACCTTGAATATAAAATTAAAAGAAGGCTGTAAAAATATCGGCGGCAAATAACCACTCTTTCATTTTATAATTACATTTTGATCACCTCTGTGTTATATAGTTGAATTTGCCTTTGTTTCTTTTATCCATTGTCTTGTCAAATCGCACAGACGTCTATCCAACAAGTGAATTGTTTTAAACTGCCATTAACTGCGAATTTCCATTTACTACTGAACAGCTAAGGTCATTTTAAGCCACTTTATTCAAAGCCCTCAACAGGTTTTCGGCGCTATTAAATTCTAAAGGTTGCTGAACAAGAAACAGCTTCGAGTGGTAGACAGAACTAAGAGGTATGTCATGATATTCAATTATCGTGTAATTAGTAATGACTAGTAATCATTTAACATACTTTTCATGAGTCTTTCTATGACTCAAAGTAACCTCAAAGTAAGGCATGTGATCGCTTGAGTTCGAAAAATTTCCTGAGTTCCAAATGATTCACGATCAGTTTAGAAGAGTAAAATTCTTTTGACAGAAATGTTATTCTGTTTCTTTTGACCGAGGTTGCCACGCACCCAAACGGTTCTTTTTCTCCACGCTTGCATCGCACGTACCACAAAAATAGCTGAGATGTCATGACAAAGAAAAAAATATGCTACTATGACAACCTATACTGAGCAAAAACTTATGTATACCAATTTTTTTCTTTTTTTTCCGCATTCTCGTTAACACTGATCTTGGCTTTCATACAGGTCATGAAGACCATTTTTGTTTGGGGCTGCCTCATGGCTACTCTTATCGAGCTTTGTATATCGGACATGTACTTGCATGCTCCACCAGGATCCAACAATCGCTTGAACGGCAACCAAGATAACGTCAGAAACGCAAACAGATTGTTTGATTCCCAGGTATAGTGCCATTACATACTCGCTTTTCATCACGGTAACCTTCTCTCAGGCCAAAGTAGTCGACTGATCGGTCGGTCGGTCGGTCGGCCAAGCAAGCACAAAGAAATTACAAGAAATAAATAAACGAAGAAGCCTAGATCAGGAAATTCCTGAACGCACCCATTCGCTTGCTAATTGTTTTCCTAGCCCAAACTTTCCGATATTTTGTACAACACAGGTCAGATAAGATGGTAAGTTGACCAATTTATCGTATAAATTAATCTTCATCTGTTTTTAGACAGAGTGTTAATATTTCTGGAAAGGGTATCTTTATTAAATTTTTGGTTTGCCTTTCCTGAAAAAAGGGTCGGTCAGCATCTACCATGATATTCAGAGTAGAAAAAAGGCCGATAGTGCCACTGCTGCTAGAAAGTAAAATAGAATAATGACCAGCCTAGAAAACTTGGAAATTACTTGTATAACATCGATGATAGGCTGTAAGGTAACAGAGAAAAAAAAAATGACATTTTTAGAGCATACAAAACTAAAATATCTAATAGAAGAGGGAAATCAAAATAGCCCAATGAACTTTTTCAGATGTTTTAACCTCGTGGTTATTTTATTTAGACAGAAAGGTGAACCCAGTCCGAGGAGAGATTTAATTACATAAAAATAGAGGACAAAAGCAATTCAGTTCATAAATGATTCCTTCGTCTTCTTCCTAAGAATAACGGTAAGGCTGGTTACAATGTCGGCGACAGTTTGGATAGCAACCCCGGAGACAATATTCGAGAGTTCAGACAACTGCCACAGGTAACACTCGTTTATCATTTGTTAGCAGTTGTCTTTTTGTTTGCTCTCTTGCCTTTCTTTTTCTCATGCTTGATATTTTTTTCAAATGATCCAATCAGGAATATTACATGAGTGGATGCGATGCTAAGGCAAAAACCGAAGTTGATATCATGTGGACAAACCAACACGGAACTGGACCAGATACCAATGACATGGTAGAAACCCAAGTTATTCTACAGTACATGTGTCAGCCTTATCCACTGGGCAAGATGGCAACCAACGACGTGAACAAAGAATTTGAATATCATACAATTCGTAATGGGCAGACTCTTACCACTCAATCATTTTCGAAAAACGCGCGAGAGAATGCTTACATAAGAAAAGACAGAGGACTTCACGAACCAGCCAACTATTATCAGGCGTATTATCGGAGAGAGAGAAACAAAGGTAAGAGGTTTCAACAAACTGAAATACAGAACTGGCTGATACAAAAATGAATCTCGATGAGTCACTCTCTTTATAGTAATGATACTATTGTTTATACTCCAGGCTTGTTCACTGCTGACCAAAAACTTAAAGGTGATCTACCGATTTATACGCGACAGAATGCTGCAGGGACAAGGAGGGGCTTGGAGGTCCCTGAGGAACGCGATTACTATCCATACTGGGGCCCTACCCCTTGGAGGGACATTGCTATCATGGTCAGCGATAAAAAGACCGAGCAACTGATGAAAGAATACGTAAACAGCCCTCACTATGGACACAAATGTAAGTCAGGTTTGATCTGAACGGTTTTATAAGTACAGTGCTATACAGCACTGACTGACTTTTGTTATCACTAAAATGGTAAAAGAGCAAATCCATTTGAAAATTTCCCCTAAATCTCATATTTTAGACTTGTGTATAATGCCTACCAAGCTTGCCGGAAATGACGACTGTCCGCCGGACAACGCGAACGTTAAAGGAGAAAAATGTGTTGCAAAAGACATCACCTCAGAGAAATGCAAGGCGGCTGGAGGAACCTGGACAAAGTTCATTACGAACTATGTTGAAAAAACTGCTGGTGTGTTAAGCACGTGTCATAATGTGGGCGAAATGAAACTGGCAAGAGGAATTCCTTACGAACCACACAAGATCTCTCAAGGAGCTGATCAAAAGGAGCAGTTTGTTCTTGTTCACAAGCCTCCGGAAGTGATCTACGCCCCATCCACTGTCGTTAATCATAACGGAATGAGCATGGAAGGAAAGTTTTCGTCCTACAAGTGGAAGGTTCCTTGCTTTCCAACAAACACCACCCAACGCTGTGTATTACGAATCAGGTGAGACAACTAATCATCCTTTGACTCCAGGCGTGCGATGGAAGTAAAGGCGATGGGGCGTTGAAAGCAAGAAGCGGGACTTTAAATATCAGTAGGTTTCATAATGATAAATTTTCCTCTCTTTCACCAGAAAGGAGAAACGGTCGCATTCAACCCAAGATTCCTTCATGTAACCCGTTTTGGCCTTATGATTTTTCAGCACCAATATTCTCAAATCCTATTAAGTAATGTTCATTACTGCGTAGATCGCTTTCATATTCACTTCTCAAACTCATTGATAATGCATGAGGTAATTAACCAATTGTGTGGCCTCGTTTGGGTCACATGGATGCCCCTTGATACCCGGTAAAGAACAGATCCAAACACGCGTGATTAGGCATCCAAACACACGTGTTAGGATATCCAAACACGTGCGTTTGGAAATCAATTTCCAAAAGAATGCAGTACTTGAACAAACGTTTATTAAGTTCCAGGATTACAGTAACCATTCTTTGCGGTTAACATTAACTAATTGTGTGACCCCTTTGTGCTGAGTACTTTTATGCTTTGAACGTTTGAGCAAAGAAACTTCCTCTTTGCAACTTTTCGGCGGTCGAAACCAAGAAGACCTTTCCGTGGCTGCTTCTTCCATTTCTCAAAATTGCAAATGAGGACGCCAATGCAAAGTGTGACTGGCTCTAATTAAAAAGTTGAAGTTGTGAAAAAACTCAACGCCCTTCATGACACTTACTAACAACTATGCACATGCGATAATGAAACAAAAGAAAGCAAAACTTGATTATTTACGTGGTCTCTCTGTTTTTGTGTTTATTGTTAATAAATTAGGCCCTTTTGAGAAGCCATTCATAAACTCGAGCTTCGTGTTTCATCAGGATTTCCAAACACTCGAAAACAATAAAAGCACTCGACCTTTGGCCTCGTGCTTTCATCAGTTTTCACGTGTTTGGAAACCCTGATGAAACACTCGCCCTCGTTTTTATGAAATATTACTTCTTTACCGCAGTTCACATATATGATTTTCATATACGTGCAGTCATTTATTCATCACTTCACGGGTTTATCTAGAACCGACATAATGTGCCTAACTCAAAACTTAAGTCAGCTATGAAGCAAGTCTGTTAAGCTTAAATGAGACTGATGTTTTTCTTCGCAGGTACAACATAACCACAAGAGATGTGCCCCGTGGGTTTACTGCTAGCAACAATCACAAGTAAGTACGTAATCCTTTTACCCCTAAGAGTGACCAGCTTCTCATTTCTCCTTACAATAACACCCCTTAATCAAACACTAAGGTCACAAGAATAAAGGAAATGATCACCAACTTAAGAAGCTCTTGACTGTTAAACAAATTCTCCTTGTTAGCAACTCAGGAAATATGTAGTGAGCAGTACATGGACAACATGCATACTGATGTTAGGATATTAAGGGTTTATGCCTTCTTTACCAAGTCATTCCATTTTACCGTTAGTAGAATCACCAAAGTTAACAAAAGTTAAAGTGAAATGTTTTAGTTTCCTAAATGTTTGTAAACCCGACCGTCTAATAACACTGTTTATTCTCTATTATCAACAAAATAAGGCTCGATTTTCTCCTTTTTACAACAATAGCACGTTGCTACCGTGATCTTGAATTCACAATCGTTCAATTTGTAATTTTTGATCTGATAGCTCTCAGTTCTGAGTTCCATCGACATGAAATCCGTTAGGATAAGTGAAAAACTACTGAGTGGAAAGGAAACATAAAACACTGGGATTTGATTCAAACTGGTAAAGACCTAGGTAAAATTACACTCCACCGGAAGGAGCCGACTGGACATAAAGACCAACGTGGGAAAATAGCCTTTACAGATCGAATATTCTTTTCTTCACAGGGTTAAAAATAATCCGAAAACTAAAGCTGTTGACAAAACGACCGTTCTTCAAATCGCTTTGAACACTGCTCAGCTCGGCAGAACATTCCAGGATAGAAGTCATGTGATCATTCTTAAACCACGGAGCAAACTGCCCATGAAATTTCAGCATAGCAGTATCTACTACATCAATGGAATGGGCAAGAGAGGAAACATAGTGCAGGCGTATCCTGCCATGGAATATCGCTTTTACCCTGAACGCCTTACTGTTACAACAGATGATGTGGTGTGTTTCGTCTGGTCCGGTGAGAAGGAACAATCTATTTGATACGAACTGTTGTTTCCATTTCGTTCTTTCATTGTGTCTAATTGTTTACCTATTTATTTGCTTCTATCGGTAGGCTCAAACAACAATCAGAACAATGCTGGAGAGGGAACAGCACGTGAGAAAAATACTGCACATATGAATTATTTAGGCACCCAACGGACTTAAAAAGCTCAAACTTGAAAATTTTAGCAAAACACAGCTGAGTGAAGTAAATCTTATAAGTATACCGCCCTAAATAATTTTCCATTTCATTTCATCATTTCAGGTACTGATCGCACCAACGTGTGCTGGATAAAGGAAGGATGCCAATCTCTCAAACCAGCAGCGTGTTCCAGCCTTCCTCTTGAAGTAGTTGACCATGTCGACGAATTTGATGCCGCTAAGTTAAATGTTCACCTTAACAAGGGCTGTTACACTGGTGGCAAAACACTGCAGGCTCAACTGAACAACGCCCCGGCCTCTTGCAACCCGCCATGCTTCCGCATCACGAAGCCCGGGACATACTGTTACATGGGCACGCGCAATAACAACTTCTCCAACCGACGTCACATAGGACAGATAAAAGTCAGTAAAGCTAAAACTACTCCTAAATAAACTTATCAGTAAATAACTCTAGAAACACAGAGCAAGGAACGCTTCTCAAATAAAAAAACTGAGGAGGCATTCGAACTGAAGAACAAGTGCGTCCAACTTTTTCTTTGCTTTTATTGTTGTTGTTGTTTTTTTCTTCTTCATTTCTTACGTAGATACGACGGTTTTAATTGAAAGTTGATGTTTTTAGTACGTCATGTAGTTACTCCTCACCCTCTATTTTTTTGTCTTATCCAGATTTCGATGTAAAGCTCACGGATAAGGTTGCATCCGTCCCTTAAATAAAGCCTGTTCACGGGCACGGACACGAAACTCACGATCACAAAACTTAAGATCACGGTAAATGTGCCAACTAAACAAAACCCTCCTGATCAGATTCAACTCAACGACAGGCGGCCCAAGCTCACGTCTCGAGAGAAAGCAAACGATTAATCCATGAAAGCGTCACGCGTTGTGTGACTCGGTGGTAAGTTACGAGAGGAACCGTTGAGAATTTGAACACGCTCAGTAAGGCATAGTATGGGGAACGAAATATGGTCGATTTACAACAATAAATGTTTCAAAATATGAGCATACTACACGTAAAATCAATAGAACTTACTCACATCTTGCGTGTTCGTTGTGGTTTCTTGCGATTTCTGCCGTTTTAAGCTTGCTTTTCCATCACTGTTATTCCAGTAAAAAGACGAAGTCGAGGCTGCACACTCCATTTTCGACCGTTGTCCACGCGAAAGTGGTTTGCACCCCAAAAATCCTCCTGATCGGCATTTTTCTCAGCCATAGTTCACGATCTAAGATCATTGCATCCTGGGACATGTCTCAATACCAAAACTCCCCGTGCATTTCGCTGAAAACGAGCGTTTTCTACTTGCATTTCCAAGTTCGCTTCTCTCTGTCTATGCTCTTGATAATCAGACTAGACACGGCCGCGGAAGAGACTTGGGTACGAGGTCAATTTTCTCTTTAGAGAATGTTTTCTCTCTGTAGAATGTCCATATTTCGAAATATTTATCGTTGTAAATCGACCATATTTCGTTTCCCATACTAATCCTTACAGCGTGTTCAAATTCTCAACGGTTCCTCTCGAAACTTAATACCGAGTCACACAACACATGATCCTTTCATGAATTAATCGTTTGCTTTCTCTCGAGACGTGAGCTTGGGCCGCCTGTGACTCAATTGAAATTTTGGTATTTCGAAAAAACTGAAAGCAAAACAATGGCAGGCTCAAAATTGTTAGACAGCAGAATAGTGTTGCGGGAAAGTCATAAGTAAATCGGTGGCGTTGTTTTGCGATGCTGGTAAGGGAGTCAGTATTACATCACGATTTAATTTTCCTTAAGGGTGGCAAATGTTTTACATGTCACCCATTGAAACTTTTGGTGAGAGAATAATCAGTTTCTAAATGATACAAAGGATAGTGCTGTTTAAAACTACTTGAGGTAAATTTGAGACCATTGAAATGGCTCCGAAAATAGCCTCATGTAGAAAGGCATCCAAGCCAGCGAGCAAAATCACAGACTGTGACAAGCACCATAGCTTTAGGCGTTTTTAATTGATCAGTTTAAAACTTGAATGTCGTAAAAGGGGGTTGTAGGGATGTTATTATTCCAAGATAAATCGCCCTAACTCTAGTTATAGGTTTCTGTTCCGATACTGGGTAAATGTGAATGTCCTGAGTCCCCATGCCAAGAACCGTAGCTTACAAAGTAGTTACTCAGTCTCTCTCGCTTTCTTACTGAGCGGCTGCATGCATGCTATATATTCATTACATCTGGAACCCAACCTTGGTGTCTTGAAAAACAATCGTCTCACAACATTATTAAAAGCTCAGTTTCCTTTATGTCGGCATAATTATTTTTTCAAAACAAAGCGCATTTTCCTGAAAGGAACCGCATGCAATAAACCACCTACATGGCTTGTTAAGTGTTTTTATTATTGCATCAAAATCATTGGCCGTTATTTTTGTGCCACGAGACGCCTACTTGAGTCATTTAGCAGTTACGCAATAGCACCTTAGGCACAGGGGGTGGGCACAAGTCGGCTCAACCCGTGTACTGAGAGTAGATTTGTCCTCTCCCTATATCTCCAGCCAAATAATCCCGATTAATCAGTGATTTCAGCTCAAAAAGTTTATGATAGAAACTTTCACTACAATGAATTCCCACTATTCCTCCGCGTACATTGATAGAAACTCAAAACAAATGTTAAACCTAAAAAACTGACTCTAAGAAGGTAATTTAGTGTTAACAACTGAGTTGAAAACTTCGTCAGAGCGATTGGAAGAGGGCTAACGCTCGAAACGTCAGCTTTTTTACCCTTAACGGTGGCTAATTTACGTTTTCAACTCAGTTGTTAACACTAAATTACCTGCTATACTCTCCCACCGACGCAGCACCACAGTTTCTTTAGAAACTTACCCCTTTATTCATTTGACTCTAAGCAGTCGAGTACTTTGTTTGAAATTAAGTATCATTGCATACTGACAAATGGACGTGTCATGAACTGAACATTGCGTAGCAACAGCCAAGCAAGTGTATGCTACGATTTTCAAGTACCATGCTGAAACAAAGCACCGGAACATATAGCAAAGGGGAAAGGAGATTAAGTCCAGTCTCATTCATCTTTGCAATAACTCATGCATCGTGTGTATTTTATTGCCTGAAATAATTTGCCACGATCCAAGATCAAAATCTTGATTATTAGCTCGGCTTTAAGTCGAACTGATTTCTGATAAACTTAATGAAGACTTTTGCATTGGCATGGCGAAGGGAAAGAGGAAGGAGTTGGTTTTCTATGTGCGGGAATTTCGCGTGATGTATGCAACAACAAAACAACAACTCCATAATGACCTTTGGACAAAAAATGCTCGGTTTGGTTGCGTATCGGCAAAAAGCGCGCGAACGAAGAGACGATTTGGAGAACAGAAGTTGTATGAATCGACATGTTTTGACCGAAAATTAAGGCAAATTTCTTATCATATACTGTTACTGGACTGGATGCATGCAGATCGTGCCATATAAAACGTAATTTATGCACAACTCAAGCACGCAGTTAACAAAAATCATTAATCAAGATCCAACCAAGAAAACAAAGCAACTGGTCCATCGTTCACGACCTCGACAGTTGTTAATTAAAAATTTGCATCGACTCGCAAGTCTACCATATTTCGCAAGAGGCAGAGAACCCTGAAATATCTTCAGACAAGAAATGCTGGCTGATTAAAAAGAATGGCTTCTTCAGAGCTATCCTCGCCGGTAAAAACCAAAACCTTCTATCTCGGATTACATTCTACATCGTAAAAATGATTCGTTGAAATTAGATGAGTTTTCATCACAATTGAAACTAGTATAAAATCAAACTAGGATAATACTTACATTAATGAACGTCGATTAGCTAAATTCCTCGGAAAAAACGGCAAACTAGAGATCTTAGTAACACTCTTCATTTAGAGCCAAGATTGAGAATATGCCTGAAAAGTCCGTTCCCGTGCCCAAAATAACGCCAACTAACCAGTTACAAAAATTCATTGTAATAAATTCAAGAAAATATACAAAACATCCCCAAACACTTAAAATCACTTGCTGAACTTAAACTTTGGCAAAACACTCATCATACTCGGTCAATAGATGGAATGCATCACTCAGATATGGTGATGCTCGAGTAGCGTGCATTGTGAGCAAAAGGAGACGGACAATCAGGATAGACATAGTGCAATATCTATTATGGCTACACAGATTGTTAAGATATTGAATTCACTTTTGTACCAGCTCATGCATAGTTAACAAGAAAGATCGGGCACGATTTTGGTTCGCAACACTAAATAGTTCATCTTTTACCAATTCATTAGTATTTCAGTCAAAAGCTTTGCATTAAAGTCGAGAAAAGAAAAAAAGAAAAGGAAAAAGAGCCATAGGAAATATGCACGACAACAAACTCCTGATGGGATAAATTAACAAAGAAATGCCCCATTTGGAAGCACAGCACTAATTGATTAGGAAAAAGGCGAGCAAAAGGGCGTTAAGCGGTAGAGTTCAAAGGATAAAACAATTGTAATTATATATTTATAGAAGATTTGTACGCAAAAGATTTTTCGTGGTGAAAACCACAACGGGAACTTCTGTCATTTAATCTGTAATTCCTCAGGTTCATCACAGCAGAAACAAATTGCCTCTCCCAAAAGAACAAAAGAACAAAATGCAAGGTTCATTGACCTCGTCGCTCCTCATAAGTTTATTGAAACCCACTGGTGAATGTATCAGAACATCTGTTCTCTTAAATTTGACCAACACTTTGAAGAAATAAAACTTCTGAGATCCTCAAGAAATCTGAGGAATCTTAAAAAAGGCCCAAAGTGGACATAAAATTAATTTAGGTGGAGATATTCATTGATTGAGGATATGCACATAATTACATTAAAACATTAAGGAGCCTACTTTTAATTCTACTTTTTCCTATACTTCCATCTTCAAAAGAATCTTTTGTAGCTAAATAAATGAGTTAGTACGCAGTCAGTAGTGGTAAGTATGCAGATAAGCGAGTAAATATTATTTCAATGCAAAAATGTCATGAATATTCTGACAAACAACTCGTGAACGTGAAGCTTCATTGAGCTAATGGTATTTGGCAACCAACGTCAGTCCTACTTGACCCGCTATTGTCCCGCTTTTATGTTCAGATTTTCAATTTTGTATAAATCCAGGCGCACACCTTAAGCTCATTACAACTTCACTGCAGCTCAACAGGTGCGGACCTCATCACACTAATTACGCTGTAAGGCGTTTTAACTTACCAATCGGTCAAACCAAGGTAAGTGAGATCATTTAGTAACACCTTGCCGAAACCGATCGCTCTTTTATGAAATTTAAGGGGATTCTGTGATTGAAACCCGCAACTGGTCTCTAAATTGTGTTAAAGTCATGCGTTGAATCAAAATCAAAGCTGGGTTGAGTGCGTGTGGTACAATCCTCGGTTCTCTCACCCTTTCACGCGAAGTTTGAACATTTGTGACCGAGTAGTACTCGGTTGTTAAAATCTTTTAGTGTGAATTCTGGACGTATTTAGCTACATCTGTCGATTTTTAAGGCCCCTTCAGTAGTCAAGATTAGACTACCAAGTAAAAAGTGAATTTAAGAACTTAAAAATTTCCATGTTCTTTGTGAGCAACACTCCACAAGGGCTAATTTCCATGCTTGTTTATTGACAACGCCCTTAAAGAGAAAGGTTTCATGGCTCAATGCATGTATTTGCATGTGCCTTAAGGTAGTTCATTAACCTTCATTGTTTTCTTTTCATAAAAGCAGCCTTAAGCTAAATGAGGCTATGCGATGGTTCGTGCAGAAAATTGTCTTTTAAAATTCTGCGGGGATTAGGAATGTTTATGACGTAGAGATAACAATAGGTCCCAAAAACCCGTGTCATCAAAATAGCATGATCTAGAAGAAAAATATGATCTACTTGAAACGCTTACGTCTTCCC